CTCGACGTCTACCGTAACCGTGCTCTAACAAACCTTGACGCATAGGTGCTAGTTCTAATGTTAAATTATTTTCAAGTGCCTTTTGCTTTAAAACTTTGATCGTATGCCAACGTTTCAAAACACAACTAGGATTTACTAAATAATTAAAAATTCTTACCGGAGGAGAAATCCATTTAAAGAAAATCATTATTTCCCACCATATTGAGAAAATGCGTCGTATGATAAATGGTTTCTTTATAGCGTGTATTAACAATGCGCAGTCGGATTTTCCACGGTTTATTTTACGATTGTGCGCAACACGGCACATGCGCGTTGTTGATTCCCGCGCGAGCGACTGTCGTAACTCGTAAGTCGTTCGGTTGAGATATGAGAGAGTTAGAGCTGTCAAACTCACGCAGACGAAGCCATACCTATATTGACTCGTGTAAATTTATACATAGTCTGTAATCTTTTTGCAAAAATGTATTTAAAACTATATATTTGCCATTAGATATTAATATTGCTCGAATTGTTTATGTCATGTTGGTAAAATACGACCATTTTTAATCATTATTGACGCAGTGTCTGAATGGGTACCTGATTCATACAAAAATCAGCTATTCTAAGTAGGTGCGACTGACAATATACCTATACGTAATAAATAAAAAATCAGAACATTAGACGATTTAATTTAAAGTTTTTTTCTACTGTTTTATTCTTATTTTTACATCACATAGGTAGGTTTATTTAAAAAACATTTTAATGGTATTTTAAAGTTACGTATCTTTTGAATACAACGTGTAATTTATACCTTCACAAGGTAAAACTCGTTTCGCGATGATGTCATTGTTGCGTTTGATATCGCGCTTAAATCTAAAAAATGAATAATCTTACATTTTGTTTAAGAATTTAAAATTTTTTTTGCTTATTAAACATTAGCAGTTGTTAGTCTTAGGTAGTTATGTAATTGATGTTCTTTTGTTCTAGTTTAATGCATTATAAGAAAGCTTTTTTTGAAAGCTTTACAACGATAAAGCATTTTCTGCATATTTTTCTCAGTGACATTTATAGCCATATATGGCTATATATCATATATATGTATAGTGATATACTAAACCCATGGATACGATTTTGGTATTTATTTTTAACTCAACACGAATCGTATTCCCTTTACTGAATGCACATATATTGTATAATATAAAACTGATAATGCCAGCGTAAATTGAACTAGTTCAGTAAGCTAATAAAAAAAAATGTTTAAATCATCTGAAAACATGAGTTTAGAAGATTTTTTACTCTGGGATATTTTATCAGGTTATGCTTTTACTGTTAATAAATGTCAATACATTTAGTTTGTTGATAAGATACAGTAAGTTGGTATTTTTGGATTGTACGACAATCGTTTAAAAATTTGAGGGTAAGGTCACTTCATAGGATGCCAACCAAAATTATCAGACATGCACTCTGTGAAACTACCTATTTTTCGCAATTCGTTCGGGAACTGGAAAGCTTTTAAGAAAGTCATCTAAACTTACAGAGTTTCTTTTACTTTAAAAATATTATACAAATAAACCTATCTCTTAAATCACTTGGTAAAAATCAAGTTGAAAATCCGTATCGTACTTTAAAAGGTCTAAGCATATAGACGGATAAAAGCGGCTTTGTGATATTATATAAAGACGGTATAATTTACTAAAGTGTCCTATACAGTACAGATTCGATCGAAGCTTATCTACATTGATTGTTATGTTTCAACTGATAACCTTATATTTGTGGATAAGATTTTATACATACAATGAGCCGCGAGCTTATCACTAAGTTGACTATTTGAATAAACAAGCAATTATTTTTACCAGAGGTATTCCTGGAAAGGCAATGCGTGTGGGGTTTGTGTTTTTCTTTTTGCTAAGCTAAATAGAGTATATTTATTTTAAAAAATATTTTGTGTGTGTTGTGTCACATCATCAGTAAAAGTGTAAACATATTGTGCAAGTGATAACACTGCTTCCGTAGCTTAATCGTTAATTATGGGTATAATGAGGGGTCCTGGGTATGAACTAATCTTAGTATGGACAATACCACGTAAACGTCTACCGGGATTTAAAATGACGATTGAAAAGACACAGGTGTAATTAATAAACATGAAAACAAAAGTCAAAAATAAAAAAGTATAAAATACTTAGTCACCTAAGTCATATCTTTTGATAGCCATAAGATATAATATTATTGCCGCTAATACTACTGGCTCCACAGAGCAGTTTAGTCCGTGTTTTGTTGGGCTGAGAACAAAAAAAAAGTTTTGACAGTAGGGTAGTCACCTACTTGTTATACAAGTTATCGGTGAAACATAGATATTATATGTATGTCATGCAGCAACCCGGGGCAAGATTTTCTATACAGGTGACAGAGGATGATATCTGATAGTTGACAGATAACTAGGGATACGCGCTAAAATTTTGAATACTGACATGACATTAGCGCACCTCTCAAATGTTTGGACCACTGAAAGTTATCGGCTTAGCGTGAATAACGTACCTATATGTGCATATACTGTATGAAGCTTGTTTATATAGGAAGGATTACTGAGACGAAATCCAGGAGCTTTGTAATTACAGCTATTGCTTTGAAATTTCTGTTTCATAGATTTCATCGCATACTACCAGTCGTATATAGAAGTTTACTTCTGTCGTTAATTCATTGTATTTGTAACATCATTCGTAACTGTTTTATACTTAGTATGTTGAAAAACATATTGTTTGTAGAATGCAGATAATTATTATATATTAAATTAATTTATTTAAAAACAAATTACGTATACTTTAGTATTAACATATTCTTTAGACTGGTCCAGGTAGTTAATTTTGTGCTTGTAATATATCTTGATTTTCGAACTATTTTTGAATTGCATTTTATTCAAAATGGCACCGTGTGTAAAAAAAACACACGCATATTGTCCTTAACAGAAGTGTTAACACACACACTACAACACGACAATATGAAAACAGAATGTTATGAAAATTTAACTGTGATTTTTTTCCTGTTATTAGTGTAATTGCAATGTAATTGGGTAAAATTAGATAACACAGGTAAATATGCTGTTCAAGGATTTAGTATTAGTATTTTCTTGGTTATGACAGAAGGATATAATTTCATTATCGGTTGACTTCACTTCTGTAGCCTTGAGATGAAAATTGAAGTGCACTTTAACGATATCGGTAGATGGAGTAAACGTACCGGATGCCACATATTATTTTCGACGAGACGCCGCGCGTCGCCCGACGAAGAATTACAGCATTCACACATCTATTAACTTGGCCGAATGTGCTGTTGTTTTTTGTCTGTTCCATTTGTGAATATTTATTGTCAACATAATCAGGAGTTTATAATTCTTTGAAAAGTAAAATATATTAATTTTATAGATTGCTTTTCATTAAAGTAATCCGCTTATATTAGTTTTAGATTAAGCGTTGTGCTCGTACTTGAAATGTTATAACAACATTTTGGGTAGGTAAGCCTCACACGAGGATACAACTTATTAGATAAAATCTATACGCTTTTACGATTGATTTTAGAGTGTAGAGTTCACTTCGGATAACTTAAGGAAATGTTATTCAAACTTCGATCGATCAACCCTCATCTTGGCTTAACCTTAGCTTTATATAAACTTTTACAATTTTCTGCTAATATTATGTTTAAGTACAATGTTAACCAATATTTTAACGAGCTTGTCTATAAATGAAAATTAAAAAAACCAATCACATCTAACATTTATTTTATTTATTCGCAGCAATAACACCAAATTACACATCAATATTAGAGTAGAGTACAATTTCAGAATTATTTGTGACGAGTGTAAGATACAAGGAATAATTAATTTTACCATTGCATCTTTGGGCAATTACAATATTGGTTATATTTAAATGCATTATTTTACAAACAGTTAAACACGTCGAAACTTCTACACATTAGATTAACCTCATAGGTTATCCTTGGAACAGATTAAATTATCTAACAGCCAATATAACTATTCAAAGTACTGAATACATTTCATTAATCTATAAATAACAATCTCATTTAATGTACATAAATACGACATTTTATACTTACACTACGATTATATAATTTGAATATTAAAAAATACATTGAGATTTCCTCCTACCTTATTGGATAGAATTTAAAGCAGTTGGTTTTGGGAATAGGGTCTTTTTAGTAAAAAATAAGCTTTAGTTATAGAATTAGATGTAAGTTATAATACGTCGAATAGATTTAAACAAAGAAGGAAATAAGTTTTGAGTAATAAAATTAAGAGTAAGTAAAATTATCTCTCACTAACCTTTGGGACGATAGATCAGTAGTTTGACTGTGGAGATATTTTACGTTACAGTATTACAGTTATCATCTAAAATATCTGTACTTATTTAATACATTATTCTATTTCTTTAAATGCTTTCAAACTCTTAATACTAAAAAAGCATTGTCTTTTAATATAAGTTTCAACTAACAGCGGGTAACTCTTATTTGGTATAATTATAGTGTTGTTATAATTTTTTTTAACATTGAATTTTTTTACCTACATGTGTTGTGCGACGAGCGGCTGTCATCAAAATTTACAGAGTTTAAGAATAATTTATACACCATCAATATATCTTATAGCTAAGCAAGCATTTATGGCAAATATAATCTATAATGTTAAATTGTGTGGCACGATATATTTTTTCTTCAACTAAAACTAAAACTACTACACAAGAAACAATTATTTACAAATACAGCATATCATGCATGATTTAATGTCTCATTTCCAAATTATATAAATAAAAACAAACAAAAGTAATATCACAGCAAAGAAACGCATAAGCCGCCATCCCTTATCTTTACATCGTAATGCAAGGGTCAAGGGATAAGTAAAACTCTACATCATCGGTGTCAGGAATTAGAGTCAGACGATTGCGCTTGCGCTTGGAACTTTTCTTTTCCTTAGAATGGACATCCTGCCTTGACTCTATCACCATTTTCTCCATTACTCATCCGGTCCGAAAAGATGTGCCTTCGCCAGGGTCAGCAAGTACAGCAGGTTTTTCTGGCAGTGGCCTGTTTATCATTTTGCTCGAATTATTAGAATTAGTCGATTTGTTTGAATGTATTGTTGAAGTGTTTTGGGGGAATGAATCGTTTAAAGATTTCAGTGGTGTGTTAGGGACGCTTGAAATCATCTTTTCTCTAACAGCTCGTAAATATGGTCCACGTGGCACTGCTTGTTCTGCGATAACATCAGGCATAGAACCTAATAAGCTCTTTTTTTCTCTGTCGTTATTTACAATTTCAGCATACAAATGAACAGCAAAATCTTTAGGCTCGAAATATTCGTGGGATAGAGGTGGATGCCTACTGTATGGAGATAATGGTGTAAGTTTATCAATAGATGGGGTCCTAGTACCCACACTGATCATTTGCTTTTTGTTTTTTCCTACCCGCGGAGTGGTATTCTGAAAAGGTAACTCGTAAATGTTTTCTTGGTCAGTTGTCGGCACAGAATTGTTTGAGTTACAACTTTCTTCGACTTTTATTAGTTCGTATAAATGTTCAATCATTTCACGAGCCTCGACGTAGTTCTCGGGATCGTCTAGTTTTTCTTTTAAGTTTTCCAAAAGTTCTTTGGTTAATTCTTCAGGCAGAGTCTGTGTTGTTTTGTCTTCTGCAGGTACGAGTACATGTTCTTGGGGTGCACTCGGTATAGTTGTTTCTTGTATAATATTTTCTTGAACTCGTGGTTCATTTAATCGATGGCGTTCTGAATATTCATTAACTGATAATTGAGATATGGATGCTGCGTTATCAAGCCCGATATTTCCACACACGCATAATCTATCGCAAAAACCACACGAAGAGTTAGAGTTTCTAAAGTAGTCTTTAATACTTACGCAGTATCCTCTTTGCTTCATCCATTTAAACAAGGTGAATAACAGAGCCATCATTATACATCCTAATATTGTAACTATAACGATACCAATCACCTTTGCATTACGTTTCGATAGTCCGCTTTCACTGTCCTCCATAAAAATGTGTGGAAATCTTGGGTTCTTGACTTCTTTTGTTGCTTCTTCGCCTTGAGCATTGTACGATTCACATTCTATACTGGTTTTATCATTGCATACGTTCTGGAAGAATTTACTCAACGCCATATTTTGATCATAAACATTAAAACATCTTGCGAAGAATTCATCAACAGTACAATAACTTTCATTTACAAAAGGTTCGGCGGACTCAACTCCTAGGCCGCTTGCAAACCAGAAAGACATATTGCAATAGCAGGGTTGTCCATAGTAGTTATTTTTATAATCTATATATTTTTCATATTGCGTAAATGCTTTTCCCAGAAAATGCAAACTTCCGGGATTCATTATTTCAATTTCATTGTCTTTAAAAATAACTTCATGAATGTTTCCACTCGATCCAATAATTGCGTTAGGCGCCAATTCATCAAAAGAATTTCCAATCATATAAACTTTGTTCCAAGATGATAGCTCAAATCCTCTTTCTTTGAATATATGAAATATACAATGTGAGATATCAATCAATACTACTGTTGAATTAATAGCGCCTGTCTCGACAATATCAATTCTGCAACAAAAGTGATTATTGTATAAATTGTATAATTCAGGTGTAATATAGGGTATATTTAAGTAAATACTATACAAAATTTAATTAGACTCACTTAGTGTGTGATATATTCAGCTTAGCCACAGCCGACTGTAGTGCTCCGGTTGCTAAATGGTGAATGGTGCAACCATAGAAATGTAGATTGTTGATTAGAGACTTCTGTGAAAACGACTCCCCTTCAATAACTTGAAAAGTAGAATTCATAGCCATAACAATATTGTACGTATTTGCTGAAAAGGCTTCCGGGTGAATTACTCGTACTTGAACCCCCACCATAGATATCAATGCAGCTGACGAACCGAATGTTTGTCCGGCTAACTCAGATATCGACAAGTTTTTCATTTTGATCTGAAAAGGTTTTAGACTTTTTTATTATGTCTAACATAAGTTAGTTATTATATCTAAAGTAAGTTAATTATTATTAATATTAATTTTTTTATACATACACAAAGCAAATTTCGCAATGCAAAAATACTGTCGCATTCATATTCTAGATAAACGTGGAATCGAAACTAACCGTCATCCCAGGGCCATGTTCACCGACATTGGCCGCAGTTGGGTCCAACATGAATGATCCGCTTTTCAGTTGAAGTTTTCCAACGTTATCAATGTTTATGGATAAAAGCCAAGAAAAAGCTTCGCTCTCGATCGAAACATATACGCAGTGCTGGATTGACACAGAGAGAGGTCCTGAAATAATTTTCAAATTGGTTACCTTTCAATGTCAAGTAAATCAAATGTTAAACGAATATACGTTTTCTATCAAAACATGGGTCTGGCTGGGCATGTTTGATAATTAACACGTGCTATATTATTGTACCAGTGCAGTAGCAACATGCGTGAACACGCCTCTATTGTCTACGATACATTCACGCTTTCGATTTGCTTCGTGAGTCATTATCCTGTAAACCACGGATACCGAGTCGGGGAAACGATATTTTTAGATAGCTATCCGCGTACGTCTGCTCGCTACCGGTAAACGAGAATGCGTTGGCAAATATTGTGTGACATTACAAAAATACTGCTTGCGAATTTAATTATTGATTACTCAATCTTTAGATTATTATTTAAAATAATATAACGGTCTGCGTGTTCGAATGAGAACACAATTCTTGATAACTGAGATTGTCCAGTTACTCAGACCCCTTATGTCTTGCGTGTACGTACAATAAACCAAGCGGCTAATAAGTTGAAACGGGTCTTTCATAAATGGAGACTACTTTATGCTGAATGAGAACAGCAATAAGCGTTTACAAACAGGTTTCAATAAGACTCATGATGCATAATATGACAATTTTATCACATTACCTATATGTGATTTACCGTAGTGTTTAAAATAACTTTTTTGAGTACAGAAAATTTGAATGGATTTTCTTTATGGTTGTTTTAATAAATCCGTACTGATCAAAATATTCAGGCACACTGTAGCGTAAAAGGGATTATAGAGATTTCAATCTACTTCGCAGGTAAAATATGCAATAATGAAATATTCGTATCTACCAGTTTTTACAAAAATATTGTAGAGTACGTACATTTCTTTGAATTTCAAAATCACGCTATTCTTTGTATTGATATGGTATAAACGAGGAAAAGTAAATTAATTATGTATTACGTGGGAAACGCCTATAAAAATCGATGCATAGCTTTAAAATTAATGTAATTAAGCATTTGCAGATAAACATAATTATGAAACTTAAGAACATGTCTAAAAAGTGTAGTAAAATCATAAACATTCATCGTTTATTGGCAAGTTTGAAAACGAGTTTGCTATTTTTAATGAGGATTGCATTTTATATTATGGATTTTCATAACAGATAATAATTTTCATATATAACAATATTTGTAGTTGGAGAAAATCTATATATCTTTAGATTTATTCTCCTAAAATCCATCTTTAAGGTCCAAATTTATCCATTATCAGAATTAGTTTAGCGTAATAATTAATTTAAGAACGTTATTATATTTGTATTTGGGTAACTATTACTAACTCCAAGCTGTGGAGATCATTGCCGCTAGAAACATTCAGTTGTTATTTAACGATACTGCTGGATATAGGATACGTCACTGGTCACGTCGATATAACAGTCCACATGTTACTTAAATGAACCTCTCGATATTGTTAAATTCATTTTATTCTCATTAAAGTTTTAATCTTGTTTGCGCTTTATATTACTTCTGTTCACGTGCACAAAGTTATAAAATAACATTTTCAGTCTCAGTTCAAGAGAAATGTCAGGCACTATGAAACTTTAAACACAAATTTGTACTTAAAATTTGTACAACCGAATGTGATAATAGTATCTAGACTTAGTAATGCGTCAAAGACGATGTGTTATTGTGTCCAACAAATTTAGTTTAAAATTTTTCATCCTAAAGGTCGACAATTGAATAACTCACAAAATACGAACGAGTAGGCGTACGTCAGTGGTCATTACGTACATGACTGACCCCGTATAACAGTCGGGTAATCAACTTAGTTTGCCATTTCAAATTGTTAGCTATTACCTTTACATATTATTGTACTAGCATTTATATTTTTACGTAAGACAACACTCGGTAGGCCACGATAAATAAATAATGAACCGTATTTATGTCACGTCAAGTATCTTAAGTCGATATACTCAAAGCAATTTAGCAACGAAAATATAATACCTTGAAGCGAAATAAAAATACTACAGATTTTAGTAAAACACAACGACCCGATAATCGGGCTCATCCGGCAAAGCGGCAAGTGCTTCTTCGATGCAAGGACCGGTTCTCTCAATAACTACTACTTTTCCTACTGTACGCTGAACTTTTACTTCAACAAAATTAAGAAAGTAACAACTCGGTACGCTATAGTGGAGAGAGCTTGCACAGCAAAGTTTCGCAAAAGTTTCTTAGAAAGCAAATTATGTATGGTGGACATTATCAAAAGATCGCAGCTCGCGTAAATACAACTAATTGGATCGCATTAGCAAATATTATAAATCGCGCAGCATTAATTTTAGGTAAGAATATAATAGATTACCTTTTATATTGATAAAGCTTCTCTCTTCTATGCGTAGGACTTCACATTTGCTTATGTCGAGGTATAGGTTGACGATGTTCATCTGCATGGCGGAAGACTTTGATATGAGTATTGACTTTGTATCTGATATATGAACAAGTCTCGCATCGCTGAGTCGGGATAGAGCGTTCGAGTTAATCGTCACAGCTTGGGCTCCGGTTATAATCAGGTCAGTCGTGGTGTCGGGAAGTTCGCCCTCATATATGTCCAACTCCTGAAATAAAATTTTTGGATTAACATTTTGTTCATTCATTTTAGCAATTTACACTGTAAGAGACTGACCAACTTTAATACTCCAAGGTTTTTCGTACAATCAAAGAACATTCCACAGTCATGCTTTGTTTGGCACTACTCTTCAATAGCGAACATAATTTGTACGCGTATTTTTCACATTTAACACGCTACGGCCGTTACCTTTGCTGGCTAATGCACTTCATTTACAAACATGCATCCGATGGCATCGTCAAAAAGGGAACGGATACGGGCTGCTAATTGAATTGAAATGGGGAAAGTGAATTACTGGACATTTTACTATAAAACATGGAACATAATAAATGCATTGGTTAATCCTTCACTGTGGCGATTAAATTAAAACAAGTTGGGAACGCAGTAACTTTTCAGACGTGAATAAAGCGAGAGTGGACGGCCCATTCACTATTAACAATTGTTGCTGCCAACCAATAGGCTAACATCCGCAAGTTTCTACCGAATTTAAGCAGCTGATATCCGTTCATTAAATTTGAATTAAGTAATTGTGTTAAGAAACAATAAATGCGACAATGTTATCTATGGAGAATGCAGATAGTTAAATATATTAGTTTGTGTTTAGTCGTTATCGAGGAGTTCACATTCACTTAGCTCAGATAACGACCGTGACTCATAAAATACAATATGGATGTTACAAGCATTGTGTTCTCAGTTCTTAATAAAGAAATTATGACTGTAACTTTTCTTCTGCTTATTTTAAAGTACATGTTAGAATCGATAATATATTTTTTTACTTTAAAATGGTATCCTCGTACATATGTTGTACCATGCGTAAAGGTTTTCTGACTCAAAAGCGAGTTTGTAACTTTTCAACTTTTGTTTGCCTTTTTAGGACACATCAGTTTACTGCAATAAAGCTACTGTATACCGTATAACATTTGCTCGCTGGAAAGTTAATATTACGTAATTAATTAAGGATAGTCGCATGAAATTTGAGTGCTGTATATAAAATTTTATTTAGACCCTGATTTAGTATCCCGTTCATTTCTTCCGTTTTCAATGCTCTGATTCCATAATTAAATACTATGTGTGTGCTATATGGCATACTCATATTCTTAAAAACCTTGATCCATATTTTAATCAGAGCATATGACAAGGTAGCTTGTATAGCTCATAATTTATTAACAAAATGTGATAAGTTTCTAAGAACAATAGATGGGCGTAACTGCTGTGTTCAATAGCAACAATTTGTAATAGGCACTGATACAGCGGTTTATTTTTTGCTTTGCAAAGATACATATCCATTAAAATAATTTCAAGATTTTAATAAAAAAATTGGCCTTTTCATTCATTGTCATTTTCACATAAATTGTAAACCTTTACAATTATGATTGAGAATGTTTATCAGTGAATACAATATTGAGCTTTATGCCGCTGCTGTATCGATCATTTTGCAGTAAATGTAAAGCAAGTGTGTTATTGTGCTAGTTTGATGTTATGAATGACTACGTGCTACATAATCTCAGTGAAATGATTGTTAACACTAACCGGACTTTATACTGCGTACCTAAAATATCAAATAAAATTGCTAATAGTTTGATATTTGTTGCTATTGTTAATAAAATAATATCTATCTATTACTAACAATGTTTTTAAATTTAATCCTAAATAAAAATTTAAGGCACATATTAAGAAATAATCTGCGAAAAACAATTTTATCACTATAGATTTAGATATCTTATCTCTGCTAATATTATCGGCGGCCTATTTTTCATAATTCACGTACAGAATGAATAAACTCCTAATCTTCCCCAAATAAATTAGAACAGAAACTTGTGTTAATCTTGTGGCGCGGCATGACCGGCTAACCCGGCGCGGGCGCAGGAAGCGATATCTCTTGATGATTTTTTTGTGGTTTGTTCGTTGCTCCCGCTACAGTTTAGTTTTTAAATACGTATCTCAGCATCATTGGAAACAAACATTCACGTTAAATCTATAACCATTAAAATGTTAGTCTGTGTATGTGTACACAATAAAGATAATTGAAAACAATACTTGATGGGATATATATCATTAACAAATCTAGATGCTTGATAAGCTTTTTCATACAATATATTATATAGGCATAGTTTTTTAAAACGGTTAACCTTTTGATAAAATTTGTTCACAATACGTTAACAGCGTGTAGCTTATGAATACCTACTTGAACTTTTTTAATGTTCATCGTAGCGTGGGTTGTCGGCTGACATGCAACAGGTGTACAGCGAGCTTCTTATTAACGCGTGACTTACACTGTTCTACAACTCAGATTTTAAACAATTTATCTGGAACATATGCTATTCTAAGCAAGTTTAATACTTGTTTCTCGATTTTTTAACATTATAAATTGTATTGGTTGCATAATTTTATTGATACGATCAAGAGGCTACAAGTTTATGAGTGTTAATATTACAAATAACACGTGTACGTATGTTAACTAATTAACGTAACTAATAAACCGTAAATTTAGTTATGCTATCAATTCAAAAAGAATGTTATGCGAGTTATCCATTGATGAGAGAATGTTGCTCACACATGTTGGTAGTCTGAACGTGACGCAAAACAATGCACTCACTAGGGGCTACACATAACTACAGTACATAGTTTCCGGTTTTACTCTATTGCCTTGTTAAACTATGCAGCGATTTAGCAATTTTGACTACGGTAGATAATTAACGAAATTTGATTTGTCGAATTCCGGATTGGACGAATTACATTTGTATCAAGTACATTTCAATAACGACATATTTTCTTTTGTTTAACGTATATCATTATAAAACGAAATTTTCGGTTGGCTATTTTGAGGAAGCTTTAGTCCAGTATTATCTATTATTGTTTAGCTAATATGGTTTGAGGCTATTTAAGTGTAATTGTGCCGTAGACGTCTCATCGCGTAATTTTTCTAGGTTTAAAATGTATCGGTTTAAAAGTTTTCGGTCGTAAACATTATTTGCTTTAAACAGACCAACCTATAAAAACGTAATCTTGGCAAGACTGGTGTTATACAATAATAGATACAAAATAGAACAAATCACGTATGATCACTGGTTGAACTAAATTTGATAATATTTAGATCTTAATGTTCTTATGTCTACAAAATAAATTTCAATAATTAAAATAAAATTTTAACTTTTAATCTGAATTCACGATTGTTATAAATAATTCAAAAACACTATTCTATAAAAAATCCAGCCTGACTTGACTTTTTTTAATTATCGAACGCGATATTCCACATTAGATAAGTACGTAAACGAAATATAAATGATGCACCGAAGATGTTATTTATTCAAAACGTGTAGTCACAATGAACCATTTCCGTAGTAGATATTATAAGACAACTTCCGAGTAAACGCATCGTTACAATTAAGTATATTGGAATTTATTTTACTGTAATGTCCAAAAGGTAGGTAGACATTTATATTTTCTCACGATTCGAAGTATTCACCTTAGTAACAACACATTTCCCAATATTTTTTAAGCATATGCATTGTATGTATGTGGATGCTCATTTAATTATTATAGTTATTGAAGGATTATGTCACTTTATTAAATTACGACAAGATTTAAAGTACATTACACTAAAATAACTCGTGGTTCGTCTTCCTGAGATTGCGACTATGGCAGGATTGGAATAACAACTTGTTTATGCGATGTCTTGAGATGACACACAATGACGCTTTGAGTCCAGGCTTCTACCTGCCATTGAACAGTAGACTTTTATTTTGTTATAATTGATAATGAATTAATGCTTCTTATTTGTATAATCCGAATTTTAACAAAGAGTATTCTTAACTATGGCGTTCATTTTATGAATCTATTGCGTGGATATGGATATACATATCCACTTATCAGATGCAATTGGTCCTTTGTTCCTAATTACACAATCAATATAGCGATAATAATGTTGTCGTTAATTAAAAACTTTTAAGTATGTAAATTAAGATGATGTATATAAGGTAGGTACTGGTTTCTTTCTTATAATGGCTGCCCGTTCAAAACTTTAAACAATTAACCCTCATCAATTATGAGACCAATTCTCGCAAAGGAAAATATAACTCGACCATTGGCGACCGTATGTTTATTAATACACATTCACTTTGTATACCTGATCATTTGAAAGAGTACAGTTGACGACCAGCCAGTTGGGGTGTCTTGCGGGGGTGCATTCACAATAATCGCGTTCACATATGTCCGGGTGGTCCACCACTTGAGAGGCATTGATAGAAAAGAGCATCAAAAGCACTAACATCACTGAGGGTCGCGACATGTTGCCGCGCACGTGCGCGACGAACCGCGCGCTGCGAACGTCATGCACCGACTGCCGCGGGCCGCTAGCCTGCCACCGTCTCTAGAGATCGCGCTGAGCTCTATCCACCAATAGTGTTGCCATTTTATTCATTCCGAAAATATCGATATCGATGATTATATCTAATTAGTATTTGTTAGCTCCTTGTTAGTAACGATCGTGCTTCATTTATTTAATGTTTCTACTTTAATTAGTAATGCCCAGTGTAATTCGTTCTCCTTGAAGACCATTATTTTTTTTGTCACTATTTATAGTCACTAATGGCGAGTATTGTTCGTTTCGCTTTCAGAGTTACAAGTTTTGATACTAAAATGTAATTCTTAATTTTTTTAACATTTGAAGGAATTAAAATATCGTGAACATTCTTTATTAGAAAATATTAATTAGATTTGTCCTAAAATTATAATTCTGTAAAGTTCTGAAGCTTCACAGCCAAGTGTTATGTATATAACTAGATCGAGAATTTTTATTAAAATGTGTATTAATTTTATTTAGTATTTTTGTAATGCCAATGCTTCTTCAATCTGTAGCGAATATACATTGTCTTAATAAGTAAATATATATAAAGCTTTAGTTTTCTTAGTTGCTCATGTGGTTGTTTGAAATTTTTTGCTTATAAAAGATAAAGTGTTACTCAAATGTAAATGTCCCCCTTATGTAATATATGACCCTTGTTGTCAGGGTATGGGGAGTGTTGTGGTATTCTAGAAACAAAAATATTTTATTACATTAAAGCATTATATCAGAATTGTCGACGTCAAGTTAAAGTTATCGTAACGTTGACACGTCCCTACCTTTTTGTGTAGAACTCAGTAACATAGACTCGGTAAGGTCGAATAGCTACATTCCTGTATCCAATAAAATCTGTCAGATTTGAATTACTTAAGATTTCACTGAACGCTTGAGCTTAATTCTTGAGGCATGAACATTGCCTTGTAATATAGTTCATTCATAAATTTAATTAAACTGTATCCTTCAATTTACATCGATAAATCCCCTTTTTTAACTACATACCTAGGTAACACTGAAAATGTTTAGAAAATGAAAAACGGCTTAATGTAGAACGTTGCCAATAGTTGTATTTTTCTTCGAAGTAATCTCCGTTCCTCTTTACACAACGTCGCATTGGAACTACTGAGGGCGCTGCTGTCGAATTTTTTTGCAAGACAACAGGCAAACAGCGATTGACATACGAGTCTGCAATAACTGTCCTTCCATCTTCTAGCACAACTGTCGCGAAATCACCTTTCCGACCAAAGAATGAAGCAATCATCATTTTTTCTTGACTTCTTCCTTTCTTTACCTTAGTTGGAAAATAAACACCCACTGATCTGATTGTCTTTTAGTTTTGGGTTCGTAGCAATATATCCAACTTACATTACCTGTAACGATGTCAAATACAGCATTTGAGTCACCGCCATTTAACTTATCTAACATTTGGCGACACCAGTCCACCAGTTGGTGTTTCTGGTGGAATATGGGGAATCCATCTGGTACAAAGCTTCCTGACGCCTAAATGTTCGTGTATTATTTTTTGAACTTGACTCATACCAATGCCTAGGCTTGCCCGTATCTGCTGATAGGTCACTCTCTTATCTTCCTCTATCATGCGTCGCACAGCACTGATGTTATCTTCAGTAGGTAGTCGCTGTTAAAGGACGTCCCTCACGCGGACGATTAGTGAAATCTTAAGTAATCATTGAGATTGCTACGTCCACGCTTGAATTCGTTAAACCAATTGTAAAATTAAACCAATTGTAAAAAAAATCCTCGCACGAGATGAGACTTCATTAAGAAATGCTAATCGCAGCCTATCATAGCCATGTTGTTGAGTAAGCCCACAACGAAAGTCATAATAAATCATTGATCAAAAATTATCTCACGTTAGGTTCATTTTCAAGTGTAACAAGAGTTTAAGATATGCCGCCAATTCACAAAAACAAATGACAAATGAATGCAATATACTACATTCGGTTACCAAAGAGTTCTAAAATTGAAATTCAAAAAAAGTTTTCTTTAGCAATGTTTCTAACTGGCCAGTTCTAAACATTTTCAGTGTTACCCACGTATATACAACAATTTTATACAAATATACAGGTTGTTAAATTTTTTGTTACTTGGATCATATCATGAGGAAATAGATTAATAAAATTTATATTACAAATAGTTAAATTAAGACTTTGCCTTTAAAAGAAGAAAATACGTTAATTGAATTGCCAATAGCCATTTAACTAATATATAGTATTACAAAACTAAAGTCAGAATAATATTCATTTCCAGTAGTAATAACTACTGGAACTAATGAAAAATACGGAATAATTTGTTTACGTAGGAATATTTTCATATCTACTTTCAGAGCTACAAGCTCCGGCTCTAACAATCAATTTTGCAACCTCGATAATTAAATATGGGATCACAATTTGATTCTAGCTCAGTGTTTTCGTTCCTATTTTTTACTAAATAACACATGTAATATACGTCTACTCGTATTGTTAATTTATTGAACATTGTTCTAAAAATAAACAATATTTGTCAAAGTACATAAGCAAAATTGCATAACATCATTATATTACTTTAATTAAATATTCCTTGAAACTATATCGCTTTTACTTTATAATAGAAATTTTACACGCTTTGGCATGTTTGAACATAAGCTAACGCGCAAACTACAACTTTTCACTCTAATTCAGAATACTTATCGACGCCGTACTATTTTCAACTGTAGCCATTTTCGTAATTAATTACGCCACGTATTTTTTATTATTATATGATATCCGAGACAAAAATGCTTCAGTTTTGAAACTGTCAGCAGCCTTTCGGGACTGCGAAGTAAAATGATCAAATGACACACCAGTGTCCTTTTGAGGGTTACAGTTCCATTATTTTTTCTGCAGATGTGTTTCGACGGAGCGCCAGTTTTTGTCGGACTTCGTAGCGGGTGCTGAGAGTACTGCTGGGGGTAGATTGGCACGATGGTTGGCACCGACGCCTCGTGTCGAACCTTCGAACTGTGACCTTAAAGCTCCAGCCACTGTGGTTCTCCCATCAACACGAGTTAATTTACCCGTTGTAGTTCGAGATCAATACGGAGATATTGTGACTTCACCTGCCGTTAAAATAGAGGTAACACAAATTTATTACTTTGAATTCGAAATGCAAAAATATTAAATTTAATATACCTTGTTTACTTCAAAGATATTTAATATTTATGAAATATGAGCGTCTCCGGAAATAGATTCCTTGAAGGTAATTTTCTAACTCCAAGTCAAATGATATTAATTTATATAATTTTCGAGAATGCGTTACATCCTTGACTTTGTGTGAATGTATTTAACGTGTTGTCTATCATTAGATAAATGAAACTATCACGAGCTATTGTGACGTAATCGATGCTAGAGGAAGCTATTAGGGCTTTAATTCTATTGGGCGTAAGCACGGCTAGTATCCAATTTCAGTAACATCGGCGTCATAATAAAACATTGAAAAATGAGTTTTCTTACTTACTAATTTAATAAAAATATGAAGCGGGTTATTATTTATACAGCTGTAGAGGAAAGCTTTCACGAATTTTATTGTATTTTTATTAAAAGTACAGAAACGAATGAAACGTCGCCGCCAAACCGATTGATGAATTGGTCGTAGGTACCTTCATTCGATTATATCTCAGAATAGTTTATTGTTATACCAAATAAATAATTATTTTACAGTTCTATATTTGGGTTTATTTTTAAAGGTCATAGTACAAAACATGGCCATGTCCCTACGTATGTGTCGACCCACGGAAGCCGAACAAGAGGGTGGAATACCAAATGTACGGTATAGTCCAACAATAAGAGAAACTATGCGTTTTCAAACGATCACTATGATGAAGGTAAAATTTCAGTTTTGATTGGTTACATATAACAAAAATTAAGGACAGTCACGACCAGGTAAAATGATTTCTTATTTAACAATATAGGCATACCAAGATTATTCTTGGGAAGAACTCCGGTTCGCCAGTGGTTTATGGGGTGAGGAAAAGTTGAAAGGCATTGGAATACTGAACGTCCCTACGGAAAAGATAACCGTGAGAGCTCAAACTGATGGTTCATATTCAGCTCTTTGGATTCCGCGAGCCCCAGGCAAATACTTATTTAGATGCACCCTGGACGACCAACCTTCTCCACAGGTAAGTTGTGTAATTGATGGCTTCACCGTTTTTTTGTTCTTAAACCTATGCAGGATGACAATATAGTAATAAAAATATAATATTTCTATACAAGGGTTTATTATTTTGGTTTTCGTCAGCCAGTTTGATGGACTCAATTTATCCTTTGTTTTATTATACTTCACCCAATCTCTTATGGATTTTATGCTGGAGCTCCCTTCCATTTGATCGCATACAACGCAGGGCGGCTGCAATCTTTGACGACCGTGCTCTTTCTGATCGGCTTTCGTAGAGATTTCCGTTCCCTCAAAATGTGTTACCGGATTTATCATGGGGAGTGCTCTTAATATTTGTTCCAACTACTACCTGCGGCTGAATTCCATCATCGGACGTCGAGGCAGAATATAAAATTCCATCCTTTCTATCTCGACGCCAACACAGCGCTTTTAAAGGCACATTCTGCCACGGACCACCTATTTGTGGAACCAGCTGCCAGTAAAGGTATTTCCAAACCGATACGATTTAGGTATGTACCATCCGGGTTTAGTTGGGTGGCGGTCACTTTATTCAAAGTAACCCACTCGTTTGCCTCCTTGTCCCATAAAAAGAACAAAAGTGCCTCGTGAAGCATCTTTTCTAAGTCTTTTGAAAGTTCAGAAATTAACTTCGTTTCGCCGTTTATTTGTTCTTCGGCCATTACAAGTCATATTTATAACAATAATAAGTAGTTATTATAAATAATATGTATTTGCCAGCAAAACTTACAAAATATGATATACATATTTTGCAGCGCGTACTTAATTGATTTGCGTAGACAATATTTTGGTTTAATATGTGTAATAATGTAATAATCATAAATTTATTTAATTAATATTTTGCTAACATCATTTATTCAGATCAGCCATTTAGATGTTATTTTTTGCAATTTTATTTGTTTTGTGTATTAGATACATAGAAATTCACAAAAATGAGATTTTATGTTACCAAAACACTGTCATCGTTTTTAGGTTTCCTCTGAGGGTAAAATAGTACATAGGGGTGTTAATATAAAATCAATTGTGATATAAACATCTGCAAAACAGTCAAAACTTTACATATTAAACATGTTACTTATTTTAATAACAGGAGGTAATAATAGAAGTCCCGGAAAATGAGAACGTGGATTCTGAAGAATTATGCCCCACGGCAAGCGCTCCCACGAAACTTAAGAAGTTCATGGCACAATGCAGTGCTGGCCTCCGTGTTCGTGCCAGTCCCAGTTTACAAGCTGAAGAACTTGGCAGAGTTCCATCTGGTGCTTATGTCACTTTTATCGAGGAGGTAAACTGTTGTTCCTTGAAATTCTACACGTAGAGTTTTAAAGCTATACTTAGTTATAGGTTTATTCTAACGTGGTATAGTATGGAATATAGTTACGTTTAGGAAACCATTAGGAAGGTCTGTAGCTCAGTAACGTAAATGAATTTTGAGGGTTTTGATTAGGTGACAAACAAGGATGGGACGTGGGTACGCTTGAGCAACGACTCTGTACAAGCATACGTAGAGGGAAATGTAGACGTTGCCTGGTGTTTGCAGTATCACAGGCAGCTCGACCGCGCCCTACTCGGACCTGTCGAGGATGGACCTACCACTCCACCAGTAAGTTTTGCTGCATATTTTTACCTTCTGTTGTACCTATACTCTGATTTTTAATTCCGTAGAATTCTGAATCACTACTGCTAGAAAATAAAATGTTATCTTTACTTGTGCGTTTTTTACTGTTTGTGATGAATAGGATCGTAATTGCCACTCGCCGTTACACCACTTTTAATGTGGAGCACCGCACCTAATAAAATGGGTACATTAACTAACAATAAAATGTATGTATAGACTCAAATATTCAGACTCGTATTGAAATTGAAAAATGTGCCCGGGCATGAAGGTTTAAATCACTGACATGTCAAAAAATTATAGCTGTCAAAATTCTACGGAATTAAAAATCAGAGTATAATATTAGGTCCTTACATATGAAATTGGCGTTTTGTATGGGAGGAACAAAAAGTCGAATATTTTTAAATATAATATATTTAATTAATCAAAGTATGAACCATTGTTTTCTATGCACTTTTTCCATCTCATAGGTAGTTTATTGATCCCTTTACTAAAAAAAACCAGTTGGACGGGAATCAATAAAATCTGTGAAGGCGATTTGGACTGCCCCATCAGAGTTAAATTTTTACACTTGCAAGAAGTTGTCCAAATTTCGAAAAAAATGGTAATCTGTTGGACCAAGGTCCGGGGAGTACGGAGTATGTCTTAGACATTCCAATTGAAGCTCTTCTAATTTGGTAGCCGTCTGTTGTGCAGTGTGTGGTCTAGCGTTGTCGTGAAGTAGCAGTGGCGTGGAGCGATTGACCAGCCTAGGTTGTTTAGCCGCTAGCTTTTCCATCATGGTTTGCACTTGCTGACAATAAACGTCAGCCGTAATAGTCTGGCCAGATTTGACAAAACTGCAATGAACAATACAGGCACTAGTCCACCAAACGCTTACAAGTAACTTTTTTGGGGTTAATTTTCGCTTGGGGCAGGATTTGTCTGGCTGGCCAGGATCCAACCATTGCGCTGAGAGCTTCCGATTATCGTAAAGAATCCAGTTTTCATCACAGGTGAATGATTCGGTTTAAAATACCTTCATTATTGTGCCGGTTCAGTAATGTAACGCAGCAGTCGACGCGCGTTTGCCGGTTTGCTTCAGTCAATTCGTGAGGTACCCATCTTTCAAGCTTTTTAATCTTCCCAATTTGCTTCAAGTGAATTAAAACAGTTTTATCACTAACACCGCAGCCTGCAGCTAACTCGGACGTGGTTTGCGATGGTTCAGCTTCCACAATAGCCTTCAATACTTCATTATCAACTTGGGTCTCAGGCCGTCCACGGGGCTTGTTCTGCAGGTCGAAATTTCCAGAACGAAAACGTTGGAACCAAAAACGAACTGTGTTTTCTTTTGCAACATGACCGCCATACACATCATTCACCCTTCGAGTCGTTTCCGCAGCACTAGTGCCACGGCGGAACTCGTACTCGTAAATTATGCGAAACTTTAAGTTTTCCATTTTGTAAAATGAGTGACGCAAACAGAAAAAAACAAATGAATGACGGTCATCGAAGCAAAAATACATGAGTAAATAGCTGTACAAATTTTAATTTGGAATTCCTTACCAAAGAGGAGAACATCGTGATTTAAGTGGCCAGTACGAAATACGTCAATTTCATATGTAAGGACCTAATATTTTCAGGCCTGTATTCACTTTTATTAATGCGAGTGCAAGTGATTAGTGCAGGTGATGAGTGATTAGGAGAAAACAAGTGTGGACAGCGACTGATTAGTTGGCTGCGTAGTATAGTGATTAGAAGCGTGTTCTATTTTTTTGCGAGTGAACTGCGAGTAGTGACGTCGCGTGCGCCGTCCCTTCCCCCTCAATCGCAGCGTGCCTGCCAAACTATATGACTACTGAATTTACTTAACAGAGCCACTAAACAATAATTGGACACTACTTGCACTACACACCTGCACTATTCAATGTCAATTACTAATCACTCGCACTTATCAAAGTGAATACAGGCCTTTACTAATCACTTGCACTCGCACTAATCTAAGGCCTTAAAAGCGAAAGTAATTGCGTCAGTTTTATTTTCTTAATTCATACCCTAACTTTAATATATGCGAAGATTATTTCTGTATGCTTAAAATAACTATTACACTGCTTATTAATTTACACTTCAGTCTAATAGTTATTTTAAAAATAGTGATTGTCAAAAAGTTATGGCAATTTATTCATAAAGCAAGGGTATAGGTTCAATATGCATATTTTTATAACAGTACAAGGAAAATGCAATTAACCGCTAATTTCTCATACTAACAAATTGAGATTAAATTGATCGATATATTTAACATCATTGCAAATTCATTCATACTAGAGAACAGCATAAACGGCGACGCCGCTCATTGCGCTAGTTCGGTAGGATGAAAAGAATACATATATACGACCGGAACGTAAATATTGTCGCTAAGTTCACTTGTGTCGAAATCATAACATTGTAATAAATTCAAAACAAAAATTAATTCGGATTAATAATATACGATATGGATACGATTGTTTACTTTTAGATGTTCAGAAGTGTCGTATGAATTTTTAAATAAATCTCAACTATACACAATGTGTGCCGCGAAGCGACCTATAAAAACGATTCGATCGACTTTTTAATTTCAAAACCATAAATTGTAAAAAAATATTACAGCGATTCTACCAACCCATGATTCATCATAAAGTTACTTTAGGTAATGAATAGAATCACAAAACTTGTCTTCAGCGATAAAACCCATAAGGTAATTTTGCTTGGCGTTTCTAAAATTGTATATATCGCGTAAAATTCCTAGAATTAGCGGTCTAAATACTTAATTCAGATAAATCTATATATATATCTTGTAATAAATTCAATAGGTTCACGTTTCATTAAATTGGGTTAACTCACGTTATTAAACATTATGTAAAAACCATACATAACATAGTTTAAACTAGAGCTGTTGCTGAGTTAGGCGAAATAAAAGAATTTGGTGGTAGGGTAACCGATCATAACAAATGAGTCAAGCTACTTTGTTTGTATGTTCGAGATTATTTTATGTATGAAAATTATTCCTGTAAGATGTGGGAGTTCTTGGTAAGTCCTCTTTAGAATAAAATGCACTTTTGGATCACATAAATTTTTAAGGTTTCCGAGTAGCTTTTCACTCCTCTTTGCGGCACTTCACTTAAACAGATAGTTAACCAACTTTTATTAATGTCTAAGAAGACTATCTCTTGTTAGCAAATATTATTTAAAATTTATTTTTACCTATAGTTTACTAAAGTGAAGTGTCAGCCGGAAGAGACAATATATTTGCTGAAGAACTCAAAAACCTCGGAGAAAAGGTGTCAAAATCATGAAAGACTTATGTCACCAGATCTGGGAACCGGGCAAGTGGCCGAAGGTCTTGGAATAATTTGCATAAAAGCCGAGAACTCATGCTATTCAACGTGCCCATGATTAAGTGTTTTCTTGATTATTCTATGGTTTTCGACTGTGTAAGATGGGATAGCTTATCGTAGATCATTAGATAGATGATCGTTACAGAGCACTTAGTGGAATTGATTGCCAGCCTATGGAAGAAGGGAGAGTCAATAGTCAGGGTAAACCACGTAGAGTCTGGGCCTTTCAAACCGCAAAGACAAAGAGGTTTGACAGGGATGCATCCCCTTCTGTTCAATATTTATTGGGAATATATTATGAGGGTAGCGTTAGAAGGTTGGGATGGAGACATTTCGATTGGAGGCAACAAAATTAGATACGCAGATGACACAAAGTTATTTGCCTCCTCAGAACGGTAAGTGACGGAACTGTTTACCAGAGTGCAGCAAGCAAGTGAAATGGTCGGTCTTTCTATTAATAGGGTAAAGACAAAACTTATGTTAGTGGATCGGGCTGCACTTCAATACGTCCACGTTCTTGAGAACTCGCGGACTTTAAATTATGGGTCTCAACATCCCTAACGAACTAAGGCAAGTTGAGGATAGAGTGGTGTGGAGACAGCAAGTCGATGTATCGCATAGGGCTTTTCAACACAGGTATGACCTTTAGTAATGAAGATTACGAAGAAGAAGAGATAGTTTATTGTTGTTTCTATTCCTAGCTACTACCACTATTATTATATTATCACCATGTAATTCATATTGTGTCAAATCACAATTTCTTTATTCGTAAGACTTAAGATTTATACGCATAAACGAATTTCATAACCAATTTCGGTCACATAGACAAATCGACAGAGGTCAAAAGTTAAGTAGGGCACGGCAGGGGATGGCCCGTGCGGCGTCTTTTGTTTACTAACGATATTTCCCTTCTTTTCGCACAAAAGCCTAACACAAAACGGTAACATCTCTTGTAAAAAACTATCCATTGTATTTTTACTACATACAAGTTGTTGTTTGTAGTAAAAAGGAAAAAAAATGTGACCAAAAAAACGGCTAAAATAATTTTGTAGTAGGTAAACATTTATTAAAAATATTAGTACATAATTCAAAAAGTTTATGACTACAGACGGTTATATCTATATTCTTCTTAATGGAAGTCACCAAAAGTGTTGTTTCTTTAGGAGGAGGGTTTGAGCAGCTGGAGTCGATTAGATGCCCCATCAGAAATACCAACACGGCCTAACAAAAGTGATGCCGCCGATGGTAAGCATTTTATCCCTTTTTGGATAATTATTATCAAAGGATGGCTAACTCGTCTAAATTTCTCATTTCCAGATATAACAACAGAAGAGAGACCTTTTCCGTTTTCTATCGGATGTGATCTTGGAGATGTAAGTTTTATAAATGATATTAATAACCATTTGTTATTATTTATTACAGTTAAGTAGCTAAAATAATACGGTAGAAATCTCTAATGTTATAAATTTTTTAGGACGACGAAAAATCACATGTTGGTGTCCCGGAACCAAGTAAATTTGAGAGACGAATGAGGAATGAAGCAGTCGCAATGATGCAGCAGCAAGCTGCAAAAATTGTACAACTGCCTGAATTACCTATGTATGTTTTAGAGTTTACGCTTACCTAAAGGGCTACGTACTCATAAGTTATTATAAATATAAAAATACTTTGTATTTTAAAACAGATGTTTTTGTCAAATAATCGAAATTCTTGAATTTATGAATATAATAAGGGATTCTAAAATTAATCTATCTAACTTTAATCAACAAAATGAATTGTTTAGAGACCAATGTCGTCGCAACAACGGAAATGGGGATGGAGATGACGAAGATCTAGGACAAGCTATACGCCCCGTAATAAATGAAGTAAACGTCGCAAATATTATTGCTGATGTGAACGATGCAAACATTATTAATGCTGTGGATGCTGTAGCAGCAGCTCTTGATGAAAGCGCTAAAGTAGTCAACGATGCTAGCAGAGACGATTTCGTTCATAAACCACAAGCTATGGATCCAGCCGATAACGCACAAGAAATCGAGATTGGATCGGATGATAATGAGGCTAACGCATTGAAACCTTGTCCTAAAGATGTTGAAGTCGATGAAAACATAGAAGCTGTTCAAATAAGGAACGCTGTAGAAACTGCAAATGACAAGCCCGATGCCAAGAGCGTTAACGATGAAAATAATGTAAGTAAACTAAAATGTTATTTGATTGAATTTTAGCAATGCATTATTATAATCTGTGCAACGTTTACATATAGGATAAAATAGAAGAAGAGAAAAAGCTAACACAAGCTGCAACACAAACTTCGCCCGAGACTAGTGTACAAGGACAAAGTTCCGATCAACCTACACCCAGTACATCAAAGGTAACATAAAAAACGAAATTATAACTTATTTCATCGGTATGGCAGACACATACTTGTCTTTGCTTGCTTATCACAGTTTTTTATTATAAAGATAGAAAGATAAAAGATAATAGATAGAAAGCCTTCAATAGCGAGAATGCTAGAATTACAATATTTATTCAAGGTACAAATTTGTATTGACAGGGTGAAAAAAGAGTTGTCGTAAGGGAACGTGTTGGAAGTATATCTAGTTATAAGCAGTCTTCACCACCGCCTTTACCGGCTCGAACTAAGCTAGCACCCATCAAGAAGCAAGCACAGAGCCCAGCCCAGGGTGAATGTCTACGAGCCATATTTTCCGCGTTATTGTGGCATGAAGGTAAATTATATATGTTTTTTTTAGCAATAACAAAACATAATGACATTTTAAGTTTAAGTTTTTTTCTTATAGATATATAGATTCTAATTAGTAATTATCTAATTATTTTTTAAATAACTTATTTACTTGTTTCATTTGGTGTATTCAGAAATAGAGAAAGCTAGGCCCCATTACAATAATTATTACTTCCAGGGGTGTAAGCTCAAGACATCGGACATAAAATTCAAAATCAAAACTAACATGTATACTTTATATACCTATATATTTCTAATAATATATTTCCAGGGACCGTCCATGATGCAATAGCGTGTGCAGCCTTTCTTAAATTCCATCCACAATTACCAAAGGCTGGTGCGACGGTAGTGACGCGGGCTGTCGCACAAGACTCCCTTTTGCCCAAACATCAGCGCCATTCTGTTGAAGTTTCCAATGCAGGTATGATTACATTTGGGTTTAAAAGTAGATATTTATTAAATTAATATCACTATTTTAAATGTAATTTTGTATATTTTTATCTCTCACGGCAATAAATCCCATGTGCTTTTTTTTCGTTATAAATACGATCTTGCAATATAATATCCATCACAGATGCGTGTATATTGTAAAATAAATAATTTTCTTTTATTTAATACTAGCTCAGTTTCACATGCGTTTAATTGATTTTGTTAGTATGTCGTTAAATGGACTAACCTCGTTCGTTCGTTCGTATCGTTTCATCAAAAAAACTCTTCATGTCTGTGTACCTATATACTTTTAGGTATAACATATTTATTGCCATATAAATTAGCTTTAAGGCAAGGTGATATTGCCTTTTTAAGCATGCTTTAATTTATTTTTTGTAATTTCAGGCCAGTACCTTCGAATAAACCCATCCACGCTAGAAACGTTGACCCGTTCAGGGACCGAGGCAACTGCAAGTCGAGCTCGGCGAAGCGACATTAACGTAACAATACGCGAAGAAGATTCCCATTCTAACGTATTTGAAGCTGGTCAGTATATTTTTTCTAGTTTTCTCAAGTTTCCTTCAACGTACGAGCGTACGAACGTCAATTGTGTACATGTAGTGTCGCGCGCTAAGCACCTAACTAATACTGCTCTCATCTCGTGTTTATGAATAAGACTAAGATAACATTCAGATACATTGACAATATTATCGTGATTTTATAATATTTTAAGGATTAATTATATGCGAAACGAGTTCAGAGAATCGTGGCATGAATATGTATGAAAAGATAAGTACTTATTACCATTGATGCATTTGGTTTTAAATCGGCTTGATTTAAGTATTGATTCTGAAAAAAAAATTCAATTCGATTAAAAATAAGCCTGTATTTTTGATGACAATTTATTTCCTTCTTAGAAAGCAAAAAAAATATACTACGAACATAAACCTATCAATTAAAATAATATGATTACACAATGGAAGACTTATAGCCATACTCAGAGTTGTTCATTAAATGATAACGACAGCAGCGATACATTTAAGATGCCTTAAATTATTAACTAATTAGATATTTTTTTTAGTTGCACCATTATTTATAAGAATAATTGACGTTTCAAAATACTGTTGTAAATTTTCACTTACCTAAATCCTATCACGAGGGACAATGAGAAGCTTTACAAATTCCGTTTCAGGATCTGTAACAAATTTATTTATACTTATTCAGTAGGTACTCAACAATCTTTAACTCTAATAATAAGCAAAATAGACTATTTATCGCACACATTTACTGAAAATCGATGCGTTCCAGTCAAAAACTATTGTATTGACGTATATAAACGATATACAGATAAACACGCGAAAACATAAAAAAATACGGTCTTATATTTCCTCAGGTCCGTCTTCTGCGTCAACCTCAACATCAGTAGTAAACGTGCTTCCTCCGGCATTGCGCGCTCTTGTTGCTTTGTGGGATTCACTTTGCGACGCCGACCAACTAAATGCCGCTACGGACAAGTAAGGAGTTTATTTATTTACTTTTTTAAACACAAGCCAAAAAATTCATACACAATAATTTCCAAGTGGGAGTGTTATTTGTAAAATCTATCATTTCATAGGCCTTTGCAAAAGCAAAAGTTTTGAAAATCTCAAAGTTGGTTCGCTTATAGTATAAATTACTAATTTTATTACGTATAAGTGCCCTAATAACTTCCTTTTTGGCTTACACTAAATTTTTCAGGCTTAAAAAGGAAGAAACGAATGATAACGATGAAATAAGACCACTTGGGGGTGCCTTACGTAAGAAAAATTGGAAACAAGCACCATCAATGAAGTTACCTTATATGAGTAAGTTTCCTTACATTTTTCTAAACTTGATCAATTTATAACATTAGTGCGTCTATTAATTACGAAATCGGTTTATTGATACTGAATATTTAGATAATTATATTCACAGAGTATCAATAGTGTTTCGATTCGGAATACCAAAAAATACACTTTACAAGAAATGACAATGACAGATGGGACTGCATAGTTTATTAACATATATGTACTAATCAATATTTGCCGTATTCATCAACCACTTTCAGATATCACACTTTAAAAACAGTGAGACAAACATTTAAATATGTCTTCTATTAATTCCTTGTTAAACATGAAAAATACCTTAGCAAGGTACCTTCATTATCAAATACATGAGTGAAATATTTTATCTTAGTCCGCTGTGAACTATGTGGTGGAGCGAATGTTTCGCCCCCCTTGGCCTCGCACATGCGTAACACACATCCCGGGTGCCGAGCACCGACCAACCGCGGCTACGACCGAGCTGGTACTTATAAACACGCTGATCCTATACCATCCACTGCTGACAGCCCAGGGTCTGCCTGTGGACAACTTGCTCAAGGTACCAAAATTTCACAACGCACCAGTTATAGATTATTATCAAAGGCGTGTGCTGTTTTACACGAATTCGATTTGACGCAAAACCGGTTTAGTTTTTTAAGTTTACATTTTAATATAAGGTTTAATTCAAACGCGGGAAAGATCATTAAACAATACCGTTTAAACTCATCGATTAAATTTGTCTACGTTTACCTTTGTTCTAAAATTTTTGGGATTGCACTGTGCACCAATAATACTGAATGAGCTTAATATGTACCCTAATTAAACCTACTTTTTTAACACTATTCAAAATCTCTAAGGAAGTAATTAAATAACGATTTAATCTCCTAAACCGTGACCACTAATATAGAATAAATTTGAATTATACTTGTCACATTATAATATCTCCAATTACGTATAGTTGTGATGTGTGATTTTTATAATTTGTATCTGTATATATCTTGAGTTTATATTTATATAATTTATGGCAATTTATATTAATTTCTTTAAAATATAGTATGTATTATAATTTTGCATGTAAAGCATGGTTTGATGAATTATTTTATATATTAATTTCCGTTTAATTAATTTTCCTTTGCAACGTCGCCGACCATTTTAGACCTTATCGGTGTGAAAATACGCGCTACCTTAGCAGCGTACCAGCTCTGGTACTTGTACTGCGAGAAATGTCGAGAAAAGGCGCTCAAAGCTTCGAGTGTTAAGCCGAAGAAGACCGTAATGATTTCGGACACGCCTGAGAGACCGGAGCCTGAGATTGACCACAACACTATGAAAGATAACGCAATCTTTCTCCTGGATTTGACTCCTCTCAATACATCCGGTAAGGATTTTTACCTTTAACATATCGTGTTTTTGATTGACTAGATAGTTGTTTATGCTGACTACAGTCCTAATCTATTAATAACTCATATTCAGATCCCAACCGTTAAAAATTTCATCAAACTTGGCCAGCTGTTTAGTACGATGTTAATTACTCTATAGTCTTACGTATTCGATTACAAACCCAAAATAAGCAAGTATGAAATTGTTGCGTTTATATTTTTGTTTCTTCATAACCGATAACTTTATTTATTTAACATAAAAAATTACATTTAGAAGCTCCTAATGCATCACCTTGGCAAGACGTCTCTTGCCGAAGTCCGCCAACTCCTCCGGGAAGCTTATGGCAACCAGCGCCCCCCTTTCAATGTCTCCCAGCCTTAGGCGTTGCCCCGAAAACAAGTGCCGCTGATGCAGCAAGATACCACTCACTTGGGAGACCTATGCCCGTAACGAATGTGGTAAGACATATTAAGGTTTTTGTGTTTATAGTAATACTAGTTATTTTTATAAATAGATACTCCTAACAAAGCTTTTGCTTCATATATATTTTAATATATTGAAACTTTAATTTCTTATTATATTTTCATAGAATAACCCATTCGTTCCAAACGAAATGACAAGCTCCCAGTATCCAAGGGTACATCGATCTGTTTCGATGGGACAGGCTGGTGGAAGGGACTTGGCTTCTGCCGCAAGACCGCCACTTACTAAATTTGAGCCAGATTCTCATGAGGCACTTTCTGGTGAGTACTTTTTATACGGTACACTGGGATAACAATAATATTATTAGTTTTAGGATTAAATTTCATCTTCTTTAACAGTTTTTTATATACCATAATAACAAGTTTTATTTGCGCACATATACCTAATTCAATTCAATTCAGTACAAAATTCAAATCCAACCTGGACTTTACGACCTTTGGGTTGAGAGTGTGACTCACGTATGCCAATACGTTTTCAACAAACCGGAGTCATACTTAGCGTTAAGTCGCGACCTAAGATTCAGAATAAGTTTCAGCGTCATTCATAATCCTATGCACATCAAATAGAGGTAGTTACCTTGACCACACATCTAATTATGAAACCAAAGGGCAAAAACATCACATCATTTGGTTAAAAATATAATAAAGAGTAGCCTTTAAGTTTAAATTTTTTTTGTAGGTGCTGGTTCCTCACTCCTCTCTCAGCCAAGTGCAGCCCTTCAAAAACTTGTTGGTTGCGATTGGACTTCAGAAGGTGGAGGAGTCTCCGCTTTCACAACTCCGCGAGTCGAGTCTGACATTCTGATGAGAAACCCTGTCCTTACATTTATCGTCGCTAAACGAGATCTGCAGACCCATAAGCAGAAGCTTGACGCCATTGTTCGTATAAATACGGTTCGACAATATGCGTTTGAGGTCAGTATGATTCAAACCATTTTAAAATATGTACTCTGTCTTTAACTTAGCTAGCTTAGCAATTATCCTAAAGATTAAAAAATATCATTATTTGTGTACGTATAAGTTTAAGCTATTATCGCTAACTTACCTTAAATTTCTATGTTCTTCTGGTGAAATGAAATTCAAGTTCCACATTTAATGAAAAACTCTTATAAAGCAAGGTTTTAATATATGTATTTGGTAAAATTTTACATTATAGGCCCTAAACTGGTTCCTGCGTTCGACAACTCAACCGACATGTGTCCACGATGTTATGTGGTGGTTCTGCAACGCACTCGACACGTACGCTCGAATAGTTCAACCACCTGATACTGATGAGGAAAACAAAGAGGTGAATGGAATTAATGTTTAACGGGATTATTTATAACATATAGTTATTACTCATTATAAGATCAATTTGTATATTATTAGCGAATTAGGTCTCAACCCCGCGTACGAATTTATGCACCAATGCGTTTTTATTTCTATGTTTGCCATCAGCATTTGTACGATGAAGGATATCATCGTGAGAAAACCGAATGAACTAAGCCAGAATCTAAAGAAAAATTGAGTATTAAAATAGACGCAACAATGTACCTTGACTCACTTAGTTTCGGAACTTCATAAATTTTTTATAGATTTTGTTGAACTGTGTACATAATAAATAAATTAAGTCCAGAGCTTTCTTCTCGGTAATAATTGTTAATGTCGTAAGACGTTTTAGACCATACCATAGCTTATAAAGATATATGGTTTCTAAAACGCACATGTGTTGGAAATATTTCAGAACGTCTTAAACAACGATGCGAGCCGTAGTATAATCCCAAGTGCTGCGACATCTGCTCTATGCCCTGGAGGTAGAGCGGCACGTGGGGCTCGTGCGGCCTTCCACGCCTTCCTGGGTTCCATCAGCGCCCTTGCCCCATCCTTACCACCAGCCACTGCTGCCAACCTTCAGGCAGTTCGCTGCTGGGAACTGCACTATTCGCAGCACGATCGGGCTTTCTTGCACAGGTATACAATTAACTTAACTATGTAGATGTCTATTTCTCAACGTTGATTGTGTTAGAAGAATTTTACGTTAATAAAATTGTTTTGTTGCTAAAAATTATACTGCTTTGGCTTATACACTTATGATATGTCATATGTTATCTCTATTTGTGACTCTCCAATGTCTCGCTTGTGAATATTTTCCTTAGCATACCTACTTAAAATTGAATACACAACCAATGATTTCACTTACTAATCACTGTATTATGTTAATGGCACGTCAGTAAACGACATGCGATAATGATGATTTAACATTGCTTTTTTAATGCTGCTTGGGATAAGATCGCAAGTGTTTAGTGTTATAAGCAAGATATTGTCGCATACTGAGGACGGGGTCTACGAGGATGGCATTTTGGGAGCACTACACGAAAGCTATCAGAGCTTTATTAATAAGGTATTATGCGATTATCTGCAACATATTCTACGCTCAATTCAATTTTATAAATTATTTTTTTAATCATAGGTTAGATATTTTTGCAAGTGTTTGCTTATTACTAAGCTGATCTTATGTGTATTTTTTGATACAGTTGCTCAAAAAGTGGCGTATTGCAGGGACGTATAGCGTTCGGGATGTGGGCTATTACACACTCGTGTTTTTTTTTACCTTTTCCGAACTAGTGCGTTTTCTTTCCCAACTGTCAAAATAATGTCTATTAAAAAGAAAAAACCAACCTCGAAGTTTTTACTAAAAAAAATTCATAGCAATTTTTATGATTCATGCAAATATTTCTAAAAAGAAGCTACTGCTTTGTTTCAATATCAGATTTAATGATTTGATTCAATGAGTTAGGTTAGGTTTCATTTCATCTCATTAAATTTCATTTCATATCAATAAAAAATTGTACTGAAGACTTGGCTGTATGGGCATAGGTCCCTTTGCCTACCCAGAATGGGTGAAGAAAAAAAAAATCTGCTTATATTCTTTTACGGTTGGCGCCATTTTCCATAAATGTTCTTTGCGTTAAACTATTTTTAATACAGTTGCGAAAAAATTATGCAATTTAATAAAATAATAAAAAAACAATTAACTCAACTCACTAATCATTTATTTCTTATACAAATTATTGTTCACATATACATTAGTACAGTTTTTTATACTAACTGGAGAAGTTTTAGGTTGCATATTTATTTACTGTTTGAGACAAACTATTATTTATTTCGTATGATTATTCTTGTATATTTAATATATAATATAACAAACAACTAAACGCGCAAAGAACATTTTTGGAAAATGGCGCCCACCGTAAAATAATATAAGCGGATTTTTTTTTCTTCACCCATTTTGGGTAGGCAAAGGGAACTATGCCCATACAGCGATGTCTTCAGTACAATTTTTTATTGATGTGAAATGAAATCTAACCTAACTCATTGAATCAAATCATTAAATCTTATATTGAAACAAAGCAGTAGCTTCTTTTTAGAAATATTTGCATGAATCATAAAAATTTCTATGAATTTTTTTTAGTAAAAACTTCGTGGTTGGTTTTTTCTTTTTAATAGACATTATTTTGACAGTTGGGAAAGAAAACGCACTAGTTCGGAAAAGGTAAAAAAAAACACGAGTGTGTAATAGCCCACATCCCGAACGCTATACGTCCCTGCAATACGCCACTTTTTGAGCAACTGTATTAAAATAGTATATTTCATTACAAGTGCGGAAAGCCTGTCATTGCAAAGAGTTTCGACAAATGTCTACCCGAGCCGAGGCGCAGCCGAAGGTGAGGGTTGACAGTCGGAACAAGTTGCAATGACGGTTCCGCACGTGTACTGAACAACTATTTTTAATACAGTTGCGAAAAAATTATGCAATTTAATAAAATAATAAAAAAAACAATTAACTCAACTCACTAATCATTTATTTCTTATACAAATTATTGTTCACATATACATTGGTACAGTTTTTTATACTAACTGGAGAAGTTTTAGGTTGCATATTTATTTACTGTTTGAGACAAACTATTATTTATTTCGTATGATTATTCTTGTATATTTAATATATAATATAACAAACAACTAAACGCGCAAAGAACATTTTTGGAAAATGGCGCCCACCGTAAAATAATATAAGCGGATTTTTTTTTCTTCACCCATTTTGGGTAGGCAAAGGGAACTATGCCCATACAGCCAAGTCTTCAGTACAATTTTTTATTGATGTGAAATGAAATCTAACCTAACTCATTGAATCAAATCATTAAATCTTATATTGAAACAAAGCAGTAGCTTCTTTTTAGAAATATTTGCATGAATCATAAAAATTTCTATGAATTTTTTTTAGTAAAAACTTCGTGGTTGGTTTTTTCTTTTAAATAGACATTATTTTGACAGTTGGGAAAGAAAACGCACTAGTTCGGAAAAGGTAAAAAAAAAGCACGAGTGTGTAATAGCCCACATCCCGAACGCTATACGTCCCTGCAATACGCCACTTTTTGAGCAACTGTATTAAAATATACTATTCAATAATTATGTTCATTTTTCTACAGCAATGTGTAGATTTTATATGTTACCTATATAATATACCTATATTTAATCGATGCAAATAAGTTCGTATAGTACGGAAATACAAAACTTTTCCTACCTCATAATTTAAAATATATTTTTACAGCAACAAAATTATTTATGGAGCTGTCCAGAAGTGACCGGTTGGTGTACTATAACGGTCTCTTCGCGAGAAGGCATGGCTGGTGCCTTAACAGATAATACCACTGAGACATTTTGGGAATCGGGTGATGAAGACAAGAACAGAACTAGGTGGATTCAAATTGCATACAACGGAGGATCAGCTGAAGATCGGCCACATATTGTCTGCGTACACATTGATAATACGAGAGATACTGCGGTAAGAAAATAATTTATTTTAATTCATGTTTTTTAGGCACAGTTTTCTTCTTTGCAACAATTTTTCTTGTAATGATTTTGTAGCTTCTACAGAACACCATTGTAATGCGTTTATGAAAATGTTTTCTAGTTTTAATCCGTGGATATTCGACGTATGCAACGCCCTAGTCTGTGGTATGGTAATCAACGATTTAAAAAACATTGGTAGTTGGAAGAAATTAATTAGATATTTTGGACTAGGTACTTTGGTTTAATTTTATTAAGGCGTTGCGGATAATGTGAGAAGGACAAAGTAACCGTTCTAATGTGCCATATATCACAGTTTAATTAAATTTTATCTAAACAAATCGTTATCTCTTTACTTTTTCAGACAAAGACGCAATTGATAACTTTTTGGTATAGCGGTGGACCATCGGAGTTACTGCAAATGATGGATGTTGATGTCGATACGAAAAATGCTCATTGGGTGTGCTACATATTGCCTAGTAAGTCATAATAAAAAAAATCCCGTGAAAACCTATGCGACAATTGTTTCCCAAAGAAACATTAGTTCCTTAACATTAATTTAAATAAATAAAATAAGTAAATGAATCTCATTAAAAAACAAATTTAATTTTTTGATTTATTGTAGTATGGTCATTGTAAATGAAATTGTCTATGTCATTTCAACTGTATTATAATCAATATGTTCCCGATTCCTAAAAACTTAATATTCTCGCTTATTACTGTAATTCAAGTACACCTAAGTATAACCAAACCTTATATATTTTAAAATTTTATAGAATCCTCAAGCATATCAGTACGTGTACGTTGTGAATTACGTGGGCCTGACCCGACTGTACGTGTACGCCAGGTGCGCGTACTTAGCGGTCCACAACCCCACGGTACGCTCTCACTACAAAACCATCCGTTACACTCATTGACTGAAAAAGATACGCTTCGTGTCTTCAGATTATTGACGTCACAAGTAAGTAATATGATTGGTCGTGCAGTAGTAGTAGTAGTGTTATATAGTATATATGTTACTGTAAAAGCTCGAACTGCAGTAAATCCTAAGATATTCCAGTAAAACCTAAGATCTACCAATTCCTAATGGTAAATGTCCCAAAAGGTTTGCGATTCGAACTCTTACCACCATTCCGTTGGTAAATCTTAGGATTTACATTAATGGCACGGTAAATGTCGAAAAACAAAACATGTCATAACGTATAATAAATTAATAAGAAAAATAATTATTAAGTTAGACTAGCTTATGTAAGCATTATGTTTGTATTTCGTTGATAAAATCCAAATAGAGAACTACTGATTCAGTTAGATAGATATGATAGAGATTGAGATATTCAGAGATATACGTTATGTGTTTTTCAAAATAATTTAAATAAGTTGGTATTAGTTTGTACTTATTACTATCATATGATACCTTTATAATACTATGTACCTGTTTTGTCTAATAGTTCATTAAAGTAAATAATTAAGAATTACTCATTGTTTTATTCCTAAAACCAACATCTACCAGCGAACAGTGGTAAAACCTAGCATATACTGAATTCGAATGGTAAAAGCTCGAAAAAATCGTCGTATTTTCAGAAATTCTTACATTTACCAACTCATGTCGGTAAATCCTAAGACTTACACTTAAATCTTAAGATTAACCGTAGTTCGAGCTTTTACAGTAACATATACATCACGTTTAATTTTTTACTATTATTATGTATTGTTGCTTATTGAGGCAAGTTCAGGAGAAGGTTTTAAATCTTTTAATGTTTTAGGTATTTGGTAAGCTCCTGGAGTGGGAACAAACTGGTAGTGATTCTGAAGGTGTGGTTGCTGGTGAGAGCACTGGTGACGACAGCGATCTACGCGAACATGTTGTTGGGATATTGTTCGCCGGGCACAAGCTTACCACCTTACAAAAACAAGTTAGTGTTATATGAATTAGGTTTTAATAAACTCACGACCGGGCACGTTTCAATATATTGAAATGTACTGTGATGAAAATACTTTAGCAAATTTCAATATTGCGGCAATTGCTCATCAAAAATCTAAAACATTTTTTCATATACTATTAAGTTTATGTATATTTCATAAACTATTACGTCGTGACCGATACATCATCTTATGAATAGAGAAAGTATAAGATAGTTCAACGTATTTACAAAAATAATACACAAAAACCGATGACGCGTCAGGCACCAAATTTGTCTGTAAAAATATTCTGTTGCTGAAACAGTTGCAGTAATTCAGACACTCGTAAAGGTTCGTAATTTGTAATTATTAGTTATAAGAACTAAACTCATATTTTTTTGTAATGTGAACATGAGATGGGCTAAGTCAGGGTTATTTTAAGGCCTACAATAGTTGATGGTGTTGTGGGATACTCAAAAAGCTATGGAAAGCCACTTATCCGACAATATTATATTCGACGGTTTTCTTCAATTTCCTTTCTATTAATATGTTTTACAAACCTAAAAATTGTTCGCAGATGCAACCTGGTAGCCTTTAATACGTTAGCTAACTGCTCCACAGTTATACTTGTACTAATTCGTTGCTCCAGGTCTCATCTGGCTGCTGCGAATACTGGACATTACAGATTTTTTTTTGTAGGTGATGTCTCATATTGTTTGTGCGATTGGCTGCGAAGCGTCCCGCGTTCGTGATGATTGGGAGACGGCCCTTTTATGCGCTGAAGCAGTTGACAGGTCTGATGAAGATGCGCAACCGAGATTGGCACATCAGCAGGACAACTATTGCTTTGAAATGCTGTCATTGGTAGGCAAAACTGTTCTAAAAGATCGAAAATTTAAATAACATTCTGGAATTTAGTTTGTATAATTTGGCATTGATTAAAGTTTTAAGTTTAGTTTAAAATAATATTTCAGATGTCTAGTTAGATATGTCGACTTAAAAAACAGCAAACTGTGTCTTATAATGAAATGTTGACAAATCTAAATTTTTGTGTTGATCTGTGTAATCTGAGTATGTGAATTTAATTGATGTTAACAGCTTTTGGCGCTAAGTGGAAGTGTGGCCGGGCGTTCTCATCTTGCCCAAAGAACTGAACTCTTGGCTGATTTATTAGCATTGCTGCATACTGGCAGCGAACGCGTGCAACGACAGGTAATAATATATATTTAGCAAACATAATTATGATGTAACGTTATTCTTTATATTAAAATATTATAATATACTCATTTCAATGTGTTTATACTAATTACGAATTTTTAGGTCATATCTTTATTACGACGAATGATTACTGAAATACCGCCGCAGAAGATGTTAGCTGCCCTCAACTACGGGTCAGACTTAGGCGCAAGATATGAGACTATGTAAGTGAATATAAGTAGTTTTTTTCTATTATACTTCTATGTTGTGTGTGCATAAACATGAAAATTTGTATTTTAAGCGCCTTTATCTTTTATTTCTCAGCTAAATTGATTTAGCAATTCAAACGGAACCAGCAAGTCACAGACAACCCTAAAAGGAAACTAAAAGATGTCATTGCTTAACTATTTCTTTCTTATTCTTAAATATAGAGACGGACGCAATATGCGGTATATTACCTTTTGATTGAATTTAATCACAATTTTTAAATGTTTTTGAATTTAGAATAATAAATCAGTCCCGACTGAGCTAGCGTACCCTATTCCGCCGATCATCTAAAACATTGTCATTTTAAATTGTACAAAAATATTTTGTTTATTTATAGGGTAACACTACTAGATCACTTAGTGTGCTATGTGGGCAAAGCGGTAACTGTCCAAGTCAAAGTCAAAGGTGCTAGTGGTGCCAATTCAAACACAGTAACAATGGGAGGATCTGTTACGCCTGCACCACCAGCTACTTGGTTTATGAGGGGCGAAACTACGAGGAACCACGCCCAAATTGTTGCCAGACTTCTCGTCGATATGGCTGAAGTTAGTTTCAATATTTATCACTTATACCCTGTCTGAGCAGTAAACATTAGCATAAAGACAATAAAAATACCCCCTTCATACGTTATGCAATGGCTTTGTATTTATTTTTTATACAAACGGGAAATTTTGCCCAGGCGTGTATGGAGTAAAATAAAGAGGCGTTCTTATTTAATTTTTAGTCCCTTTCTCGTCAATTTATTGCGGTGGAATTTAATATAAAAATATCATAATACGAACAAGATTATATTCGAATTCTAGTGAAGGCTATAAGGGGCGTGTTGTCTATTTTGGCAATCCCGTCAATAGACAGGTAGATATTCTGCTTCTATCATCTCTACATTGATTAATCACTGTTTCGGTATTACCACTAAGTCAGTGTTGATCTTTATGTGCCTTTATTTATGTATGTATACGAACTATCAAATTATCGTGTAAGGCTCTCAAACTATGGGTGCTTTTGGCGAGAATCCAACAACAAAAATCGTACTTTTATTAGTAATATACCTTCTTTCCCTACTGGCCAGCGATACTATCTGTTGCAAAGGAATTTTCTGAATTTTTGTGGATTTATTATTAAGACAAACGTAATTTCAATACGTGTTTTATTCTATTTTAGGATAAAATATCTCCAGCATGGGGAACAGCGACTCGTATGGCATTAGCCGAGTACATACGGGCAATTGCAAATGTGGACGAAGGGGAAAGACGACCTCAAAGATGTATTGCCCAACCCACAGTTTGGCTTGCTTTAGCGGCTTTATGCGTTTGTGAACAAGAACATATTGAACTGTAAGTTCATTTTAAATATTCTTATTGAAATCCTCAAATCGACTTAATTTTTTTGTCAGTTTCGTATCAAGCATGTTCCAAGGAGTAATCATTCCAGTAATCGGACTATAAGAGTATTGGAGGAGAAAGCACGTATGTTTGTGAAAAGAAACCTTACCGGCCAAGATTTTTTTTACATTATACATAACGTTGTATATTTATTTTTCAGAAAATAATTAATTTTCTTCATATTGGTAGTGCTACTTAAATATTACATCAAATTTTGCCACGGTAATCAACAGACAAATTGAGAAATATATCATGTAATTTAATAGCCCTACGTAAGGAAAATCAAATTAGTTTATATGAAAATTGAAAACGCTTAATTTGTTAAACGGTCTTAACAAATAAAATGTAATATGAGAACTTCAATATGATGATGCCACTTGTTATTGATGCATTTAATATGATGAGCTAGGGCACACATAGTATACTTACAATATATTTTGCTGACTTTTTCAGAATTAACAACTCAGGTCGTGATTCTCGTAACCGGGACTCCATAGCGGACTCTCGCCAGTTCTGCACCAACCACGACGACGGGATAACATGTGCTGTTATAGAATGTCGCACTTGTGGTACACTATGTGCCGAGTGTGATCGGTTTCTTCATCTCAATAGAACCGCGAGGACTCATCAAAGACAGGTACAATAACAATTTTACATTTTATAAAACATTTTTTTTTAATATTGTTGAAGTTATTAAAGAGAATTTATTTTAAACAGATTTGCAAAGAAGAAGAGAGTGCCATCCGTGTTGACATTCATGAAGGCTGTGGCAGAGCTAAACTCTTCTGGCTATTGTTGCTTGTGGATCGACGTACTCTTAAAGGTAATTAATAACAAAGAAAAACCTCATAATCCGAGGTATACGATAGACCTTACCGGATACACGTCATTTGTTAAAAATCTACCCTTAACCACTATGGCCGTCTCTTAGGACTGGCAGAATTTCGTGGAATGAGCTGCGAGACAGGCGAAGAACCGCCAGATGCAACTGGCCTTGCCGGTGTCTGCCGCTTTTGCGGTACACGTGGAAACTCTGGCCTGCTTGCTATTGGCAATGTATGCGCAGACCAACAGTGCCAGGTAAATGTTATTTAACTTGTAGATTTGTTAACGAGTTAGTTAGTAATTTAAATAACTGAATCGAATAGTAATCTAATTTCACTACTATTTTGTCTTTATAAGTAGTAAACATTTTGCTCGTTACTCAATGATTTATTCAAACGAAAGAACATTCAGACAAAACTAAGTTTAAGATAATATTATTAATTGATATATTTCTTATTATTATTTAAAAACAAATGAGCCATAAAATAATGATGCCTGCGTCTGGCATCTTCATGTTTTTCATTTTGTCTATTTATAGGTGTTAGCCCCGTTGTCTTTTATTGGGGAATTTAAAAATTCTAAAACCTGAAATAAGACAGAACTGCCACAGCTTTTTGTTTATATCTACAGGAACATAGCCGCGAAGCGTGCGCCCGTATACTTACTTGCGGTCACCTTTGCGGTGGCGTGCGCGGGGAACGTTCATGCCTGCCTTGTCTCTTTGGATGCGCCGGCGCAGGCTCGTTGCGCCAGGACGCTGATGATATGTGCATGATCTGTTTTACTGATCCCCTACAAGCTGCTCCCGCAATACAGGTATTGTTATTTCCTTTGTTACTAGTATCTTGTAATTTGATTAATTTATTAGATAAAAGCGTGATGATGATGTGTTTTTTATCTTGTATCGTTTAACTACCGTGTTATGTGTACAAAAATATTAATAAAAGTAAAATTTAAAACTTTATTTATATTCTCTGGAAATTTTGGAATATTTAACTATGGAACATCAACGTTTGTTTCCTTTACAGTTGACCTGCGGGCATGTTTTCCACTTACATTGCTGCAGGAAGGTTCTCTTGAACAAATGGAATGGGCCGCGTATTACATTCTCTTTCTCGAAATGTCCCATCTGCAAGGTAAGCCTTAAAGAGTACATAGAAGATATGTATTTGTGTGTGGGTTTTGTAAGCCGACCCTCCGACGAATCTAAATTAAACGAAATAAATGAAAGAAATAATGTCAGGTGTATGTCCAATTCGACTGATTTATTTATATTTTCTACAAATTTTTCTATTTTGATTTATTCACGATTTATATCTTGTTACACGTTTATATGTTAAGATTTAACAATATCAGACGTATTCAATCATTGTTTTTGAAGACTTTCCTTAAAAATCAGCATAAAGAGATGCGTTATAATAATCATTACGTCAATTAGTAAATATGAAATTCTAGCCAATTAAAGACATGATAGTATTCATGATATGGAATGACGTACCTTATAGGAAGACATCTCACATTGGACCCTCGAAGAGCAACTAGCTCCCATCAAAAAGTTGCGTGAAGAAGTCCGCCGCAAAGCCTTAATGAGATTGGAGTATGAAGGCTTGTCTGCTGGAACCTCGAAGGGCAAAAACGTCGGAGACACTGCTGGCTATGCTATGGATAGATACGCGTACTATGTCTGCCATAAGTGTGGAAAGGTGAGATTTTATTCAGTTGGTTGTATGAAATGTTTTTACGTCATCCGTAGGGGTTAACGGTCTACTACAGTAGAAGTAAATTTAAAACTACTAAAAAAGAAGTAATTCCCGGAACTAAACGGAACTTGGAGACTACTTCATAAGAAATTGAAAGTGAACGGATTCTGAGTTTTAAACCAGTAGACGGTCTACTCTCTCAAGTCTTGTCATTATTAACTTATAATAATAATAATAGCTTATATTCAGATATATTTATATTTTATCCCCTTCTAGTGTATCTGTGTGTTTTTGGCAAAGGCCTCCTCCAAACATTCAGAAAACAAACACCATTATTAACTATGCAATTTTAAATTGGTTACGCATTCTTAAAGTAAATATTTCGATACTTAGTAATATTATCCTAATATATTTTCATTGAAGGCTTACTTCGGCGGGTTGGCACGTTGTGAAGCTGAGTCGAATTCGTCATGGGACCCCAAAGAGCTGGTATGTGGCGCCTGCAGTGACGTAGCTGGAGCAAGGACTTGCCCCAAACACGGCTCTGACTTCCTCGAATACAAGTGCCGGTACTGCTGCTCGGTGAGTGGAATATAATATTATATGATTCTGATACCATTCGTAATAAATGCGCCATTTTTATAAAAATATGGAAAATCTACGAATCAGTAATTACGTAAGCGAGTTTGTGAAATAATAAATCAGATATTTATTTTTAATTTACGTAAAATGATACAATTCATTGAATTAGCAGCGGTAGGCAGCTTTCTCCCTCTCATCACTGATTTCGTGTGATCAAACCCCGGCTGAATATGCAATAGTAATTCCATTTTTAACCGTAATAAAATATCAAGTATCTCACATACCTCCTCACGCGCATACACAGACACTATAGGTGTAAATGGGGTAGGTTATATTATTCACTAGGGTGATTAATATCAATTTTTGTTTCATATTTAGAATTATAATTTCATATAAGCCATATGGTGTGAGAACTATACGATTTTAAGAGACACGAAGGCTGTTCACCTGCTTGTATATACGATATATAAAAAATATCAGAACTTCAAGACTATTGGGTTATAAGAAGTATTATATTGTAACGCCTATTTATATTTATGTTTTATTATTCAAGGTGGCAGTGTTCTTCTGCTTTGGCACATCTCATTTTTGTAACGCGTGCCACGATGACTTCCAACGCGTTACCAACATAGCTCGCCATATGCTGCCCCAGTGTCCAGCAGGTATTTCAACTTATTACAAAAGAAAGAAATATAAAATAATTTTAGCGGGATTGCTTGCGATCTAAAGTACAAGACAGAACGAAAAAAAGGGTGCGTGTACGCACCATTCTTACGCGCGTACATACTTATGTAAGAAGTTATACTTCTTTGGCATTATTAATAATACATACGGATAGTTAACCTCAATTTTATTGAAGCACTTAGGAAGGTTGATGAGCACAGTTTTTTCACAAATATTTTCTAAGATTAATTAGTATTGATTTAAATATTCAATTTAAATCACTTCTAATTATAATTCAGACGCACATATAAAATTAGCACTTGTATAATGAAAACAAAATGAAAACACGTGTTTTAAATGTAGAAACTCAAAGCATGTGGATAAATATTATAAATATAAATACACAGTGAACAGAGGCGGCGTGCGTGCCAACATGCGGCACTAACTTCATTCTGTTAATTTTGTGTCACGGTGCGCGCGCATTGTAAAATTTCACTCTCATCAATTATTCATAACGCGCCTAAAGAAGTATAACTTCAAAAATATTAATACGTATAGTGGTATTAGTAGATTAACGTTACCCCCAACGTTTTGTGTTAACTGTATAAAGAAAACGTTGACCAATGGAAATTGTCTCTTTTGTTTTCTCTCTCCTATCAGCATGGCCTAGTAATATATATGGAGCATTTTATAAGAGGTCGTAAAAGCTCCCATTAGCAATATTATTTATTTAAATTCATAGACACGGTATCTTCAAGAGTGAAACATTTTAAAAATACCACAACTTTTTTTTACCACAAAATTAAGACAAACACATTATATAAATTAACATACATACAAAAATATAAAAAGCGGTGCCGTCCTTATAACATGTGAAAATCAAGTAGACACAATAACAGTGTCAATACCTATCCAAATGTATCTACAATAAATTAATATATAATTTCTAAATAAGTTATGATAAATGTTTGAATACTTCTTGTTTAATAGGTCCAAAATGCGAGCAACTACCAGGAACGACAGAGGAATGCCCTTTACACGTTTTGCACCCTCCCACGGGAGAGGAATTTGCCCTCGGCTGTGGAGTGTGTCGCAATGCACATGCCTTCTAAACTACGTTGTCAACACATCACAAATGTACTTTGGTTGATAGTGAATATATGGTTACAACTAATTCTGAAACTTTGAAGTGGAACGAGAATCATTTTTCGTAAGGGCCTTTGTGCGCTCAAAATCAATACGATTTTTTTTTATTGGTTTAATGACAACCCAAATTAATTACGAATTTCGTTTTTTTGTTGACATTAAAACTTTGTATTATGCTATGAATTTCATGTTATTTTTAAGAATATTTAAGCTATTGACTATTTTCATTCTACTATTGACTGGTAATCCATCCATTTTTTTTGAAACGTCTATCTGTAATATCAATTTATAGTTCTGTCATATACTAATTTTGATATGTGTAGTAGCAAAATGCATATACTTTGTTTAAAAGGTTCTAGGAAACTACACTTTACGATTAAAAAATTTTGTCCAATTATACTAATATAATTTACCTTACTGTAATACAGTAAGACCCGTTTATAACGATAGGTCAAAGCGTTCTAAGCCTTGTATTAAATGGGTTTTATTGTATTCATCTAACCTAAGTATACAATTAAGGAAATGATAGGGTATAAAACTTATATGACATAATTAAACCATATTAATTACGACAAAAACCAATTCTGACACTACCACTAAAGCAAGATTGTTTCAGTATTACTTTAAAGACTCGTGAATTTCAGTGAATTTAATGTCAGTCTTGCTTTGACTGTAACCCCATGATTGCGTAAGAATCGTTTGGGCGATTTAATCGAAACATTAAAAATTACCCCCTTAAGAATACCAGCCGAATTGATTTTGAATTTTCATTCGTCAGTCAAATTTTAAACAAATTATAAAATTTCGGATATTTAAGAAAAAATATTTATAAAATAATATTTTTATAAAAAAATCCTGGCGCTCTTTTATTTTTAGATAGAATTAAGACAGTATAGACATATGAGCTTAACTTACGATGCTTATTGATCGAAATCTTACGAAAAAAAGTTTAAATTAGTTATTTTAGAAAATTGTTGCTTCGGCAGAACACGACTTAAGTTAGAGCGCACTTGGACATTGACTTTAAAATTGGCGATGATACAATATGTTACTTTCCTATAGAAAGGTAATTCTTGTATTTACTTATATTATTTCTTATGTATTTATTATGAAACCCGTACGGCATAACATTAGATATGAATTTTTCGACAAGTATTGCAGAAGAGTCTGGTAATATTGGTAACGTTTTCCCAACAATTATTAAAAAAAATTGCGTGTGTTATATATGTAAGTATGCATAACAATGTCTAAGTTTTGGGAACCCTTTAAAGTAAAAATACCTGTGTCAGGGTTCCTAGCAGCATAACAAACTCAATATGTATTTAATTATTTATTTCATAACTTATTATCTAGACTAAACAGAGCATTGAACTATATTTCGGTTTTAAATAAATATTCGAACTTACTAAAGTTCTTGAAAACCATATTAATTTATTCTTGTTTTTAAAATGGTTTTAATCTATATGTTCATAAATTATAACCACAATGTAAGGAAAGTCAAATAGGTCCAGTGCGCTCGATAGCTTAGCGATATCGAACGTGGGCCTATTCTGTTTGTCTTTTAAAAAATAGGAAAACCATGGGAAATTTCAAAACATCACCTCAAGGTGAAGTGCACTAAATACTGGAGATGTAATCCAAGGAAAGAAATAATTTAAATATAAGTTAAATTTTAATATTACATTCCATTGGTTTCCATTTATCTAAACATCTTTGTAGATTCTGATGAAATATCAGATTGTAGTTGATCAGTAGTTCATTGGGTCGACTCGCGCTTCTAGCAAGTATTTTATTTTCAAAAAGCATTTATGTTAAAAAATATCCAAAGTTAAATTTACGTGCGGCACTTCATCGCGTTAAATTATTTCAGCCTGTACAATGATTTAGCTTACCCCAATTTCTATAATAGACGAGTCGAAACCTTTTCTTTAGACAGTTCGTATATCTCCTATTCATAATTGTATAAGATTTCAACTTTGTGGAACTCGGGTATTATTATGAAGGTTCATGTCATGCGGATGTTCCTGATTGCTTTAATCTACGATATTTTTGTTACTTTATTATATTTTTTGCATTAGCTTTTGCATATCCACTGCTTATTATTGTACTTATAGTCATTATGTGTAGATGTAATAGGTGTATAAATGTCTAATAATAATATATCTTTCGTCTGTAATAAATACAGATTTAATTGTTAGTTTTGGTAGAATTTAACTGTATATTCAAATTGCCGCTACACAATTTTTCTGACTGGTATTTTGACCATAATGTCCATTGATAAGATTAATTTTATTACAAATTGAAGCATGCAACAGCATAGAATTTATTAATAAGGATGGAAGATAATGTCCCTTTGTCGTACAGCAACAAAGTCAGTTATTTCAACTAATTTGCGCGTTTGCCACTTTGCAATGGTGAAAATTTTATTTATTTATGTCAGACTTAAATCATCATATATAAAGAAATCTTATTACATGGCATGTCGTCACTGACACACTTTGGTATTTTAATGTTGTGTCATAAACACGAAACACTTTACAATTATCTACAGATGTACAGTTTTACAGAAAAATATTCATAATTATATAATTTTAAAATAGGAACGTATTTATATTTATTTTATAATTGATTATAATAACAGATTTTACGAAGTAATACGCAAGCGGCTGATTTTGTGCAAAAATCAATTTATATATAAAATAACCAAAATTTATTTCGTACTGACCTAAAAAACTTTGTCACGGCAAGAAGGCCTGTTGGTGTACAAAACGAACCACCAAAAATATTATTTTAACTCAGGAAGATCTAGACAAAAAAGAGGCGACTAATAGATCCCAAACCTTACCATCCTTATTAATTATCTATTCTGTAACAAAACACGATCGCATACGTAGTCCAGAAGTCCAGTCACTTGCAAAATATATTTAAACCACATTGTAAAAAACTAGATGCAAGCGAATTACACACAGTACATCTTTTTCATACCGATAAATTTCAACACTGGATATGAATAATACTAGTTATTTATTGATAAAATTGTAATTATTATTTATTAAATAGGTGCTTTGGCACTAAGAAAAACTACTTTTAGTTATAAAGGAACCAATTATTTATATATTAGTTTAGCCATTTTAAGGTTTATTATATTATTAATTTGTTTTAGATTGGTTATATGTAGCGCGATTTGAATTTTCAATTCCATGTTCGATATATGTCATATCAATGTTGTGAATCGATGGCGAAACTTTCATATATACGTAGTAGTGTTTCATGTTGTTGATCCTAAATGTCTAAATAATACCTAAAGACTTTCTCTGAAAGCAAGTATATCCGTATTTTAGCTTAAATTTTAGTTATATTTATTATAAAAAACGAGTTTATAGTAGTATGGAAACACAAAGAATACGTAGTTTTTCTGTCCACCAGGACGTCGAAATTTTATCTTGCAATATAAACTTCCTACAAAATGTCACTACTTTGAAATTAAAAGAAAATTAAACGATTAAAAACCGCAAGTAAACTCCATTCAAAATTATATACAATGTCTTCTTGGAATGCACTAAACTTCCTGTTTGTGACTTCATATTTCATAAATGTAACACTTGCTAGATTAAGAGTTTTTAAATAAAAATAAAGAAATTAATGCTGTTTTTAGTTACCCTACGAATAGTACGATAATATAAAACGATATATATTTCTGAGATTAAAAAACAAATCAAATAAAGTTTGAATCGATTACACTTCCGAATCTTGTATTATTCTTTAGAATTTTCAGTTTTAAAGATATAAGCGTAAGGCCTTAGCTCTGTATTCCTGTATGATCATTTTTTAAAGAAGCAAGTATGTCATCCGCCTTCTGTGTAGTAAATTTTTAGACCTAATAGATTTCCTCAAGATGTTTTTCTTCATCGTATTGAAGCGCGTGATCATTGCGCATATAGAAAAGAACACAATCCACAGTCGTTATTCGAACGCACGACCTCGGGATTGAGAGGCGCATGCTTAAGCCACTAGATCAACACGGCTCATATAAGCGTAAGGGAATTTGATTTTTGATAAGGCATTAATTATACCTAGACACATTATCTTCAATCATTATTTATGATTTTATCTTTAAATTATAATCTAAAAAAAACTCATGTTAGAATAGGGTGGTACGATTTTTTTAAATCTTATCAGTAGAGAATAAAAACAAATGATATGCTTTATCGTGTTCATGTGCAGGTTTCCGGGAGATCAGCATATGCGAGACCGTACCTGTTGTTGGCAAATATGAATTTTACAATATTATAAATCTTATTTGGGGAATATTTTTGCGACGCAAAGTCTTCACAAGTCACCAGAAATCAACTCGGAGCTCCGGGTCAAATATTTAGAGCAATTCACCACGACTATTTTTAATTTTTGTTTTTGTCGCTCATATTATTTATGTTTTGCTGACTGTGTGTACTAAATTAAGAAATGTTTAAATTTAGTAAGTGAGTGACTATTATTATTTCGTTGGTCATCTATAAATTCATTTGGCCTAAAAACCTAGCGATGTACAAATTATTATTTACTATTTACATTCACGAGTCATTGTGTAGCACTCATGCAACACTAGTGCATTAGTTTATCATTGTACAAACAAATACAAGAGACACTTCAGTCTGATATCTTCGAAAGATTTCGTCGTACAATCGATATCTTTATCTCAAAAATTCTAGAGCACCAAAACTTACTTATTGATTTGGGTTTGCCAGTTTGTGGTGCTATTTGGATTGGGTGTCATCTATGAAACTAACATGTTCTTAAAATTTAAGGTAATCTTTATATTATTATATATTTAAATAAGTTCTCATTTTTATATGCAAGGTTCATTTTTAAAAAATAAAACTAGAAAAACAACGTTTCTTTGGGAAATCGAAAAAATAGTAATTGTTTGTGTATTTGAAAGGCATGAGCAGCCTGCCTTTAGCCTTGTCAATATTTCCGTAAAACAGTAAATCATTTTTAAATACTTTAACGGAAATTACTACATATGTAGAATTTACATACATTTTGAGTGTTTCACGACTCTTGGTCACTGAGTCTCTAAGTTTATATAAAGTTGAACAGCGATTAACAGAAAAATGTTCAACAGCAGAACGAAGCGTGAAAATGTACCTTATTTCTGCTTTAGTTAACTTACGACCGAGTCATGCTTCCAAATTCGTAACTGTTACGAGGCATAGATTTCTACTTTCTATAAAAAAAAGATTTAAAATTAGTAATTTAAATATAGAACTCGTGATTGCCGAGCATATATTTTTTTTTGTTTTTGGTCTAAGATCCCGCTATACAACGACCTTCACCAAGATGCTTATTTAATGAAACTTATTTTATATATAATTTAATATGTCAATAAATATAATCCATATGGGTTGCCTAGCAAATTTCAGTCCAGAGTATGTTTAATTAATTTAAAAAAAAATATATTTTTAAACATTTCACCGGTATGATTATTAGATAAATTCTATACCAATCGAAAGTATGAAGCCCATAGAATATGCAAACGTTAGGTTGTTTTTAATCAATTAATTATTTATGTGTATATTTTTTTATGTGACACTAAAGTATATATACATCTTTAGTATAAAAGAAGGTTATAGTGATACATATATAATACTACCCTGATTAAAAATATTGATTGAAAAAAAGTTCAAAAAATTTACTACATGCAAATTATAAAAAAAAAAAATTTTTTTTAAATATTAATTAAACATACTCTGGACTGAAATTTGCTAGGCAACCCATATGGATTATATTTATTGACATATTAAATTAAATATAAAATAAGTTTCATTAAATAAGCATCTCGGTGAAGGTCGTTGTATAGCGGGATCTTATACTATTTTGCCAATTTCTACAACTATACAATATAATACTGTACTACCTACCTATAGTAATACTATATATGAAATATGTTTATACTACACACTAATCTATAAAATATTTCTTAAAGATTTGGAAAGCGAGGGCGCGTTCGTATCTTGGCATATTGGCTCTTTCCTTCAGCCTGAACACCACATGGCGAATTCCACGTGACGCATTCCACTATGGTGGATTAACATTTGCCCTTCTCGTTACTATAGCGCTGGTAATGGTCGCCTTGCCAGTAGTACTGTTGCAATTGTCAATGGGTCAATTAAGCCAGCAAGATCCCGTAGGAGTTTGGACGGCTGTCCCTCTGTTTAAAGGTAACACTGATAATAGTTTTAATAATAAAAACTAAATTATCCCAGAACGTGATTGCACTTTTAATCTCCTTGTATATATGATTCGATGGTAATTGAAAGTATAATACCTATAACTAACTTACATCTGGAAGTAGAAAATAGGTGAATTCGGTACATAACGTTCACGTAATCATTTTTTTATCTGTGTTTGCGTTATACCATTTCTAACTAATCCGGAGCAAAATAAAGTTTGATATTTACTTCTTCACTTTGGATTAGCAAAGATCATCATTAACTTCAGACTAAACGAATCCTCCTAAGCGTAGATATATTAAAAAACAATTACTTATGCAGCTAATATTGGAAGTAGCAACTTCTAAAAAATGTTTTAAAAAATTACATATATTATAAACAGTATATTCTCGTAATATTTACAGTCATAATTTTTAATGTCGAAATTTTCTAATTTGTACAACAGTGAATTAAAATCTTTCTAGGGGTTGGATACCTACGGCTCTTGATTACATATACTGCATCAATTTGTGTTATCATATATCTTGCAATGTCCGCCACGATTTTCCTGTATACTATCAACAACTCCATTCCCTTTGGAGTATGCACTGATCTGTTAGATATAGCGGTGAGTGATTTAACTTTCAATTTTGCCATAATCTCCTAGCGACATCCTCAATATACATAAAAAAGCATATATAAAATGACGCTAATTACTCTATTAGAATTATGTCGAAGTCTTAAAATGCTGTGTCGGCGCCTAATCAGCCAATTTTATGATTTAGCTACTAAGCAATTGGCATCGCATGAAAAAAATTGATTTAATTTTGAGTAAATTAAAATCCTGTAATCTCAATGATTAGGTATGTTTTTGTATATTTGTCTTTGGACTGTGCTATTACGTAAGACAGATCGTTTAATAATACATTTATCTATTATAACCGCTGCACTCAGTTATCTATTAAATTATCTATAAGCTTAGGGCAGTGAATTTTTAGCTTCCGTTAGGAACTTTTTTGAAACTAAATTCTTGGCTTTAAATTGATTATTAGATAATAATGTCCATATTTCTAGGGTCAGGAGCCTGAAGTTGTCAATTACAACGCCACACTATGTTTTAAGTGAGTATTTGTTTGTAGCTATTGTATATCCAAATATGTTCATACATTCAAAGTTCCGTATTGTTTTAGCGAGACGTTTTTTTCTCCAATACATGAGAAGCCAGAATACTATATTGCATTATCGCTGCTTATTGTTTTCATTTGGCTCCTCTTTCCTTTTATGTAAGTATTCAATTCGATTAACAGACAAACCTTTGTTGCATAATTATAATATTATATTACCTATTCAAATTCCATGTTTGTAATCTTAGTGGTTTTTTTATTGCGTATTACTAATCAAAATATGCGCAGTGCGTCATTGGACGTTCGGAGTCCAGGGTTTTTCGGAAGCTAAGTTTAAGTTAGATCTATGTCATGTATGTAACCCCAATAAGACACAAGTTTGCGCCGCGCCAAAAAAACACCCTTTGTCGCTACTCCTCTTTTCGAATACACTCTTCTTAAAGCCACATCTAGCATTGGAATACCTGGCGTTGACATATCGAACGACGTTCAGTTTCGCGGTCACTTGGAGGGAAAGGCTAAATTAGCCTCCAAAAAGCTTGGTGTGCTCAGCAAAGCGAGACGGTACTTCACTGCGGGCCACCGCTTGCAACTGTATAAAGCGCAAATTCGACCCCACTATTAGTACTATTCTCACCTCTGGTCGGGGGCTCCCCAGTACCAGCTCCTTCCACTTGACCGTATTCAACGAAGAGCGGTTCGAATCGTCGACGACCAATCCCTCTCCGAGCGGCTTGATCCTTTGGTATTGCGTAGAGATGTTGGGTCACTCTGCATCGTCTACCGCATTTACCATGGAGAGTGTTCAGAGGAGTTGTTAGGATTAATACCTGCAGCTGAGTTTTATCATCGGCACGTCAAGGCAGAATATGAAATTCCACCCGTATCACCTCGGCGTCCGTTCACAACTGATCCTTTTTTTAAGGCAGCTTTTGCCCCGAACCACCACTATGTGGAACCAGCTGCCCACTGAAGTATTTCCGACCCAATTCGACTTAGGGTCTTTCAAGAAAAGAGCGTACCAATTTTTAAAAGGCCATCAATGGTCTCGCGACAGGGTCCATGCGCAGAGGTATCAATTAATATCTGGTGAGCTTGTCTGCCCCGTGTTCTACTAAAAAAAAACTCTCAGATACTTTATTACATTTTGTGTGTTATTATAATTTGTTTATTAGACTTTACAGACCTGTGAAGTCGTTGAGAGTAATTTTCTACGTATTGGGTCCAACTGCCCCAATACTGTGGATTATAATTTTATCAGCTGCTGGAGATAAAACTAGTCTAAGCTGGTTTAGTAAGAGAGACGACTGGGTAAATTTGTTGAGGCCACACATATGGAATAAGGCAATAGCCCAAGCGTTGATAACTGCTCATGTAGCTGGGGGCTTTCTTATATCATCTGGAGACTCAATATTTGTGACTTCGGATGTGGAATGGTAAGTAGAAATAAAGTATGTTAAGTCGATCTAATACTGTCGAAAGGCGAATCTTTGCGAACTTTGCGATTTGATATTTCAGCATATTTTGGTGTACCAACGGATATTCATTTACTTATATATATTTAATTAAATTTCGTTTGTTTTGCTAAAACTTAAGTATTGCTGGACCGATTTGGCTAATTATGATCTCTAAAAATTTTTGTAAGTTTAGAGAACATTTGAAAGGTGGGAAACATAAAGAAAAAGTAAAGAAATATACTAAAAACGGCAATTGAATTTTGGAATAAACTACTCGTATAGAGATAGTTAGATGTCTTTTGTTTTTATAGAAATACAAAATAATCTCTTGTTTTTCATATATTTATAGATGCCTTTAGAACTTTGTGTTTCGTAGCTGTAGTATAACGTCTAGTGTCTTTAGTCTGTTTTATAAAATTTGTATTAAGTGCTGACACAATTATATGTAGGTAGATGATATGAAGTTCACCGGGTCATATATAAGATATATAATTATTCAAATATACATTGGAAAGTAACATATCAATAGGAAACTCCAAGACGCAAAACGGGAGATGTCTTATGGGGAAAATTGGCTTTTAATCATTAAAATGTCCCAAAGATTCGTTATATAAGGAAATACCTTTAACAGAAGGAATTTCTCTAGTCGTGATGATTATTTAAAAAATATTGGGTTCTGAAAACGTAAATTATTAGTATCCTTTTATTATTTTATTAATTAATAATTTGACAGACGTTTCACGATTGAAAAAAGCCCATGTTGCAATATCTGGGGATGATAGAAGGGTAAATCATCGTAACTTGGATCTTTCATTTTAGTTAAATGAAAAGTTGTTAAACCACTTTATATAGATTAATTAATCTATAAGTTGCTAAATGCGAAAGATAACACAATTATGTAGCACAAATTCTATAATCAAGTTTCTTATGTTTAACATAACCTGATAATGTTTAATCGTACTTTTCAGGACCTCGCTTTCATTAGTTGGAAGTAACATTATAACAGCTTGGTTTGGGTTGATTATTTGGTTTGCCCTCGGCGATTCAGAGGCTGGTAATGATGTGTTTGCAGTGCTGATTCGGACATACAATTCTACTATAGAGAAAAACCTGAGTACTGTGTGGCCTATTTTAATATTTGCGACGTTATTTTTATCAGGATTAATAAGTATAGTGAGTAAAGATTGCCATCACATTATTTTTGCAATATTAAGATTGAATGTTACTATATCAATGGATTGCCTTGTAATTTTGAAATTGTTGTTGTGTAGCTTGTTTTCTAGTAAGTAGAAAAAAAATACAAGATTACATGCTACCAATGACTTTTTGTGATGTTTCAGGCATCTGATCAGTGTTGGCCTAGTGGCTTCAGGGTGCGACTCTCATACCTGAGGTCGTAGGTTCGATCCCCGACTGTGCACCAATGGACTTTATTTCTATGTGCGCATTTAACATTTGCTCGAACTGTGAAGGAAAACATCGTGAGGAAACCGACATGTCGTAGACCCAAAAAGTCGACGGCGTATGTCAGGCACTGGAGGCTGATCACCTACTTGCCTATTACATTTAAAAATAATCATGAAACAGATTCAGAAATCTGAGGCCAAGATCTAAGGAGGATGTAGCGCCACTGATTTATTTATTTTTATTTTATTCAGGTATCTCTACTCTATCCTTTATATGATCGGTTTCGTCGTATCCAAGGCGTCAAATGGCGGTATATTTCAATTGGAAGCTCCTTAGTCGGATCGGGCCTAGCAATTGCGTTATTACTTGATCACAATGCCCTAATTGTATTAGAGGATACAGTGTTGCCGTTTCTTGTTAATTTTACTACTATAATTGAAATATCGGCTTTCGTTTTTGTATATGGTATGTATATTTCATTACTATTACCACCAGTAACATTGGGGTAAAAGATATACGTGAGCAGTGTGGGTTAAAATAGGACGTAGTGAGAAGGAAACAAAAGAGAATGCTTAGGTGATTTGGCAATGTAGAATTGATCAATGAGAAGCGGTTAGCATGTAGGATATACTACAAGGTCGATGAAGCTGGGTTGGATAGACCTTGTCGTTCGTAGAGAGGGATAGTTAAAAGTACCCATAACCAACGAGCATACATGATGAATGTCATGAAAGTGGATGAAGCAAGATCGATGTCAGGACTGTAGCAAGTAGATGTTCTTGGTATCAGCCTCAGAATACCTCTTCGGGTAGAAGGCGTAAAGAATATTCAGAAAACATTAGTGATAGAAGTGTATACGTTTTTGCTTAACTCTTACGTAGGTAACGTAAGTTGGTAGTAGGTACAAATAAAATATCTTCAGATTAAAAAGGGAATGTAACCTTACTGTTTTAACGGAAAGTTTCTTCTGTTAACTCCGTGCAATTCGACGCGTGTCTTTTTATATCTTCATTACTAATGCTGATAGTGTCATAGTAATGAAATAAGATGGATTCAGTTATCAATAAGTTATAATATAATTTTTGTGCCATTTTTTATCAATATACAATTTTAATTATACAATAACTTTTTACTTTACGTTTTCACAGAATGTTATGTAATTGATAATAAAGCCTTTTTACAGGGTGGAATTTGCTTTTACACGATATAGAGTTTCTAACTGGCAGAGAGTTACTACGATTTTGGGTTTGGGGACTATGTTCAGTTCCTGGTATTATAGCACCAATTCTAATTTGGTGGTACACAACTCACTATTTAACAGCGCCACAGTGGACACAAGCGCCGTGGGCAGCGACTGGTCTAACGGCAGCAACAGCAATAACCATTATAATTATAATATCTTTTGCTATATATTCGGTTGCACGACAAGTCCAATATGATACTATCTCGGTAATATATTTTAAATTTTATAACTTGCCTTGCGTTGTTTCCTTCTGCTTCAGCGAACTTGTCTAATTTTCCGCAATACCGGAACTGTTTAATAAGGAAAAAACTTGTAGGTAAAAGAATGCGTCGCATATACGATTTTTTTTACTTTACAGAAAATGAAATCATCCATACGACCTTCGCGGCATTGGGGACCCAGAGATCCTATAGCGCATTACTATTGGTTAATGAGACGTGACGAAGCAGATCCTCACGCTCCACGATCTAGGTACCACAGACGAAACTTGGGACAATTCTCCGGCACGTCTAGTGTTTTAAGTATACCTAAATCACAGGAAATCAGCGATGTACCTAAAGAAGTCAAGAGACGTTCCAATTCTGATGATTGGCTTTATAGTTATCGAAAAGAATACCTAGCAGAATTATTTGAAATGCATTACCCAACAAGACGAAGATCGAAGTCTCTAGATTGGCCAAAACCAATAGACAAAGTAAAAACGAACAGCCGAACTTCCACCGACGACTCTGTTATAATAGTTGAAAATAATGTTACTTCTAAATGTTAGGACACATTTTCTAATGCTTGTTAATACGGTGTATTACGTACGACGGATTGTGCATTAATTATGATTATCTGTTGTCTAGTCACGATTCAATTAAGAAAATCAAGGACGTACTATTTATAAAATAGAATTTTTTGTATTATGGATCCTTTTATTTCGGGATAAAAATCCTCTTTGTGAATATTTAAAGTGTACAAGGTTTGTCTACATGGCCACTGACCACTTAGTCATTTACAAAACTTTGGTATAAGATATTTTTGTTTCCCTAATGTACGGTAATGTTACACAGCCTTATGTTTGACAAGGAAATGAATCAAAGTGGCCTCATCTATCGCGGGACGGCCTACGTGACTGGTCAAAGCCGACCTTCCTTTAGGAAGATGACGGTTGCCTTATTTCGTTTCTCTTTGTTAATAAAAGATCGGCCGATTATAATATATTCCGAACATATCATATGTGCGTCATCCGATGCACCAAACGCATGTCAAGAACAGTAATTGCTCTTTACTTTTTTATTTAAGTACCGCAGATATCTGTCGCAATACGAGTATATGAATGACACTTAGAGGAAAGTGTAAATATAGTATTTATATATTTTTATACCCGTACTATGGTCTGTTACATAATCGATTTATACATAGTGTTTTTCACTAACATTCCATAATTTCAAAAGTTTGAATTTCGGTAAACCCTTTTTAGGATAAATTGGCTTATGATTTAAATCGATTATCAATTGTAATAAAAAATTTAAACGTCCATGGTAATTGTGAACCCATTGCACGTGTGTAAACTGGTTCGTCTTGGAAAAGCCCGCGATTCGTCATCGTGTAAATTCTGCGTTCCCTTCGGGAACAATTGATTTACTTCTACACCTTACTTAATAATCAAAAGTATTAAAAGCCAAAACTAATAATATTTTAGATTTTAAACGTTCTCTTAGAATTGAGAACATTTAATTAAACATTTGTTTTTACCATTTGGGATAGGGAAAAACATTATCTATATTTCATGCTTGAAATGAAGAACAAAAGATGTACACAAAATTTTTTCATCAGGATCATTGACCATAACAAAGGTTGCTTTTTATGATTCATGAAGAAGGCCATTGTGCAAAGAAAAATCTATAGGAAGTAAGATTTTTCCAACTTTTCCGTAAATCTAGAGGAATCAAATTAATCGTGCTGTTATACGTTTAGTACCATTATTACGATGTTTGATTAGTTTACATTTAATTGGCTTACATAATGGCCCTATGGTGTGACTTATCTGAAAATGATACCTTTGACCATGACTATTAGATTGATTATAATAGCTTAAAGATCTATTGTACTCTTTCGTACAATGCGCAACCAATGGCGTCTTTTAAATTATTTCTTTGAACATATAAATAAAGGGTGATTGAATGATCCAAGAGTGATGTTACTTCCATTAAAATATATTCCTGATTCCATCAAATACTTGACCTGATCATAAATATTTTACACGAAAAGTATTTATCAAAAACAAAACTGAGTTCTTCTGTCCTTCATAAAAAAATAGTAATCCCCAATGCGACGAACACCGGTGTTGCGCAGAAAGCGCGCGCGCATTCTCGTTTCAATCTGCGCGCGAAGCAGATCGCAAAGCGGTTACGGTCGTGCGTACTCGATTCTATAATGTCTAAAGACTGTCCTCGACTGAGTAGACTGGGAGTTCTGGCTCCAGCCGCCCTCTCAGCTTGCATGGATGCCTCGGTTTTGGCAGTACCAGCTGCAGGGGCCATTGTGTCCACAGTCCTGAAGGAACTTAGCAAGGCATTTATGTTAAAAAAGTAAGTTTAGACAGTTATGTTTATTTAACGGTTTTTCAAAAGCCCTCTAAAAGGAAACAAATATTAATTACTGCTTTTATATTATATGTTGTTATTGTTAATTAATTTTTTTAAAATGTTGAGAACTAACTTTCTCGACTATTTTACGACTAGTAAAATAAAAAAAATTAACCATAATTTTACTTTTCATTCCTGACCTGGAATTCCTATTGAAGAATACATTAAATTTATTTATTAATTAACTGCAGCACTGTAAAAGGAAGACGACTTACGCTCATGATTTATATGAAATTGCAAATTAAATCAATTTATTACTTGGTTCAAATCAATATTATATTTTACGTGAAATAATTTAGAAGGCTACTTGTGATTATTATATAAAAAGTAACTGATTAGTAAGTAGCCTAAAATGTAGTGTTCTAATCACCCTTGTGTGCTATTTCATGCTTTAATGTACGGCTTCAGGAACGCCTTCAATGACACCAACAGTCCTCAGCTCAAATAAAAATAAAAACTATCATTATAGAAAAGTTATGGTAGATATATGTAAAACTTATTAAGCGTTCTGTCGACGTATTTGGAAATTGAAAGCACGAGTATCGTTTGAATATAATGGGTCGTCCTTTGAATGTGTAAAAAACAAGCATAGTTCCAAGAAATTTAAAAAAAATATCTATGCGTTTAATTTTACCAAACTATTTCTATAATAGAACAAAGATAATAAACAAATCTTTGAGACAATGGTTTTGATGTTTTCAAGAAATTCTTGACACATCCTAAATACTTAACCAAAAATATTTAAAGATTGTATGATCTCGATAAAAGTATTAATACTTAAACTGCAGTAATAGTGTATTGAAGCATCAACCAATTATTCATAACGTAATTAATTGTTCCGCAACGTCACTCATTTTTTATTTCCAATAGTTTTACGTATCCATTGTCTTCATTTTTCCTTTATCATGTAACAGTACATTCGCAATAAATAATGTCATCGGGAAAATCTTCGGTTTGTAGAAAGATGCACTTTTATCAACACAAGAGTTTTAATGATTATCATTTGACAAACTTAAACGGATATACAATATTACGTTATTAACATTATCGTACGTATCGCGTGTATGTAATGCATGTTTATTATATTTATTATATTTGTAGTATTACTGTGGTAATTCAACAACATATTTTGTTGAATTATGTCATATTCTTTGAAATATTATTGGTATCATAAGCGAAAGCAAACGAAGAACGACTTCGGCGCATAACATTAATATCATAATATATAAAGTTTACCCTTTTACCCGGTTACGTATCCACCTTTGTTTGTCTTGGGTAAAGTGTATACAATCATTTAGAAGTAAAGGGGGACCTATCGCACTACCTTTTTAGGGTCCTTAGAGGTAGGGTACATAATGCGGAAAAGTAAGAGCGAGTGCCAAATAATCACACTCGGCGTGGAAATCGGCCGTAATTGCTAGCGTATTGCGCACTCTTAAAAATATTGTATGTAAGACTGATCTATTTCATTGCACACTGCCTGAATTCAAAAGGATCACATTATTCATAATCTTCTAATATATAAAATTCTCGTGTCACAATGTTCGTTCCCATACTCCTCCGTAACGGCTCGAACATTTCAAACCTCTAAATGCTTAGGGTGGTCCACCCCTAAATTTTTATTTTTTAGATAATTTTTTTATTTATTTATGTTACAATATACAAAAATACATACAACCCTTAATTTTTAACCCTCTACGATCAACTCCTATATTTTATTATAGTAGATAGTTATTTTATTGAACTAATAAAATGTTTCCTAGAAATAATATACAACGTTTGCCGGGGTCGAAAATTGAATAAATTTTTACGGGTATGTGTGTTATATGTTCTTAGTTAATTTTTTATTAATAAGTATTCTATTGCATTTGTATAACTGTAAAAATAGAAAATAAGGAAATAAATTAAAAACGCTTGGTATACTACAACCTTTTAATAGATAAAACTAAGCAAGACTAAGTAGATTTTCCGCTTCTTGTAAATGGACACAATTATATTTCGCCACAAATGAAATAACCACGGAGTCGCGGCCCATTCATTAGTAGAGCTTTAATAATTAGTATTATTCAAACTCAAAATATCTTTATTCAAGTAGGTAACCAAGTACACTTTTGAATCGTCAAGTTAAATTAATCGTAAATTTACATTTACTACCAGTTCGCAAGTCAAGGGCGTAGAGCGGGTAAGAAGAACTGGCAAGAAACTTTCCGCCACTCTTTTTAATCGCCAAGTATTGTCATACAAATTGTTTGAACTGGAGCAATTCAATCCCAAGGATTAGGATCATTTAAGTAGTCCTCAAATTTATAAAAAGCTTTGTTGATTAATTTTCGTTTAACGAGGGCTTTGAATTTATTTAGTGATAATTCTCTAATTTCGCTTGGGAGCTTGTTGTAAAAACGAATACAATTTCCATATAAGGAGTGGTTTATCTTTTGGAGCCTGGTTGGTCGTACACTCAAATTAGTTCTATTTCGCGTATTATACTGGTGAAAGTCACCATTTGTTTTAAAATCGTTTATATTTTTTTGGACATACAACAAGGCTTCAAGAATATATTGACCAGATAGTGTCATAATATTTAATTCCTTAAACTTATTCCGTACCGACTCCCTCGGAGAAACACAACAAATACCCCGAACAGCCCGCTTCTGCAGCACAAATATGGATTGAACCTCTGCAGCAGCACCCCACAGTAAAATGCCGTACGACATAACGCTATGAAAGTAGCTATGGTACACAATTTTAGCCGTGTCCTCATCAGTAAACTGTCGGATTTTCTTTACTGCATATGCTGCAGAGCTCAGCCTATTCGAAAGAGTCTCTATGTGTGGGCCCCATTGGAGTTTACTATCTATTGTTATGCCTAGAAAAACAGTTTTGTCAACAAAGTTTAGTTCACTGTCCTTAATTTTCAGGTTACCAATATCTCGCTTTACGCTAGTAGTTGTAAATCTAATACATTTTGTTTTATTCTCATTAAGCAATAAGTTATTTACATTAAACCAGTTAACTATACGAGAGATAGAATTGTTTACATCGTCCAATAATACGTTATTCCTATTCACTTTAAATAGAAGTGAAGTGTCATCAGCAAACAATACCATCTCATGAACTTCGTTGACAAAGAATGGGAGGTCATTTATGTAAATCAGAAATAAGAAAGGCCCGAGAATCGATCCTTGGGGGACGCCCATTGATACCTGCGAACCCGGAGAGGTGACTCCATTGACATGAACTCTTTGGATCCTTCCCTTTAAATATGAATTCATCAGGCTGGAAGCTTTGCCATCAACGCCATAGTGTTGAAGCTTTCCAACGAGTATATCAGGATGAACACAGTCAAAGGCCTTTGACAGGTCACAAAAGACGCCGACTCCATCATATGATTCTTCCCAGGCGTTAAATATGTCCGAAATCAACTTCACACCGGCATCGATTGTGGAGCGACCCTTAGTGAAACCATACTGTTTATTATGTAAGAGTTTATTTTTATTAAAATGTAAAGAAAGCTGGTCTAGCATTATCTTTTCAAAAACTTTGCTCAACGCAGGGAGCACGGAAACAGGTCTGAAGTTTGACGGATCAGACTCACTACCGGCCTTGAACAACGGTGTAATCTTACTTAATTTCATTTCGTCCGGAAAGACTCCACAATCGATACATCTGTTAAAAATTATAGACAATTCAGAGCTTATTACATTAATAACGGAATTTAAAATGACTGTTGACATACCCCATATATCTTTACTTTTTTTTTAAATTAATAAGCTTAAAAGTTTTAACGATATCATTACAAGTTATATGTTTAAACTGAAATTTAATATTACATTCAGGTACACATTTTTCTAGCAATGAGATCGCAGCAGCAGGTGAAGAATCTAGGGACTTGGTCGTATTTAGTGGTACATTTGTAAAGAACTCTTCAAAAGAAGAAGCTACCTCTGGGTCAGATTTTATTAACTTCCCTTTAACTTTTAACATATAATCAGTTCGTTTGTCAGACGTTTTACCTGATTCTTCATTTATTATTTTCCAGGTAGCTTTTACTTTATCCATGCTATTTTTTATTTTTGAACTTAAATATTGAGACTTTGCAGTTTTGCAATCTTTTTTGAAATTATTTGAATACAACCTAACATATTCCCTAAATTCCACACTAGTGTTATATTGCATTTCGTCATAGATTTCATATAATTTTAACCTTTTCCTGTGTAACTCCTCATTTGCCCAGTCACAGAAACTTGTTTTCTCAGAGACCAATAAAGTCTTTTGAGTAAATACTTTCTTGAATTCATCAATAAATGATCCAAAAAAAGTATTGTATAAATTATTAGGGGATGAGTTGCCACACAGAAATGGCATTCTATAGACCAATGCTTCTCTAAATCTGTCCAAACGGTCATTTGTAATAGGAGTTATCACAATTTTCTTCTTTTTACATGTTTTTGTTTCCTTAATTGGAATTCAAACCATTGACCAGTGTGATCAGATTTAAATCTATTGAAAATACAAACATTCAAAGGGGCTATGTCACTATATATATTATCTATACAAGTTGCGGTGCTAGCTGTTATTCTTGTGGGTGAATGAAATTGATTTATTAAATTGTATGAACGAAAAAGACTAATTATGCGTACACTTGAATTAGAATGACAAAGTAAATTGACATTAAAGTCCCCACACACAATTAGCCCTTTATTACACTTTACTAATTTACACAATATCTCCTCTAATACATTTTCAACATTATTATAGACAGCTGATGGAGGACAATATAGACATACAACAATGAATTGCTCCAGTTCCACACAGGAGATTTCAATAGTTAGTTCTACAGAGAGGCTGATAATATCCTTTCTTTCTTTGCCTTTAAGTTTTTTACTTATTAGGATTAATGAGCCACCATGAATTGCATTTTCTCTGCAAAACACACTACCAACCCTGTGGTTACAAAAATTAAACAAAACTTCATATTTTTTTAACCAGTGCTCTGTTATGCACAAAAAGTCTATTTTTTGACTATTCAAGAATAGTTCAATTTCTAATTCTTTATTTTTCATCCCCTGTATATTTTGATGAACCACAATAATTTTTTGGGAATGAATTTTATCACATAATATACTTACCTTATTATTGCAAGAGTGGTGCTCTGTTGTCCTATTATCTAATTTAAATAAATATTATTTGGAATTTCTTCCAAGGTCTTATAATCTAATGCTTGCTCAATAGAAGCAAGGGGTCTAGCCAAATTCTTGGCTGTCATCTCTATAAAATATGATAGCGAAACAGCTATCTGTCTTTTTAAGAAAGCAGGTAGGTAATAATATCTACCCTTTGTAATAAAAAACTTTTTCGATCACGAAAATGGAGGAAAACTGTATAAAACTATATACTTAAGGCATTTTTAGTCAAATTAAATTAGTTATACAATAAACAAATTTATATATATTGGAATTTCAATTCGGTGTTTTGTATTGAACTTAAAATAAATAGACGTTATAAGAAAGTTATTTTATTTCAATTAATATAAATGTCTACGCAGACCATAATTTTAGTATCTAATGACATCATAATATATTATCCAAAAACATATTACTTAGAATAACATTTAACCATCAAAATATTTTATCAAACTATTCTTAAATAGATCGTAAAACGATTTATAGACAATAAATTAGTTGATACCTATGCAAGATCACGTTAAATTCTTTACAATATTTCAATATTAAAGTTATTATTATAAACTTAATTGATCATATAGCATATTAGCGTAAAAATAATCTTAAAAGTGATGTTAGTATATGTCAAAAGTACTAAGTTTCTTTTGGCTAATACAAAGTTACAATTAACTAGTTGGTATGCTCAGCTTAAAGGTAATTTATATATATACTAGCTGGCCTGGCGAACATCGTACCGCCTAACAGTTGATTCTTTATTTGTTTAAAATACTTATTCTGCTATTCGGGACACCGGTCTAACTAGTAAGATAAAAAAAAGAAAATTGATAAGTCAAAAAATAAAAATTTACCTTCCCGGAACCCCTCCACTAACACTTGAACTTTATGCTATTAAAGACTTAAGTATTATTACGAATATTTTGTATGGGAATATAGAAAAGTGTTGTTTATAGACTTTTTCACTCAATTTTTTTTAATTTTTCTCTTTAATAACCATCCTCGTACTTCAAGGTATATTATAAAAAAAAATCAGACAAATCGGTCAAGCCGTTTTCATGTTATGTCGTGACAACGGAAAACGGGTTTCATTTTTATATATATAGATTAAAAAAAACTCGTAAAAATTATCATGGATTATATGAGCTTACTTTCTCTTTAATTATAGAATTATATGTAACATGATCCACATCACGGCTCGGCTGTAGCCTTAACCACTATACTAACAAAGCTATATTTGTCTCTGCACTGCATTCTAAATTCAATATTATGATCGTTATTCTTTATCCATCTAATGATTGTTCAAAATGTCGACGTAAGAACTTCCAAATCGGGAGGCAGTGGGCTGAGTCATGACGAAATATTGTGAGGTCGCCCAGGCCCGAAGCCTCAGGCGATCGGGTCACTGCACTAAGGCCGTTCTTATTAATTATTTTCATATCTGCGTATTGTACCTATGTTAGCCTTAAGGTTTTTAAGGTGACTAAAATATATTGGTTGAAAAATTTTTGCTTAGACACTGTAATAAAAAATATACCTGAGGAAAGCTAACTCTTTGAATAAAATTATATCTTTCCAATAAGACAGATTTGATACTATTTATCTGCAACATGCCCAAGAGGATCTTTTGAGCCTTAGAGGGTTTTTAGTTCCATACATTGCTGCCACGTTTCCCCTTTAGATCGTGGGTTTACAAGTTTGTGGCATCCCTTTATGTAAATAGTCAAGTGCATTCACGTTCATACTTTATGTTGGTGAAATGTTATTTATATACTTCCCTATGACTACGCATAATATATAATATAATTAGGACAAAATAGGTGCCATATCTATCTTGTGCGTGTCTGTACGGAAAGAACGGAAGTGATAGTTTTCGAACACCTAACATTCTCTTAAATGTCAAAGTCATAGTGACTATAGATGTAAATATAACAACCTCCATTATGTAATTTATATCAAGGCTCGTTTAGTACGCTTTAAAAATATTAATCTATTTTTTATTAAAAATGTGTAATATACGAGTATATAATACACATATATAACACATTTTTAATTATATACAATTTTGACATTATCTATTTTTTTTAAATTTATCAACGTTTCACGAGCTCGACAGGGGTATTATGTGACCAAATCCGCTTCGATTAAACATATCTTTAAATTTATTTTCTTTTTTATCTTAGGAAAATGTAAATATTTCCTATATTAGAAATCCTTGTTAATATCAAAACCTTCAAATTCCTTCGATGCAATGTTGTCATTAGTGCGGGTGTTAAATATGCTATAAACAATGATACAATTTGTATGATAATTCATTAATATTTAATTTATTTACGCATAATTGCATAAATAAAATAACAATAAACACTGTAAAATTAAAAGGATTTAAAATACGCAGTTCAACGGGCCTTATAGCTAACAAACCTATTCCGGAAAAATAAATACACAAAAATCAAAATTGTAAGGAATGTGTTATGAAATTTATATATATACATACATCCAACAATATAAGAATTTTTATATTTCCGTTAAGGAAGTTTATGCGCAATTGCTACATTAAAAAATAAATTTATCGACAATGTTTTTGTAAAGTATATTTAGAAATGCGCTTCATTTTTCTACTTCCTATTATTGATATTTTAATTACACCTGTAACAACATAAATTAGTTTAAAGCGACTCTTGAAACCTTTATTAATTATGCATTGTTGTATTTTGTAGTAAACATCTTAAGTTATGTCTATGGAAGTAGAATAGGAGATAGTTTGTTTGTTTTTATTAGTTTCTTTTTTTTCTTTCTTGTCTGTTAAAGAAGGTATTATATAAACAAATAAAACATATATTTTATTGATTGAATATGTATTCAAACTTATATCTTCGTATCTTCTAGCTCCGTAGAATATTTGTCGTAATCGTCTCCGTGCCACAATTTTTAACGATCTTGGTTTAATTATTAAAGTTTTAAACCACATCCTCCGTGAACTTGGTTTTAAATTTTGGGAATACAAACTTCTCTGTAATTAATTATGTTATAGTATGCTTTACTCTATTATGTTTTGGAGATGAGTTGAAGGGAGTTGTCAAGGAACTCGAAATAATAGGAGATCGAAGTTGGACGCAAGAGGCTAAGGCATAAGGAGCTGTATTTGCCATTGATGACGAAGCCACGATTATTCTTATAATATGTTGTTTATACTTGTTTTGTGACATTACTTTCATTTTAAATATTTTAATAAATCAACCGTTCTTTATACATACATAATAATAAAATATTTGCCCTTTGCCTACCACATATTACAATTTCCTATTTATGTATTGTACTATACGAACTGGAGATAACAGTGTCTTTTTCGTTAGAAATAATATATTGAAATAGACAAAACTCTGGACATAATATATGGATATAGTTTTGTATGTATGGACATAATGTACGCCATAAAAATTGTTACTTTTATAATGTTTAGCTGTTGTTATTTTTATAACGATTGCAAAAACATCGATTGTCTGACATTTTCAAAGGAATGATTCTCATAGTTATGTTCACGTGACCCTACCGTGTGTTCATTTACACGCATATTAAGCAGCTATGTACCTTATTCATATGTATATATAAATACTTAAGTCACCAGACGCATAACAAATTGTTATAGTGCGTTACAATTTATAAACGACAATGTATTAACGTAATTTAGAAGAAGCGGTTCATCTATAGTCTATTACCATGATTACAGTATTTATTTATTATCTATTCACAGATGGTTTCATGGTGTAATGTCTGCAAAAGATGCGGAGAATCTCATCATGGAGAAGGGCAGAAATGGATCGTTTCTTGTGAGGGAATCTCAAACGCATCCGGGAGAGTACGTTCTCTCAGTGAGGGTGCGTGGTAGAGTCAGCCACGTTATGATACGACGACAAGTACGTATTTTATATTAATTGATTAGCTGGTTCAGTACTTAAAACAAGGATGTGCGTTGAAGCCCTTTGTACATACATATTATAACTTAGTTTAACTTTGCTTGATTAAATATATAATTAATAACTACATGCCTTTATGTCTTTTTGTCTTTAAATGACATGTTTCATTTAATAGGCATGATAAGCCTTGCTGCTGTCGACTTTTGGGTCTGAGATATGTCGATTGTCGATCTCGTCGCGATGTTCACTGTCCGAGCATGTGAATTGCGCAAAATAAAATGGCCGTACTTCGAACACTTAATTAAGCCTTATATTGAAACCAATTATAATTTCTTTATTTCATTTAAATAGGTGGTGACTTATGTGACGTATGTAAGAGGCAGATATGAAAGTAACCGTTAATGTATGTATATTAATTATATTTACACAGATTTAGCTAAAGCGTGACACTCTCAACCCTGAGGTGAGAGTGTCACGCCTCTTACATAAGTCACCACCTATTTAAATGAAATAAAGAAATTATAATTGGTTTGAATATATGGCTTAGTTAAAGATTAGGTGCTTTTTAATTTATTTAAAAAAAACCTGAATGTATTTTATTGTTATTTTTGTATAATTACATTAAAATATACGCTTTAGCCAATCCACACGTATGGGCTATTTAAGTATTTTATAATACTTCCGTCTTTAGTACAATATACACCTTCAAACTTTGATCAATTATCATTGTATACACAGTGGGTTTTTATACGTAACACATTTGTTTACAAAAAATCCGGTCACTTTTTTACTCTGTATTCCATGAGCGACCACGGCACGTCGCCTACGTGCCATGAGGACCGATTGTTTATAAGCTATTAATCATTCTCTTCCAATTTTGGATAAATAAGGTAAGTTAAACTCAACACTCGTGCGCTTTTGTTTTCTTTAAGTCAAATTGAATGGAACAATAAAAGGCGAAGAAGTAGTAAATTGTATGTTAATTTTATTTTGACGAAACAGAGGTATATTAGAAAAAATTGTGAAGAAAGTTTACTACACACTACAGTTTACTTTACGAGCTTAACGATTCTAAATGCTGTTTGAAACCAAAGGAACTTATATGAAGTTCTAGCGACATTGAACACTAAAGATCCCTCTACATCCCGCTACAGTGTATTTAAGGGTGGTGAACTGACTTTGAGCAACTTCAGATGAACTAAATTCATATCAAGGGATTACCATACAGTCCAGATTTGAAGTTTTGCAAGTGCTTCATTGTGTTTAGGGAACAAGAAGGGATAGCTTCTAAAATATCCCAGTTAAAATAAGCTTTTAAAAAAATACAGATCTTAATTTAACCAATGATTTCTGTGTCCCACGTACTTTGTAAAAACAAGACTCACGAAAATCTTTAAATAAATATACAGACAAGTTTTTACTAGAGTTAGGGTCTGTTTCACAATGTACGGATAAGTTCTACATAAGTTCCAAATTAGTTATTTATTACTTATTGGTAGGACAAACACTATTGTTGCGTTGCACGACTGTCAATAGCGCTATTCGTCACATAAAGTCCATCATAAGTTATGAGTCCGATGAATGTCAAATAGCACAATTTATCTTCCAAATAATTTATGTGTTGCATAGGTATTCGGTACTTTATCCATACATTGTGAAACAGACCCTTAATAAACAAATTCATACATTTTCTACCCTTTCTACCCTACCCATTTCAATAAAACGTAACGGGTAGGTAAATGTATAACATCATGTTACTAGGAGCGCATAACATTTGAAGAGACGCCAGACACTTTTATTGATCGTTCATTGGGGGTGGGTGTGACGTATCTAGGTTTTTAGTATTTCCGCGATATTACAGCCTTCATGCTAGGGGTTATCTCTACTAGGACAACATAACTTGGAAGTAGACATTTCAATAAAATGCACGTACTCACACAGTTATAATTCCTAAAATCGTCGGAAACTTTAAAATATTATTTACAATTATATTAATATAAAGCGTTAATGTAGGAATTAACATAATGTGTAGGTGTGTCCAGATATGTAATAATATGACAAGGTAACAAAAACAAGAGGAATACAACAGATTAGAAACGAATGCTAAAAAACAAGTAAATACATTTTTAAGTTTGTTTTTTCTATTGAAGTATGTTTAACTATATTCTATAATATAACGCATTTGAATTAATTAAACATGTATTGAATAAGAATAGGGTTACGTCTGTTTAGCGTTCCGATAACATGACATTCTAGAATATAATTATATGTATATGTGTAGTAAAATACACTTTTTAAAACGTTCCATGTTTTGGATCGCATCGTATCATAGTACAACTAACTATACAGTTTTACCATCCATTAAAACATACATATGTCTGTATTTTTTTATGTCTCTTCTCGAATTCCTACTCGTATTTCCCAAATTATAGTTTGGAGTTTCTCAATATTCCTATGTTTAAAAACGAAAAGTAACGATTTCGGTTAAACTAATACTGGCTCTTGTTATTTTTGGTGACTACGATTTTGGTGTTAAAAACAGCTTAGAAATGACTAATATCACAATTCTTGGAATCCAGTCATCTTAATGAATCGCTTGCAGACTTATTTAGTTATCCTAAGCACGTTTTAATATATGTATATATAATATATACTTCTATATCCATGCTAATGTAACGATATCCGGTTTATGTAATAATTAAGTAAGGAGTTAGTAATGAGATATTGGTCGCGCAATTCAATCCTATATACCTATTGCTTATATAACTATATCGTAATAAGTTTAATTTCTTCATTGACTTATGTTAATTACAAGTATTTAAAAATAATTACTACAAGACAAAGCACTTTCTCAATAACTTATAAATTATTTTTTATATATATAACAGGAGTTCTATGGTACCTTATGATTATAATCGCTCTTTTGCATGTCGAAATGGAAATGCATAATCTCACAGTGTAGTACGCAAGTCAAATAGATGGGTGAATTACCCACTAAAATCACCTTGGGTGCTTTTAACTCGCCTTTAGAAGCCTTCGTGATCGCCGAAGCTTACATCAGATAATGGCGACACGAGATACGCATTCTTACTTTTGGCGTAATATATTTAACTGTATCATATAATCAATACAATCGTTTGATGAATCATTATTTAAATCATTTTGGCTAGCTGATGCTACTCGAGGCGTCTAACTTTTCCAAAGCCCGATCCATCGTCTAAACTCTAAACTCTAACGGTTTAACATACTCGTAGAACACTTGTTAGTTCCAAAACGGAGGAAATTGAGGGATGGTGATAGAGCGGAAGATGTCGTTAACCTGGCCTGAAAATCGAGATTCTACTTGTGACAAAGTAAAATCACAGTAAACGAATAAGACGAAATAAACTAATAAACAAAATACCAGAACCATAAAGTAATTGCATCAGTAACCTGAAATCATGATCAAAAATGAGTTTATGATTGTTCCAACTGCTGGTTGAACTATAGCAAAAACTTCCCCCAAAGGCAAATGATTTGGACATTAGACCTAGACCTGTTGCATGTTTGACTTTTCAACCTTTCGTATTAATTTAGTAGGTACATCCCTAAACATGTTCGGAAAAAACGAAAATGAAACGTTTAAAGTTTTTATGATTTGACACTACAACACAGGATAACAAAGTGCACCAAAAATCGTTCTCTCTCTCTGCCTAGCCTCTGTATGTATGTGTGCGCAAAAACAGTAGCAGTTTCAATATATTTGTTTAAAGCATTCGTAGCTCGTCACACGTCAGTCAGATCATAGCTTTATATAACGACGTACACTAGCCGAGTGCAGTGCATGGGAATAAATAGTTAAAAGACGATCGTGGGTGCATTTCTGCACCATGCTTACCAGGAACACAGAATCGTGTTGGAGGTTGATCGCGTTGGAAATGCAGTTTATACTCTCGGGTGCAACCGTACCATGTTATCTCGAGAAATATTGTATTATTATATGTTATTTTATATAAATAAATAATTTATATATATTGATCCGATCGAATTTTTAAATATACTTTTTTTCAATTTTTTGAAAGTTATGTTATAAATAAAAGTTGTATAAACTACTTATTTTTAATTTGCTATATGGGAGTGTTTATTTACAATCAAGTGTAAGTATTGTAAATAAATTAAAACTACTTATTTTTAATAAATATTACGATTTAAAAATTATATAAAAAGATTATGGCTGGTATTAAATTAATAGTTCACGAATAAGAAATACGTTTTAAAATTGAATATTCGATGTGTAGTCATTACAATATAGAATCATTTTCATATCACACGCCTAACATACATACACATTTGATAGAAACATAGTTGTCTTTAGTATATCTAAAGTACCAGGGAAGCAAAAACTGGAACAGATGAAACAGGGCATGCGCGCTGAATCTAGATTACCTGTGCACAATGAACTTCTAGTGCATCCTTCATGACCTAACTTCAGCACCTAGCCATTCCGAATGAAGTTAGGTGACAGCTCAATGCGATCTACGCGATGCATAATATTGCATTGTGAATACTAGGATATCAGGATTTAAAAGGAGTTAGACCGGATGAACGCGCATCATGAAGTGCATTGTGCATCTGCGCAATAGTCATCTCACTACTTCGTCGTGCTGCAATGGTGTCTAAAGTGTCCAGTACATATTTTTTTACAAAAGATATAGTTTAAAAAGCACATTCCGATGTTTTCCATTAGAACCTGTGTTTTAAAGGTGTAGAGTGAACACTATAAGGTACCTCTTATGTCTTGATTCGTAAATAAATGAGTAAAACGATTTATTTTTAATATTATTATATATCTATTTTGAGGAAAACTCCCAGTCTATCCGTTCTGAGATATTCAAAACATGATATCTTCATTTGAAATTATAATAGTGACACAAATAGATCTAGCTCCAGACTGAACCAGTGAACTAAATGTACAATTTTATTTAATTAATCAAAACGATTGCTTTATATGAAAATATCAAGAAATATTGTAAGTGAATTTTACTATACATGAGTTGTTTTACTATGTAAACAGTGGTTAAAATTAAATAGATGATGTGATATCAGGATATTACGTCGCTCGATAATAATATAACCTGAAAATAAAATTACAGCGCATTATACTGCAATTTTATTAATTTAATTGAGTGTTATATTTATCAAGCTTAATAATGCACAGCTGTTATGGAATGCAACAGGTTTTGTTGTTTACAAATTGTAGATGTTTATTATAGAAGGATATTTCTCAGAGCCGAACGACTGGTCTGACCTATGAATATTTTCAATCCATAAGTTTAATACATTCGATAACCATGTTTTATTAATAATTCGTTTGAGTTAACCATAAATCTATTCTGCTGCCGTGAAAATACAAAATCTCCTTTCTATCTTCTGCATAAAAGCTTATTAAAATTATAATGATAAAGCCAGAGCTTTTTCGTTGGCTATACTTAAGGTCTTGTATCCCCTACGTGGGGCAAAAGTCAACAGAGTGGTACAGCCTCATCGGTCTTATGCTCTCTTTTAATAGCACTCGTATTTCTAGCATCCTTTGTTTTTGCACCCTAGTCTTCATTTTTTAATTGCAAATTTATTTTCGGGTTATTTTTTACGAACTTTAATATTTTTGTTACAGCAAAATAAATATGATGTGGGCAGTGGTGAGCAGTTTGATGACTTGGTCGGATTAATTGAGCATTTCCGATCATATCCTATGATTGAAAATTCTGGAGACGTGCTCCGTTTGCTGCAACCTGTATCAGGGACCTGTCTGAGAGCTCAAGATATTAATCGAAAAGTGCAGGTAGATTTAATTATTTGATGTATTTAATTTACTTAGTAGAAGAAGAGAATAGAATATAAGAAACGAAGAAAAATCAAATAGAAGTGGTGGATAAGCGGATACACCAACTATTTCACCTTTGATTTCTAGCAAAACCAAAAGAGATTCCATTTGAAAGGAAACATTGTTATATACATCAAGTAAATATATAATAGTGAAAAGAAAAATAAGGCATGTAAAAATATTTTATTTAGCCTACCTTTTTAGTGCATACCAACATGGAACATTTTGCTATTCTACCCCGGAGACGATTTTCCGGAATGAAAACTTTTTAGGTTTTTCTGTGAATTCTTCTCTATCAGAACTCAGAGGTTTATCCTCTGAGATCAAGTCATAAGTTATAAATTAACAAATAAAAAACAGGGGTTGGTCGTAGATGGGTGAAAATTATGGGTTGTATGTATTTTTGTATGTTATATCATAAAAAAATAAAAAATTAAATTGTATCCAAAAAATAAAAAATAAATTTGGGCACACCCCTTATCACTTAGGGGTTTGAACCATAGATAGTAGCTGATTCTCAGGCTTAATTAATATGCATGAAAAAATTCATAAGAATCGGTCGAGCCGTTCGGAGGAGTATTGGAACGAACATTGTGACACGAGAATTTTTAATATTCGATAAATCGCATAACGTGTAGGGACAATTTGGTTACGATATTTTTTTTTATTTGCAGGTAACATAAAGTTAATTAGTTGTACATATGAGCAATAGATATATCTTATATACGTACGAGTATATACATGTGCATCTTTTTCAAGTCATAAGTTATAAATTAACAAATAAAAAACAGGGGTTGGTCGTAGATGGGTGAAAATTATGGGTTGTATGTATTTTTGTATGTTATATCATAAAAAAATAAAAAATTAAATTGTATCCAAAAAATAAAAAATAAATTTGGGCACACCCCTTATCACTTAGGGGTTTGAACCATAGATAGTAGCTGATTCTCAGGCTTAATTAATATGCATGAAAAAATTCATAAGAATCGGTCGAGCCGTTCGGAGGAGTATTGGAACGAACATTGTGACACGAGAATTTTTAATATTCGATAAATCGCATAACGTGTAGGGACAATTTGGTTACGATATTTTTTTTTATTTGCAGGTAACATAAAGTTAATTAGTTGTACATATGAGCAATAGATATATCTTATATACGTACGAGTATATACATGTGCATCTTTTTCAGGAGATGAATGACATACAAATGACGGAAAATAAGTCCGGCTTCGATAGTGAATTTCTTTCTTTCAAGATTTTTGACGAAGTTATTGGACTTTCACTGAACGAAGGCATGAAAGCTGAAAATGTTAAGAAAAATCGATACAGGAATATTTTACCTTGTAAGTCTTATTTTATTTTAAGAGAAAATAAAATTAACCTAATATCGGTATAATCATTAATTCATAATGATTTAATATATGTATCTAAGATTATTTGATGAAAACTGCACGGTAGCGTTTATATTGCTACCTCGATCTCAGATTAAATAGCTTTAAGTTAGGAAATTGGCAGTGTTTGAACTCCCGTAGATGTGCATGATGAGATGCAGATCCTGCGCCTGATTAATCGGCTCATTGGGCTATGAAACTGTTACTGTATCCGCACACCCACTGATACATTCTCCAGAGGCTAATCAGAGAGCGATTCGCTTTGGTGCACTTTGTTATCCTGTGTTGAACTCATCAAAAGTCTAACGTTTCATATGAATTGTTCTTTATTTAGATGACCAAACGCGGGTGGTACTTCGCAAACGCATTGGACGTTCGATAAACACAGATTATATAAATGCAAACTACATTCGTCCATCAAGATTAGGAAGTTACTCCAATTCTGTGCAGTCATCGAATGAGAGCCTCGACAGTGTGCACTGTAAGTTGTTCTGTTACTGTTCATACTCTGAAAAATAAAATTTACCATTACATAAGCTTGATTCCATAAAAAAAACATAACACATAATTTATGTGTCGGTTAATTTATTCAGTCCCTACTTAAGGAATCTGCTAAGTTATTACGTAACTAGCCAACCGTCAAAATCGGCCGTCGTATGAAAAGTAATACATAGTATATTTAATTAGATTCTCTAATGAATAAGAAAAGGTTTATAGTTATATAACGATGTTATAGTGGGGTCAAATGGCCTGAACTGTTTCAAGAAACTATCCTTTCCAAAGGACGTGCCGCTTTTTCGCTCCATTTGGTATGTGTGCCCCCAGATAATACAGCCAACACATGAGTGACCGGAAATGGTGTCGTCAAACTCCATATTAATACATTTCTTGCGACATTGTTTTAAACCCTTACTTGATTCATTGAATACCTTTGTTGTAAAACATAAGATAAGAATGATTTTAGATAATTTCAGTTTTTTAGTTCTTTCGAAAAATCAAAAACCATATTCAAATCTCAATTATTTTAAATTATCATCTAATATGACTAATCACATTAAGTAAAATAGGAAATAAGACCTATTAAAAATACTACACATGTTTCTAATAGAGGCTGTATACAGCCAAGGATTTGTGATAAGATCTAATGTTTTGGTAAATACAAGGAAATCAAGTATGGCTTTTGTTTGCTAAATAAACAAGGACAGTGATCACATTGTATATTTTTTTTTTCAGCTTTGATACTAAGAAGCGAACCAAAGGAGATGGTGCCATTGGTTACGAAATCTCTATCAGAAGACACACTCAGGGAAGTAAAAAGATGTATAAAGCTGGACAAGTTTAACGGAAATTTATACAGAAACTTAGGTAATATTAATAATATTCACTTACCATGAACACTTAATTTAGAATGTTGCCTACTATAACATTATATTAAAATATGATAATAGCTTTGTGAAATGTTTCTGTAAACGTATGAATATTTAATATTTTTAAGCTTGCCACTGCGTGTCTTTCTTCCTAATTTGTTAATTGCCGATCGCGAAAGTACTCGTACTGCTGTTAATTTATGCACATTGATAACCATGTTTCAATTACAGTCAACGATAAGATATATATTGCAACGCAAGGGTGTCTCTCAAATACAATAGACGATTTCTGGCAAATGATATGGCAAGAAAATGTACGAGTTATTGCTATGATTACAAAAGAAGTTGAAAATGGAAAGGTATACTAATTGATTAAATTAAAAAAATGATTAAAATAATAAGAATATTTTTAATAATAAGGTATTTTTTTAGAGAAAGTGTGAACGATACTGGCCGGATCTTAATCTTAAAGAAACATACGATGGTCTTACTGTCTCCTCCACCTCAGAGTCATTCCATGCGGACTATATAATTAGGGAGTTTGTAGTCAGCGACAAAATTTCTACCAGGACTATCTATCAGTATCAATTTACAGTAAGTTTTTTTTCAAATATGAAGTTAAGAAGAAAAAGTTATTAATTTCATTACAAAAAAAATTGTCTTCGCGGTTAAATAAACATTGTGTACATTGGATTCGTATAAAGGAACAAAAGATGAACTGATTATCTTTTTACAGACATGGCATGACCATGGCACACCACCAGATCCCCACGGTATACTAGAATTTATTGAAAAAATAAACAGAAAAATGTGTGAAATTACTCAAGAAAATGATGCTCCAGAAAAGGTACTAAGACATTTAATATATTTATTAACTGCTTCCATAGACGTGTTCTATGAAACTATTCAATTAGACGTTATTTAATTAGGACGTCATTCACTTAATGACTACTTATTATAAGTAGTCCTAATCCCGTGTTCGTTAACAAATTGCATGCATTGCTTTACTCACTTTGAAATATATTTTACAGAATATTTTGTGCGTTCACTGTTCGGCCGGCGTGGGCAGAACGGGAACATTTATTGTAATAGACACGCTGATTGACACAATCAAGATTTCAGGTAATTTTTTTAGGATTATAAATTCCTTGCTTACGCGAATTTATGCTAATTTAAAAACGCGTTGCGACTTTTTTGAACCTTGTATAATGCTAATGCAAATGACTTGCTATTTTTAAACGTATTATAACCCTCAGGTAGTAAATGTTGTCACAGCCTAGTGGCTTTAGCGTGCGACTATCATCCCTGAGGTCGTAGGTTCGATCGCCGACCGTGCACCAGAATGGATCACGGACTTTCTTTCTATGTGCGCATTTAACATTCCCTCGAACGCTGAAGGAAAACATTGTGAGGAAACCGGCTTACCTTAGACCCAAAAAAGTCGACGGCATGTGTCAGGCATTGTTATTTATTTTTGTCTCGACTATGTACGTTTATGAATAAGGGGTGAGTCTAAATGATACTATATAACCAGCTTGTCTTATTGAATATTGCGTAGTGTTCTCGTATTTTAGTAGAGTAACGCTAGGATTGTGATATCGATAATAAGGTTTACATTGCTCAATAACCTGATCTGAGTTACAAGTCGCTGGAGTGTACTGTGTAGCACACCCTAATTGTTAGTGATGACATACTGTTTAATTTTCCTCTGCAATAGTATTAAGTTATTAGGACTCACTGGAAATATACAACGGAACTTTTTTATCTTATCTATATTGATTAGCTAGAATATACTTTCAATTGTATTTTGTTATAGGGTTTAATTGTGAAATAGATGCGTATAATGCAGTGAAATCACTTCGTGCGCAGAGACCGGGCATGGTTCAAAATAAAATCCAGTACAGATTTATTTACTTGGCCCTCCAAAGTTACATTGACAACAAAAATGTAAAATTAAAAAAGAAAGTAAGTATATATTTACCTAAGTATTGACAAAACTTTGACTAATAACAGGTACCTAACGAAATTTACGTTCTAAGGTCGATTTCAGTTAATAAAATCAAATTTAAATGCCTGACATAGTCTAATTATACTTATAATCGTGCAAAATAAATATAAAGTGAATAGTTTTTTACGAATACTTTAAAACCGATGTACACGGCCAAACAATAAGTGGTCGGCAATAAAGACAATTAAATAAAGTTACAAATGTAAAAACCTAATAAACTATGTGACCTCATATGTCGTACACTGTATGTTAATATAAATTTAACCTTTCTTGCTTTCACAGGATCTATAGAGGCGTAATCGTTAATACACACGGACATCCAATAACATACACATACAGTAGTATTTTGTACAAATTATTTATTAATTTCTATTTTAATATACCAATTAAGTTCAGAATTTGTTTTTATTTCGCCCTCTTATCGAGTGTTTTATTGAATTAAGTACTGTTTAATATATTTTAAAATGTTTGTAGTGTGGGTCTTGAGCATTTAACAAGTATCTACTAACAAATATTTTTTCTAGTATAAATATAAAATTGTTGCTACACGATGTAATTTAAATATTGTTACGCCATGGCTATCAAACTATTTAAACAGAAGTTATCACGTGAGTGATCACTGCCACGTAATCCTTTCATGGGGAAGATGATTAATTATTTAAAGGCAATGTGCCTTTATACTGTGGGAGAGTACCACCAGTTCAAACCATAAGTTTTTATAACAATTATTAACTGTTCTTATTATTATGACATTTGCATGCCCAATTTTTATGGCTGATTGTGCGATTTTTTTGAAATAATCAATATGAATGTACCACACTTTCATTGCAAATAAACGATTTATTATTATTATGGAGATGACGAAATAATACAACCATTTGATGTGTATTTATTTTTATTAATTTTGTTTTAAAACATTTCAAGCTATTAGTAAATCTATTTATAAACATGAAATATTACAAACCGAATAAGACAAGAAAATTAACACTCAGCAATAACATATAAAACAAACAATGAATTTTTAAATACGTATAACTTACACAATTTCATACTATACCTTGATAAGTAAATAAGTGTCTCAATGGGAATCTTTCATTTACTCAAACATTTTATTTACTTTTGGCTTTTAGGTATTTTTAAATTATAGTACTTAATCCAAATTATATGACTTCTGAACGTTTTGTCTTGTTACGTCAGTGGCACAATTAATCAAAATATCTTAAACATCAACAATAATAGTTACGGTGGCTTAGTTAAACAGTAGATTAGAATACGCAGATATTTATGTATTTTGTATATAAAACTATACCTACTTGTTATATTAATATCATAACTTGGCACAAAGTTACTAAGTCGGAGTGTAAAATAACAAAATCGTAAATTTTGATATGATATTACTTCAGACATCTTTATTTAAATTATTTTAGATTATGCAGGCCACTACGGCGCTAATTTTAGATTATTTCAATGATATTTTTCATTCAATTGGCCCATAATTAAATATTATAAGCCTTTTTACGAAAATTATTAATCTTAGCAATGCCAATATTTTCCATACCGGTGGTAAAAATGGGTAAACTAAACCTCATGTTTAAAACGCATTATCTAAACATTTCACGACGTATAATATTTTGTACAATCTAAATGTAATAGGTAGGTATACGATTTATAAAAATAATATGTAAAATTCAAAAATTTTACATTGAAGATTAAAAATCTCTCAAAAATAATATTCCAAAGTGCGCTAACATCAAACTCACAGTCGGGTATTTATTTATCATTATTCAACTTAAAATGCAACAGCAAAGTGTAGTTTTAGTTTGTGAACTTTATTTCATACTAGCTAATATAGGTTTTGAAGATGTGGATTTAACTACTTTAAAAAGAGGTGTTTATACGCTTTAAGTTAAAAAAAGAAATAACTTTGATTACAAGTAAAATTTTCATCTTAATTAAATGGAATCTGTGCTCACGGTTCAGTTTAAATACGAATTTCAATAGGTATCTAAGAAAATTACAAAAGACACAAATTTGGTGTAATTGTTAATTCATTATATTAAGCTTAAATATAAAGTGAATAATGTGCATTACTACTTAAAGGGAACACAATCGTATATTTTACAATATATAGACATCTATCTATAAGCATACTACAATGTTGTACAAATCAAAATAGTTTAAAATATTCAAATTATTTCAATCGTTTTAATAAGAATTTCAATAATAAATACCTTTTTTACGTTTCATAATGAATGTATACAAAAAATATACAATGATAAAATAAACATAGTTATCACCAAATGCCCTCTTTCTCGTCGAGAGCCATCGAAGGCACTTAGCATAAAATGGTTAACACAATTTTATAAAACAAAGCAAAAAATAAAATCCAAAACGTAACGAAACAACAAATATTATTTTAATTACAGAAATAATTATTTACATAAAAGCACCGACTGTTGCTTTCAAAGCTTTATCGTAAACTAGACATATGATAAAAATTGAACACATTATTTTTAAACGATGTGTCTAAAATCAAATATAATACAAATTAGTTTCATTAATTTCACTAATTATTTAATTTAAGTGCTTCATAAGTTTGTGCTCGATAATTTTATATAATATGGGTTGTTTGAGATGATGGTAAAAATATGCAGAGGCGAGCGACTGGAACACTTTAGTATGCAGATTCAAAACAGACAGTAAGAATTCTCCTTTAACTTTGCCCTTTTCATATAAAGCCTTCGTATATTGGCTCTGTGGAATGTGTTATATTTAAATGCGAACTTATATAACCAACTCGTAACAACTAGAACAAATAGTTTAATAGCGAACTTATAAGAATTCATAATTTTAGAAGTCATACAGGCTTTATATTTCTATATTAGAGACTTCCGAAAAGTAATACCAATAAAACCTTATTACTTAAGGAATAAAAACACAATATTACCTTCCTATTTAAGACTTTGCAGGATGTTTTTGTCATTAAATACTATTTCAAACTCTATAAACATTTGGTTTCGTTTTCGGAAACGTTCTGATTACACTTTGTATGTTGAAGTTCAAAAGAGGTTGGCTTTACAGATATTGCATAATTGTATCTACAGCTATAGTGCATCAATCAATATAAAAGACCAATAAGCGTGAATATTCACACATAATATTTACAAACTTACGTCCTATTCGTATGTCTAGCCTATTTCGAGACTACTGCGACATTTTGAGCTAAAAATAAATATACAATATCACCTCAGACCCGTTACCACTATAAATGCTGGCATGTAAATGAAAAAAATAATACTTATTACTATTTATTATTATTGACGGAATTCAGCGAGTGCATTGTCAAAATGTTAATAAATACATCGTTGTGTGTGGTTCCGATATAGAATTAAAATAAAGGAAATATAGCTTTTAATTAATCGTTCAATTCATATGCATTGCCTAGGTAACTTTTCACTTATCACAGATATTTAAAGTACGAAAAATTCAGCTCCAACCAAATAATTAATGCAACGTTCATTTTGGTATGTTAAGTCGCGAGGACTGAAAATATGCCTGTATTCTAGTAATAATAGGATTCAACACAATATCATATAGCAATGTACTATAATTGATTGACAATCTTGTAAGCTTTAAAGCTCGTTTTCGAGGCTTTTACGAAAAGCCACACCTATATTTTCACTCTTGCATACATTAAAGTAAATTTAATTGTCTATTGCAATTATTCTGCTCGTTAAAGAATATTTTGACAAAATAATATAATATAATATAACCACTTTAAAATAAACTCTTTAAAATTTTTGCATGTTAATGGTTACCGTCAAAAATATTAAATAGTTATTTTCTTGGCTTTATTATTTTCGTTGTAAAAGACTTAAGTACATATATAAAACTTTTCAATGTGCAAGTAAATAACCCATACCTACTGTGCAAGCACATTCAGTCTCAAATGGGATCTCGCATAAGTAAAAACATATGCATTTAATGCGATGTAAGTAGGATACTGAAGCAATGACTAAGTAATAAAAATATAAACTAATTATTTAAAATCAATACTGATAAATAAACGGTGTATTCTGGCACTTTTAAAAATTTTAAATACTATAAATTAAATGTAACTAGAAAAGGCAAATTTTCGTCTAAGATGACTAATTATTTATGTATAGTAGTAAAATATCATAGTTATTATTACATATTAGTAAATGTATGATTAAAAACCGAATTTATATTAAGTCCTAATTCCTTCGTATTCAAAAACTAAATAAGTCTGCGTACACTGTTTCAATAGTAATTTTTCTTTACGCTGTGATGAAACCTGACAGAGAGAGACTCTATGAGTTTGATAATAATAATTTAAACGCAAAAATCTAAAGACCGTTTTAGTTGAGTAACACATTAGTCTATGGCAATATGGTGAATATAACAACATATTAGGGTGTTAATTGTGGTATTTCAAAAACGGTAATTATTATTTAGAACCCTACAACAGTAAAATTAACGTTTGCATACAACGGCGTATTAAATCTTATAGCTGAAATTTTTAATGAGTCTTTTAATTTAAAAGGAATTATGAATATTACAAAGTAACTGGTTTTAGGCCTGATGTTCCTACAAAAGTGTGCATAGTTATGATAATTATTATATTTAAAAGTGTGATATATAAAGCGTGTTAGACATTAAACTACTTTCGTTAATTAGCCACGAATCACCTCAATTATAATAAAATATTGGAAAATAAATAAGAAAATATTGTGATGTAAAATTTCACCTATCACTTATAATTCTTATACTATGGATTAAACACCGATTAACAGCCACGTTATGTTTACGTAATTTTAGGGTTCCTTAAAAGTTACTGTTGTTATAAAATTTATTTAAATCATGTTCCAGTAAAACTTGCCTTGTCGTTTGTATAGCGGATCGAAATTATCTAAAGGTAAAGATTCATAGACAATAATACTCCTAATACTAAACCAGGTATACATGGAGTTCTAGCAAGGAAGAGGAAAGGTCAACGTCGTGGAAGATTAGGATCAGTTCTTACAATTTCTTACATACGAAGGAAGTGTTGTGTGACGTATCGAATACTATATAAAACAACTACAAAGTTTAAACTGATATAACGCAACAATTACACGGTCACAGAATGTCAGTCTCATATACTTTGTTTGTGGTGGCAATCGAGTCGCATTTATCCTGTGAGGGAGCCGTCTCGGTACTATTGCTTCTTTTCCTCTCACTATCGCCAGCTAAGTGTGTCATGCTGCCCGATATGCTAGCCGGGGCCAGATTGAAGTTCATTTTGGTGAGTAAATTGGATTCACTGCCTGTCTTCTTTAAGTCTGGATGGGCAGTAATAGGCAACGTGGGTCCGCTACGTTGTATCATTTGCAAGCGGGCGTATTGTTCTTGGAGAGCCTTTTGTTTTTTGAGTAGTTCTTGGTGCCGTTGTTCGAGAAGAGACTGACGCGCTTGGGCGTTTGTGTCGTTTTGTTCGGTTATGTCAGTGCAGGGTGGCGAGGGGGGCGAAGTGGGCGAAGCGAGGGGCGAGCGGGATGTGGTGCGGGGCGGTGGGGGCGGCGGGGCTCGGCGCGCAGCCATTGCGAGCAACTCTGGATGTCTCTCGGGAACTGGTGGCTTGGGAGGATGCTGCCCGCGGGCACGAACAGGCGGTGAGGCGTCCGTGTCGCTTCCGCTGGGATACGAATGCAGCCTTCTCAGAGGCCCGTCGCCTCTGCCGCTCCGCTCTACGGGTTTGGCAAACGTCTGCAGCTCGTCTAGTAGCGCATCGAGGGCGTTCTCTGGCCGCACGTCCGTTGTTCCCCGGGACGTACACACTCGCCCGCCGCCGGCTGCCTATACCAGTCCATGCTACTTTAGTTCAATGATTTATTCATTAACGCACACAAAAACATGATTTCTCTTCTCGTTAGTAAAAAATTTAATTGAGAAAAGAAACCATGTTCAGCTAACATATAAACATTGACAGAAACATTTAGTAACAACCATACAGTAATAGAAAAATCCATTAAGAACAATCAGTATTCACAATATTTATATAGCTAGTCTTAATGGCCACCACAATCATTCAAAGAGAAAATAAAACGTATAAAAACGAGGCGATTGCCGTAACACCGTAGAAGAATACTTAAAAGAAGAATTACATAGAACGTTTAAATTTTCTTCTACGGCACCAAAAAAACACAAAATCTAACCTAAGATTTGAGGACGACATGGTGGTAATATTTCGGAAACGGGTGTAGAAATTATTCAAGAAGAAATAACAATACGGAAATATTTTATTATTGTTGTGATAAAAAGTAGCAATGCATTAATTAGAAATGAGATTTCACTCTTAACAATTGTGACGATTTTGCCATTAGTCCAAATTTTAAACGTGTTGGTGGTTAAATAACTGTGGATGAATATTAAAACCTACGACTACTCTGAAAGCTCTATTAGTGATATTAAATATAGTGAAACAATACAATATGTAAGCTTGTAACTACTTTAATTGAGTTAATAACTTTTAATGTCAGTTTATAAGCGTAATCCAGTTAAAATTATATTACCTGTGATCCGGATGCGGGAATTAATCTCATATTTCATAATTTGAGGTTCAGGAAGGGAAACAATTGTATAACGATAAATAAATTTAAACAGAGGGAATACAGGAAATATGTGCGAACACTAGCTATCGTAATAATTACGTGCAATTATTTCCGGGATATTAACCGTTAAAAATGGGAACTGGACGGGGAACGAACATGTTTGGAAGTTAGGTATAGAGTTAGTTTCCAAGATAATGTGAGCTGCTTCTGGTATCGACAACGTGCTGCAACAAAAACAAAAACGCCAAGATGCAATCTATTAAGCGAATACTAGTGTCATGCCGTGTTGAACAGTGATATGTTTTAAATGTATTGGGGCTTATAAATCTACATATTTAAACTACAGTATATTACGAAGCTTTATAAAATACACTCAACTCGATGTTTATGGCTAGTGTTTGTACTGTGATTCTATTATATTAAAATTTTATAGTAAAACATATATATGTTTCTGTATAACAGTGCAGTTCTGCATTTCCGGATATAAGTAGACTGGGTTCATGTAAAATTTAACATATATTCTAAGCACTAGGTACCAACGCTGCTGGCTATTGTAAAATGTAAATTGATTTTGTTTTGTGTGAGAGAGTACATGATTTCTCACTACGAAACTAGTAAATCATGCGTTAACAATTAATATAATATAAATACAAAGTTAGCGATCACATTAATGTCTCATCATAAAGAATTTGGTAAGAATATAAAATAAAACGGAATTTAACTTTCAGCTTAAATTGTCATCCACATAATACCTGTATTTGATTACAATTTAAATTGAGTAAATTAATGGAACATACAATATTATGTGGAATTCCGTGAGTGATATTAAAAATATATTTTGTTTAGGAAGAATGTGAATAATATCAATAATATTAAATATTATTAAGCTGAAAGTTATCTTTAATAAGATAAAACGATTATGAAAGCGACTGCTCAAGCTAAGACACTTTAAATGAGCAATTTAAACATGGTCCAAACGTGTAAATTAATTAAATAGTATTTAAGATATGGAAACCCCACATTTAGATTGCAAGAAGCCTCACAAGCAGCATGGACATATTGTTTAGAAAAAAATAATTTCTGTTAGCATGCGTACCGATTGACTTTTCAATAGTGTCTGAACTGGAAAAAAATATGTAAAACGTCTATAAATTTAATCACGATAACAGCGAAATATCTTACAATATCGCTAAAGCTTTTGTGCGTCATGCCTTCATGAAGAAACGAATGTGTCAAATCACCCAAATAGATGATACAAAAACTTAAAGTAAAAGACGAACGTGATAAAACTATACAAATAAATATTCGAAACACAGTAAATGAATAATAAATAATGTATATAAATTAGAGAGCTTAATTACTCGTTAATAACTATAGCTTCTCTGAAGTATTGGCTCTGTCTCCACGCGTACTGACGGGATACGGAAAAAAGACGATGAAATTCATCATTAAACAATACGATTACAACATAAATTCATCATCGTGGGAACGCAAATAACAATATTTCAATTCAATATTTACCTAACTGCTCAACAAGCACTAAGTATACGCGAGGGACAAATTGTATGGCAATCTTCAACTTTTTTGTTGCCACATAATTGTTTAAAGTCTTGATTCATACAAGTTATCCCGAAGTAAAGAAAGAGAGCAGAATACAATTTGACTTTTAAATGATTTAAAGGTTTCACTTACAATATTACAATATTATCTTGCGAATATAAATACCTAAAACTATAACATGTTAATTACTAATATAAATTAATTAACAAATCCAGACGCATTTGTCCGTTAGCGTTAATCATTCACTTAAATTATAAAATAAACGTTTTAAAATTGGCATTATTTTCCTTAAGCGAGGGCGAAAGTACAATGTTGGAAGTGCATTGGTTGCAGGGTATGTGCAAAAGAATATCTTATATATTCTGTTTGCTGTACTTATCACACTCTGATTTTTCGACTTGTTCAAAACTCCGCAGGCTTGATTACCGAAAAATGCACAAGGTTAGATTTATTTACATTATCTTGGTCGGTAAGGATTGTGCGAGAAAGCCAGTTATCGGGCGGTGCCTTTTAAAAGTAAATACGGATGGACATTCGTATGAGCAAGAATTATAACATGCATGTTTCAAAATTATACACACCAATTAGTTAAAAAGGAAGGTTTTCTTTACCAAATACAGAGTGTGACGTACATATTGTATAAAAAGATTAGAATTCTTACATATGCCAATTCCATTAGAACAAGTCTTGACGTAAAGCTGCCATTTTCTTAACACTAACAATTTTGTGGGCAATTTATCATCCAGAATACACAAGAAGAAAATTTAAAGAACATTCACAAAGGGTGATAGCGGATATAAAAAGTTAAGGATTCTTAAACTATATATAGTAATTGAAAGAAAAGTAAGAATCTACCTCTAAGGACTACACTTCTATCGTACAGGATTAAATAGTATGCATGAGTAGATGAGAAAATGATAAATGGTGACGTGAAATGTGAAAAATTTAAATAAAGTATGGCAGAGTTTTTGCCAAAAGCCTCTAGGATTGAGTGAGGAAGCAAACAAAAATATCTAGTAGTCATTCCGCAAAATAGTGGAAGTGTCGGAAAAAAATGCAAATTTTAAACTTTTGGCAAACCTGCAATTGTTAAGCGAATCTTTGGTACACATCACGAACCAAGAGAATTGACCTAGCAGAGAGTACTGATCGTATAGGAATATTAAAATATTGGTACTATACTCCATTCCAAAAGATGGGACAAAGAAAAACCAATTTACTTCTTCGACACATATTTTAACAGTTTTTTAATGTAGGAAATAAGACAGGTGTTAACGCTATTTCTTTACACTTGAATGCATATTTTATATTTAGATATAACAGATGCGTGATTATGAACATATTGTTTTGTTCACTACTAGCTTGAATTATACAAGAATCAATTATTAAAAATAAAAATATTCAAATATTGCATATTAGGCGTAGGCTGTTGGAATAGAATATAGATATAATATAATAAAATTTCCTAATTAATGAATTAGTAGTATATATGAAATAATGATACCTTGTTAGCCTGTGAGACGTGGCAAGTTGATTCAGAGTGATATTCCTCAGAAGATGGTCCAGCGGTGGTAGAACTTTGAGAGGAAGTTGGTGAAACACGTCCATCGCTCATTGGTAGACGTTGTTCTTGTACACATGCCAATCTATGGATTGTTTATTATTAAAAATATACTTAAAACTATGAGAAATTATTCTCTAATGGCCGACTTCATACGTAATATTAATAAAAAAAATAATATATATATTATATATAGCTCATTAATAGGATACAGGTGAACGTTTTAATCATTAAATTTTTTACTAAGATACCATTCATGGCATTTTGTGCCATATTTTACATTTGGATGTTTATTATTCATGCCTAACTATGCTACGAGTATATAGTTAATCGGGTTATATATTAAAATTCTAGATGGCGCTGACCTTGTATTAGCTGCTAGCTGGCTAATATTGAAAATGAACCCTGAATGAATGAAATGAATAAAAACTAAGGCAAATAGTATATAAAATTCTGAAATATACCTTTTTAAAGTAACTAGAGTCCCAGTTAGTTTCTTACACCGACGCAATGCCAACTCTAATCGCTCTGGTTCTTCTTCTAGCATCTTCTCTTTACGCACCACCTATAATTAAATAATTAGGTGCTGCATAAGGGGGCGTCCATAAATTACGTGAGGTGTTTAATGGGGGGAGGGGGTCGAGTCAAATCTCATTTAATCTTACGTTGGAGAGAGGGGGGGTCTCGGCAAATATCACGCAATTTTTTTTCTGATTTAAAAAAAACTTAGCAAAACGGTTGAACGGCCATATCTGCATCTTCCCGCTAACTCCATACCTAAACGCTCAACATTTCACTTATTTTGTTTTAGTCGTAAATAAAAGGACGAAGCAATTTTTTTTTTCTTTTTACAATAACAATCCAACGCGTTTACGTAAGAAACCCACATTTTGAAAAATCTCACGTGAGATTGGGGTTGGGGGAGGGGGTTGAATAAAATCTCACGACATCTCACCAGGGGGGGAGGGAGGTACAATTAAAAAAAACACCTCACGTAATTTATGGACGCCCCCTAACCTGCATTTATCCTGTACTACAAGTTAAATATGAAATAAATATATCTGCGTGATGAAATCTTACATCGCCATCTTGTGGTTACGCGGAAGACTATCTCATATATTTTACTTAATGATTAAGTAAAACTTATAGTTGAACCGGTACTATAGACTACCCTAATTTGGAAAGTTGTTAACTATTGTGCTACCGGAGCCGGTAGGTGGCGCCGTAGACAGTAAAAGCCGTGAAAGATACACACTTTCAATTTAAACACTCTAAGCGAGTGTAACGATAAAACGTATTATATTTTATACAGGGAATTAAATATATTACGTATCATGAAATCAAATGTTGCTTAAGAATATATTGGCTGAATACTGCTGGCGTATATACAACAATTTACATCCAATCATAAACATCATATACGTGTACAGTCAAACCTGGGTAAGTGAGAACTGGATAAGTGAGAAAACTCTATAAGTGAGAGTAATAGCCAGGACCCGTCATTTTAAGCTCCCAAAACCTCTATTAGCAAGAAACAGAAACCTCTGTAAGAGAGAGTCATTTCTCCCTCATGGACCTCCGTAAGTGAGACTGCTACATATCTTTACCTCTATAAGCGACAGTCGGGCTTTATTTATGTATATTATGTACTTTAAATGCGTTGGAGACGGTCCATCAGTACTTTGAATACGCGGCGCGGCGGTTGTTGATCAATCAATCAATATTCGACAAAATTTATGAGCTAGAGAGAAACATTCAAAATACAAAAACAGAAACCCAAACGAAATTGACGGTTTTTTTTAAGTGTACATTAGTTCTAAATAAAATAAAATATATATGTACATAATATGTTGTGCACATTATGCATATAATTTTATCATATTACGTATAAGAGAGAAACGCTACACAGCCTGCATTACCGAGGAACTCGGGTTAGTGAGAAACCTCCATAAGCGAGAATGAGATTGTGCTCCCTTGAACTCTCGCTTATCCAGGTTTGACTGTATATCAGTAACATAAATATAAATGGCCGGCAATGCACTAGCCCCTTATGGTAGTGAAGTGTATATGGGCTTTCGCTTATCGCTTTGCACCAGGTAAACCTCCTGCCCGTTTGCCCCCTGTTCTATAAAAAAGATTGGAACATATGAGTTCCCTATTATGAAACTGGCAAAATTTAAACATACCTTTTCCATTTCAGCTGCGAGTTTCACCTTCATTGTTTCCTGAAGAACGGGAAACTTCAACTTCCAGTCAGCGACAGTTTTGCTACTCTTCGATAGAACCATTGCAATGCGTTCAATGTCCGCCATGTTGACTCGAGTTTCCCTGTAATGTCGAAGGACTTATATTACTTATACTATTATATTATACTATTTTTTATTATTATTAGATTTTCTTATAATAATAAAAAATAAATTACTCTAAAATAATGTTATATATGTTTAATAACGATTAGTGAATAGGTAGAAATGTAATACAAGCTACTTATTTACATTACAGAACAAGATGATAATTAAACCTAGCTTATAAATACAAAAAAACAGAACAATAAAACCAATAACTAACCTTAAAATATAAAAACTAAAATATATTATTAAAAGGTGACCCTTTAGGCAAGGTTCCGAAGATACTGGCAGCGTTCCCCCTTTGAATAGCTAGACTAATTCTTTGTCCGAGGTAGCAGCCAGCTCTTCGGTTTAATAACTGAGTTTTTGTTTGATGTATAGTACATAAAACTATTTTAATACATTATTATTTTGCGTTTCAGCAGAGTCAACACAAATATGCCTTGAATAATAGGTATTTTATTTATGTGAGACAACATAAATAAAATACCTATTATTACCCCATACATTATTTTATTACTTCCCTTAGAAAGGACCAAATATTACATTTTACAAATATATTAGATGTTTTAACTTTAGATTAATTCGTAATATATTTTTGTATTATTATTTGCAATTCTCAAAAAGTCTTTAACTGATTGATTAGATCAAACATTTATTTGCTATTTAAGGTTACATTTGTGTTAAAAAAAGTCTAAAAATACTCACAATCTATTAGCAGCTTGTCCGCGAAGCCGCTCTACGGTTGCTTCTAATTCATATAAATCATTTTCTAACAAAAGCATGTCTTGACGGTAAATTTCTTCCTCTCGCGTTAATTGCTGTAAAGAAAATATGAATTTTAACAATTACTTAACTTTGTAAGAGATCAGCAACAAGAATTCGTACACAAATGTAAAATAGGATACCTACTATAATGGACCCTCAATTATTCAAGAATGTGACGAAGTTTTTATTAAAGCATTATTTATAAAATACAACGTGAATACGGAAATGGATACGTAATCGGATGGTTGGTTTCAGCGTGACTGATGAATTTGTGATAGTAATTATTTCTAGTTATAAATTATTATATAAACAATTAAAATATCTTCCGTTCTATTATTTAATATAACTCTTATTAAAAAGTAAACATTTCCTTTAAAAAAGTTTTTATGTTTAGTATTTAAATAAAACCTAACAAAACGACAAAATTTGTCTATTTGTTTGTATACGATATGATCATAATTGAACATAGCTAACCATTTTACATATGTATCTACTATCTATGCTATTAAAACTGTTTATACTATACTTGTGTCATTTAAGATAATTGCTATTTCTGTGTGTTTCCATTAAAATTTAATAAATACTGGTTTAAAACTTACAGATTCCGGGTCTTCCTCACAAAACCTTGCAGCGAGTGTACCAATTTTCACTATAGTATCAGCCATCATTTGTCTCATCTGCATCGCGTGAGATAATGTGGTACGTCGTAGGTTACGAGTCTGTGAATTGTAGGTGTAGGCTTTACTTCATACATAAACAAGTTGGGATTAAAATTCGCAAATGTATTGAAAATTTCGCTGCGCAGTGTTATATTGTGTTCAGTGTACTGCATGTATGTTTAGTGTAGCATCATACCTCTATTCTGAGATCTCGGCTCTGTTTTTGTAGATGATGGAGCTCGCTAAAGAAGTCCGGTGTTACGGTGACCGTATAGGTCTTTTGAGGAACTAATGCCAACGGCTGACTAACAAGCCCAGCTGGTTTGGGTGGTGGTGCTGGCTTATGTCGATCGCGTTCTGCAATAGTAACCATTAGAATTACAATATATGTTTTGACAAAAAAGTCCGATTTAAGCTTAGGGCTACTTTACAATAGTGATGAAGATACCTCGGTAAGAAGCATGATTTGTATTGGAAATTGTTTATATTCTACACAATTGAAAAGTTCTTTGAAGTATGAAATGTAAATAAGTGATGATATTTGCAGTTACCTTGTGATGATGTCCTCGGCAATGTGGATGACTTGATTGCCGGTTTTGTTGGTTTTGTATCAGCTTGTTATGGCAAAGAAGTAAGCGGAAAGAAATCAAATATAAGAATTATGAATATGGTTTATGATATTAACTACGAAAGGGGGCATACTGGTTCTTCATTCCAACTATGGAAAATATTTGATGTTGATTATGCCACAAATATTCGTTTATAAATTTATTTGTTAATAAACTGTCGATGTGTCTTAATTATTCAATAGTTGCACAGCGCTATTTCAGTAGTTTATTTTCACTTTTCATTTGATTTGTTTCAGAGAAAACACATTCAATACATTAAGGAAGTCATGATTTTTAAACAAGAATATGAAGAAGTGTTCGCATTTAACAAACACGCTAGAAAAGTGAATTGTAAAAATGGTTTAGAAATGTACCTATTATATTGAAATATATAATTAAAAACAAGAAGAATATTTCATTTCTTTTATAGAGTACAGAAATTACATAACGAGTAAAAATGTCATATACACGAAATAGAAGAGAATTAACCGTGGTATGGATGTGAATAGACGAAACATACGAATACTACTCATATTCTGAAAAATAAACAACACAAGAACAGACAAATCTTTACCCTAACTCAGATTCACATTTTTATTTATTTAAATATTTACCTGCGTGCTGAGGAGAATGCTGTTTCGGTGAATTCATGTCTGGAGGATCATCGCTGAATGATACCGATTTCTCGAACGACACAGATTTCTCTGAAAGTGTTTAGTATTTGGTGAATACTTGGATATAATCAGTTTGTTAACACCAAAAGTAGGTATTTTGCCAGACTTGAACTACATATATGACAGTCTATTGGTAAAAGTGATCATAGTAGAAGCGAAGTTCCGTTGGTGTATGTAGAAACGCAAGATATAGTGAGGGATGTTTCGGAAATTGAAAGATAATATAAGTGCACATGTATAGGGATTTTCACTAACAGTGAAACAAGTTATATTCAAAATATAAAAAAATGAACATTTTAATTAATGACTTATACAGTTTGTTGAATATTATCACCAGAAGGATAGGTTACATTACGTTATAATCTGCATGCAACAATAATTTTACTCATTGTCTCTCAATATATCAATCAACATTAATTTAATTATAAAATATAATGGCCACAAATAAAATCATAAGACCCAAAGAAATCATTAGCAATTATTTTCTGATATGCACCAACCATACATACTAAACATGACTGCCTCATTTCAACAAAAGCCTGACTACAAGAACATAATATTTTTGCATAATATCACTGAATATAATGCTGCACATATTTTAATATGTAACTACTATGGTACTTTATGGTACATTTATCCTTCATAGTATATTGTAAGTTACATAATATTATACGTCGAATTAACGTACGCAATATTCTAAATCTTACTTGAACTATACAGCAACTGTTGCACAATCAATGATTTGTAAACTACATTTAATGAGAACGATTGCATCAAGATCATATCAATTAATTTATGGGGATTTAAATATGCCCAATACAAATGTATGATAAGATGATAGTAAGGAAACAAAATCACACGATCGAACAAGCAAGCGTTTGTTTGGCGTGATAATGTGCGGATTCATTAAAATGCATTGCGAATGTTGTAATTTGCAAACAGGAAGTTTTTCTCACTAATGTTCGTGCATTAGAAAGGGCCAATTTTCTTGTGCGTTTCATATTACATGAAATTGAATAGAGTTTTGCGGTAAGTCTGAAACTCATTGAGATTTCAATTAGATAACATTTATCCAGTGTATAAACTCAACATTAGCAATACACCATCACAGATCCAATCCGCATTCAATAACTTACGAAATCTGTCCCTCCCCAATTTGGGAGGTCTCTCGGTGCTGGCAAAATGTCCGGCATCTGAGTGCAGGAAAACGCAATCCATATTAACTCTATATGGCCTTCATTAGCCGAATTCATATACACGTTAGTATTTCAAATAAATAAATTTATATAGATTTTTCTTAACAAATGATAAACTAGCGTTCTATTTACTGGAGGGAAAACTGGAACTCACCTTGATTAGCACGTGGCGGATGAAATTCTTGCCTAGGAGCCACCGCGGGTGGTGGTGTGCTTCCAGGTACCTGAAGAGCTTTTTGGACTAGTCCAGTAAGATTTGCGAGTTGTCGTTCCATTTTTTCTACTCTTAGACGTTGCATATCATCAACTGGTGGACCCAACCTATTTATTTTATGGAAAATTACTTTTACTGCTAGAATTTAAGGATTAGTTATTGTTCGCAAGGCTTATTAATTATTGTGGCCACAATAACGCGCAGCATTTTCATATTTCACCAAATTAACATCGTTGCACCATTTTATTTTCGCAATTCGGTTTTACCTGGCGTCGTAAGGGGGCCTCGGCATTGGACGTGGCGCGGTTGTGATAGCATTAACGCCATACATTTGGTACGAGTCATCAATAATAACACCATCACTGAAATATTAAAAAAAATCACAAAATATCTGACGGTTAAAAGTTTACTTTGAAAGCTAGGTTGACTAAAAACTGAAATTCTTAACGTAAACACATTTTGCATGAAATTAATAAGGTTATTGTAACAGTAAACCACCTTGACTCTTCGTCGATAACAGGATTGATTCCAGGTCTTGAGCCCGCTGGACCCAAGAACTGCGTATAGTATGGATCTTCGTAAGGTATTCTAGCGGAACTGCGTTCAGGGGATGACATGTAACCCTCGCTTGAGTGTGCTGCTAAATACAAAAAGGATTTATTTTAGGAAATATTTGTCTGATTCAGGAAGACTTCAAGTGAATCTAGCAAAAAGTTGAAGTTGAAGCAGTTGTTAAAGAAGAAATAGTTAAGATTAATAAAATACTACTCAAGTTATTTTGAAATTGTCTCCGTTATTATAAACTCTACACAATGTGTGTTTTTTTATAAGAATTACTACACCAGAATATAGTTTAACCAACAAAAATTTTGCACCGCTAAAAAAAATTGGCCGATGTTATTCGGTAGTAAGTATAATAAGCAAAATTAATATTGTATAATTAACTCAATCGTATAATTATTATAGAATATGGTCAGTTTAGCGAAAAATGAATATAAAAGTTTTATACTACGCGTCTAAATAAGTATACTATAAGCGTATATTCTAGTTGAAAAACCTGCCGCACAAAATCTGAAGTCATAATAATGTTGAGTTTTTCCGTATGGTAGAAAACTAAAAGGCAACCGCAGATAAAATAATGGAGTGTGAAATATTTAGTATATTGTACTTGTGTAACTTTACCAATATTTCATCGATTTATTAAAAGAAATTACCTCTAAGCTTTCCTTTACATATAAAATTACTGCAAGAATAAGATGTATCCCTGCTACTGATAACTCTCTTAAACTAATATTATTGAAGAAATATTATATACATATAAAAACACTCACACCGCAGATAAATATAATAAGAAGGATTCTAAATTAAGCAACAAGCAAATATTTATCTAAAGCGAAAGTAGTTCACAGGGCGAAGTGGGTTTTACCAGGGATTGTGTAAAGTTGATCTGTACCCCGGGGGCAATCACTGGCGGAGAATGGAAAACACCTCTCAGAGCCAGTGCCTGGAACGTAGGAGCGAACTGGCTTGACCGGAGGACCTACACACACACTGCGGTGTACCCAATGCCAAACAAGGATTCAGAGCTTATCATGGTTTAACCAAAATATGAATGGATGAATACAGACAAGCGTGGACGCTAGAACAATTTATCACCTGCTGGAGGAATGGTCTTCCCACGATCAGCTGGAACTGGCGGTGCTGCCGGTGAGAAAGCACGAAGTACTGTGCCCCCTCTTGGTAAAGTGCTAGGCGCCGCGGGACCCATGTAGTATGCTGGGGGCTTCGTCTAAAAATGAGTTTTAGTTACCTACGGTTAAACATAACGGAAGCTCAAAGTTTACAATTCGTTCGTATCGTCCGTGGACCGATTTTGATGATTGTTCAAGCTATAATCCGTATTTGGTTGTTCAAGTCTTAAACGTCCAAAGTTATGATTTTGTATGGGAGATAAAGAAAATATGTTAAAATAACTGTAAATGTAAATAAAAATATGGTGATTCCATTGAATTAACTTCTGTATACAACAATGTATTGTTATGTATTTGTGGTTTACAAATACACTATCAAAGCAATAACAATCTAACCGCCACTAAGAGAGAGTCAGTTAACGATTTGTTTTTATGGTGAGCACACTGTGATAAATTAGAAAACTGTTAAGTGAAGATGACCTTAATATGAAAGTGTTTTGTCATCAATTTCAAGAATTTAATTTCATCACACTAATAATCTTAGTGTAAACGGTTGTGTACAACGTATATAACATACTGTGAGTAACTACTTAATAAAAATATATAAAATATATTTATTTAAGCAATAAGATTATTAATTAGGGTAATATAGTATTACAAACTAAACTGGTTTCTCCGAGACAACTTTCACGCTATTGTTCAAGAAGGGTGTCCAATACCTAATGTGTTGGTTAAAAATGCGATCAATTACGTCACATGATTTATAAGGTCATTTTCAGTTCTGGTTTGTGTGTCGTATATGGCATCTGGTGTTATTTCAATAATTCCATTCATATACAATAATATTGATAAGCCCAGCCCTTACAAAAAAAGGTCTTATATATTCTCCAATGGGAATACAATGAAAAGCTCTTTATGTTGTGGGGTAACGAAACTTGATTACACAAAATATCGAACATGTTTACGTCAATCAAAAGTGTACTCATAAAGTTTTGTTTACTCTACTACTCCGATTTTAGAAGCTTAAAAACTTCTTGGGTTTCGAAATCTTACAATGATTACAGTATATCTCTTCGTAGTACATAACTTTACAATTGCTTTGCTTCTGAACAAAGTAAAAGACTCCTTTCAAAGCAGAACTAATACCGGCTTTACAACATTCACCAGATTATTAAATCCTTTGATAACGCTACGTATATTCAATTTCTATTCTATAACCAGTCTCTAACTAATATTTTGAACAATGACTTTGGTATTGCCCCTACGAATAACAGTTCCTAAGCCTGTTTTTTTTATTATTTCAGAAAGGAAAATGAGATTTATGACTTATTTTACAGTATTATTAACTGCGATTAACTGTGGGGCAATGAATAGGCCAGTATATAAGATAATATTGACACAAAAAGGCTTTACACAGGTATTTATTACTTAAAAACAACAGTCGAAATAAGCAACTTTGTGTATATTTTCTTTCTATTTTTATTACAATATCAAGTAATAAAATTATTACTTCGGTTTTAAATTATGAACAAATTTAATCGTAATCAAAGGCGAATCAAAGGTTTACCTTTGATTATTGCTTCTATTACATTAAGAAAATTAATAATGTTTCACATTTCAGTTTCTTCAGTATGATATTGATACGCCACCACTGAGAGAATTCACATTTTGTACGTGGATTAAATTTCGTGATTTCACTCGTGATCAGACTTTGTTTAATTATATTGGTGAGTATCATTCATGGCCCTGTAGATATTATAAAGTACTGCATAATTTAATTAACTCAAAATCCAAGCTCACAAATATATGACTATACATCATATTCGCCAATCGACACTTAAAACATTGCTATTTAAAATTATTTATTATTTAAAGAAAACATATCATTCTCGACAGCATAATTCATATTGAAGGACATGATAGTGAGATACTCTTGCAATATTACCTGCCACACCCACACGTAATTAAATAGTTAACGCATTGTTGAATACGTTGTTCGGTGAACGCGATATCCTTAGGCATGATGGGCGTTAATGCAATCACATTTCAAATACAAGTATTATTCAGTATTTATAAGATAGTAAAAACAGGACTTTGAATTAAATTTCTGTCGCGATGTTATCCCATTATCTACGTGGCTCGACGTTTCGAGTTTTGTAGTTAAGATGACTGCCGCAAGGTATTCGACGTAAAGGACAGTACCATCAGAAATATTTGTTTTGATACTACCAAGAAAGCTAGATTAAAAACGATAAAAGATAATGGCGAAATCGTAAGTTTTAACCCTGCGATAAAATAGTATAGTTAACACTTAACAATGTAATGTTGAGGTTATACTTTACCTAAACAGAATCCTGCAAATCGCCCGAAACAAATAGACTTTTCATATGTATCTAAAGCGATATTGAATACACTATGAGCAATACCCACCGGTCACACTTCTCTCTAACCGGACACTGGAGCACTGGGTTATTGAAGCGTTGTTCTGTTCATTGCATGGTACATTTAACTAATTAGAACAGTCTTTTAAATTAAATATAGATAACACCAAACATGTCACTGTGTAACAGGAACGTTTGTAGATACTTTTAAGTTTTTATAATATTTTTATAACGTTACTCTAAATTAACCACAAATATATTTTTTAGATTTTTGTCGATTAGATAAATTCCCCAAGCTTTATATAACAGTGCATGACCCTATGGAAATGATGTGGCGAACTGTATTAGCATTAAAGCTGTTTTTAATTTCAAATTTATCAAGATTTTATACAATAAATCTTTTTGTCGAAATGTATGACATATATTTGCGGATTTTATTTAAAATACATATAGTTCGTTAATCATATGAAGAACTATGTCGATACCGATCCAATTCAGACTAGTTTGAAAATAGAATTACATCACATACGTTAAGAAATGTGGATTTAGTGATTAAATTTTAAATTTGTAATTCTTTGGCAATTATTGAAATGGTGTAATTATAATATATCCAATAAATATTATGTAGAAGTATAAGGTAGAATTAATAAATAATTAATGAGCGCGTGATTGGCGACGGCACGATCTAGTTACCGCGATTTTCTTCATTAACGCATTCGACCACGTCATGGCGATAACCAAATTAATTGGTATATGTAAATTATTATGTTAGTTTTTCATGTTAATATGTAAGAGAATGACCATCACATATATTTGCTTTGTTTTGCTCTGATGATTTTATTCGATTCTACAGTCACCTACTGTTTTATCTGTTAGAATAACATAAAACAATATTTATGTTTAAAATACTATAGCGTTATTTTGTAATGAGTAGCTTGTTTTTATAAATTTTCACTTTCAGAAACACAATTGTGTTTATTTTGATTCACTACACCTACTCAAAATTATACGTTGCATCACTTAGAATCATAATCGGAAGTTATTGCGTAACTTTTGTAAAAAACAAAACTGAAATCCTTATTTACTTGATTTTTGTTACAGTTCACGGAAAAGATCACATACTAAGACTGTGGTTGGATTCCGGAGGACGACATTTAAAAATTTCTGTGAATGGAAAAACATCATCTAGTTACCCTGTCAATTTAGCTCAAGATGTATGGCAACATATATGTCTATCGTATCAATCAGATTACGGGGCCTGGGCGCTCTACATTGACAGCCGTCTTGTTACATGTGAAGTCGCACCGAGTGTAAGCTATAATTTAATTATTATAAGAATATGTGAAATAAAAGACCTTTATGTTTTCCAATTGATTGAAAGTAAGAAATCTGTGAAACCATCAGTTTATCAGTTTTAATAATTTTTTTCTTAGTTTTAGGAAAGTATTCAATGCTTCAATTTTTTTTACTATCTTACAGTTACAAGGATTTGTTTTGCCAGCGGGTGGTAGCGTAATTATAGGGTACGGAACTTCAAATGATGGTAATTTAGACGTCTTATTAAGGTGTTATTACTTTACTTGAAATAATACAGAAATTGTGGCAAATGTATTGTATTATTACAGGTGCCCCAGGTGGATTTGAAGGAGAGATATTTGGAGCTAACATGATACTGTCTTCGACCATTGAAAGAAATCATACAATGAAAAGAAATCCTAAACTGAGACAAAAATATTTTCATAGAAACAAAGTGACGGGTTCAAACGACATCAAATATGTCATTCTTGGCGATATGCAGTCGGCCATGTCTCATCAAGACTTTGAAACCACCTCGTCTATTCCCAGCAGTACTCAAAGTTATGTGTCCATAAGAACACCATTTAGTGTAGTAGAACATGATGTTGGTATTGATTTGACATCCGGAAATAATAGGGGTGACTCAGTTATAAAAAAAGGAATGAATGATGAGGATAAAATAAGTTTTAGTAATATAATGGATGATGCCATCATGACTCGTCCTTTTAAAGAACAACAATTCAATTTAAAACAATTAAATAAAGGGCCTTCTGTGTCACTTTATGAACAGCCACCACCGCCTGGCTCGGTTATTGACTATTCCAAATTTTCAACTAATTCGGTAAAAGAACTTTTTGGTAGTCACAATATGAGCAAATTTACTCGCAAGACTGTAAAATTACAAAATAATGTCATTTCATATAATAAGCCTCCCACGTTAGCTTCACTGGATAATGATATCCTAACTAACTCCAGATCTAATTCTCATTTCGCAAATAGTGTGTTAAATTTTATAAAAAACAATAATATAAAATTGGACCACAAAAAGGTACCTTCAACAATTCCTCTATTTAAAATCTCTGATTCATTTCCATATGCTTCAGATTTTAGAGCATCTAAAGCCTTTACGCCTTATATTTTTCAAAGGAAAAATTTATTTGATAAACCATATAAAATAATGAAACGCGATGTTCAAAATCATCGAATAAATGTTCAAGTTATTCAAAACGATGACATTAGAAATCAAATTTTAAAGTCTCATTCTAATTTAAATCCAACCAATGTCGAAGTAACTAATTGGGGGGAAATTAAAAGTCACAAAGACTTACGCGTTTATAGAAATACAGAGAATTCAGTCCCCGAAGGAATTATCTCAGATGTATTTGTACCTAGACCATTTTCCGTCCAATCGAACAAGAGGAATAAAACTTTAATGCCGTTGGAGTTTCGAAAGAATAGTATTAACGCAATATTACCATTTATAAAATCTAGTGAATATTTGCCTGAAAGCAATCCCAACATAAAGATTAACCAAAATGATGTCTACAGTCGAAGTTTATCCACTCCAAATAAGTGGCACAATGTTAAATCGTATAATAACGACTACTCGCCAAGAAAAATTGAAACTGAATTATCTGAAAATAAAAATGATAAAATGGAGATATACAACAAGAAATTGCCGTCAATTAGGTTAAAATATATTCCGGATAATCATAAAATAGTTAAAAACATAGATAACGATATTTTAAAAGGCCGTGATTTAGCCTTAGAGGTGTCAAACGTTTCCGAGCCATTTACAGATTCAGTTTCAATATTAAAATATAATCACGGATTTTTGCCTAGTAGAACTAAAAAGAAAAAAGAGTCACAATTTGATAAAAATATAAAAATCGGTAATGCCTTAAACGAACGTGCTATTATTGGTGACGATGAAATAGAAAAATATAAAAGTTTCATCGGTGGTAATGAAAAAGTTCCAGATATAAATAGTTACAGATCTGACTTAGACAAAGTAAATGAAGAAGTACCTCCTTCGTTAGGTTCAAAAATTTGCAAAAATCTTGAACTGTTTGATCGGTTGCTTTATATTCAACCCGATGGAAGTATTGACGTTACACATATATTATCACCAGTAAAAGAAAAAAACCTTGGTATAGCATTTGTAATACAAAATTATAAAAAATGCGCGTTACAGGAATCGATAATGGAAGACCACTCCTTGTTATTTATTGATTGGAGTAACACACCTGTTAGATTGTTTGGTGGTGCAAAACCCAAAAAGACAACTGATCTATGTGGTTTTTTTTAACCTTGATTATGTACGACTTTACTAGAATAAGTTTAATATTTATATATATTTTTGAAATATATATTTTTAACCCTAGTTTCGATTGAAAATCAGAATTTGTTCAAAAAACTTTTATATTTAACAAAGCATGCTGTCGTAGTAATCATTGACTTATTATTGTGCGTGAAATATTTCAACATCCAATGAAATGATATGTGAAAGGAAATAAGGCCTGCTAATTATTTAGATCACAAAAAGTACGACTCAATTATGTCATAAAAACTGTGTAAGCATTACATAATACTTTCGAACCAATTTAAATTGATAGAATAATGTTATTTTTTTATCAGTAAAGGTTATATGTACTTAATACTTTTCATTTCAATGTTGTTCAAGAGTAGTTTTATTTATTTTCATGTGTCGTGAATTGAAAAGTTATTTTAAAAGATTGACGGGCCTCCACTTCTTCCCACAAATGGAAGTTCTCGGACTTTTGTTAAAGAAAAAGAAATGATAAATGAAATTCAAGTTTTCCTCAACTTTGAACCACAATTTTTCGGAACGCTTTCGTAATTGTAATTGGACACGTCGTATATCCAAATTCTAGTATAATCGGAAGTATAATTAATAGAAGAGAAAGGAAGAGAAGATATATGAGAAATGAATTTTGGTCATAAAATCAAAACGGTGTATAACTATCCCAAACTATTTCAACTTTGCGTATCTACCCTTTTTAAGTATCACACCACACAACCAAAAAAGCGTACAATTAAAGGAACACGAAAGAGTATCGCCCTACACACGTTATCAATTATTAATTTGATTACGAAATTTGTGCAATTTCAAAGAAACCACGTTTATCCTGTAACTTTTAAATAAAATGAATTGGTTATATTAATTGCAAACAACATGCAGACATAAGAACGTAACTGGATTTATTTATGGAGTAATGAAGCTGAAGGTTATTGCCTTTTTAGATATCAAGGACACGTTTTTATTTTTAGTGAATGAATATAAAAGCGGCCTTATTTTTTTACGAGTAATTTATTTGTGAAACCTCTATATTTTTACAAACAGTTTGAATTTGAATTACTTTCATGCCTGTTCAAGATGCAACTACAATCCTTTTGCGCGAAAGTTAAGTTTAGGGCAACATTTTTGGATGCACTTCCAACGTATTTACACAAAAAATCAAATAAATAAAGACCAAAAATAGTTACTATCCTTAGAGTCTCACATAAATTTACTAATTCATTTCATATATAATCAAAAAACAAATTGTGCGCCAAAAAAGTTTTTGGGAATGCAATGCATGAGCATTTCCTTTATCATTTTTATATTTACTGTTATTTCAAGAAACTCAAAGATGCCATAAAACTCCCCAGATATCAGATATTATCGAGATGGAAGGATAGTAGACCTAGAGACGAGAGATTTCTGCTAGACCAAATTATAAACTTTCCTGCAAATGTTATCTATATATATAAAAGAAAAATGGTCTTCGTTTGAGGCTCCTTCACGCCTAAACCACTGATCGTATCGACATGAAACTACCACCATTCGATGCGAAATTTTTCCTAGATGGTTTATGGCTATTATTATAAATTCCAACGTTCCTTCATTTTTTATTGCTGTTTTACTTTTATGAAAATTTATCCATACGGACTTCACCGCGGAAACATTCGGGGAGGCTTCCTAGAACCTCTAAACGTCAACATCTGTTAAAAACTCGATTTTCGAAATATTTCAATTTTCTTAGCGGGAAGTTAAAAAGAAGAATAATAAAAATATGAAAAAACATAAAATAATGAAACATAAAATTTATTTTAATTCGTCCAGCAAAGCGGGCGCGAAACGGCTAGTTATTACATACTTTAGATATTATGTCGCCTAAAACCCCTTTACTTATAAATTCATTATTAAATTAAAAAGCAAAATAATCTTAATTAAGTTAAATATTATAATATGTATGATTTAATAATATATTGAAACAGAATTCTGCTTAAATATTCAAAACTATGATTCTTAACCCTCCGATAAAGATCCTCGAACTAAGACTGACAGTCTTACATTAAAATACTTTACGGTTTAACAGTAGAAGGCATCTGGTGATGGAGTGATTGCATACAAATTTCAATATATTACCGTTAATTTTCGACTGCGAATCATGGTCATCACTCTTGATGACCATGATTTGTAAATCAAATGTTTGGCAAATAGTTTTTTGTTTTATATATAATGTAGAACTAATGTGGTGGGGAATTTTGAATCTTGTATATTACGTATAAGATGAAAACTAATCAATCAACAGAATTAACTAATAAAAGATCTGATACTTATTTGAGTAATCTTTTTTCACTAGCCTACAACATCGATCTCACTTTTATATACAACAATTGATGTGAAATAAACAAAACACATCAAAGTAAATGAATATCAATTACGGCCTCACGGCCTTACGGCCTGTTTAAATTAAAGAACCACCGGTAATTTTATAACCGACAATAGTTCTTTAACCATCCAATATAATTAGTATTGGGAAGCGAACGCCCGGGTATAAGTTGCCAAGACCAACGTCGTTCCTTGTCATAGCCCAAGATAGAAGAGGGACAATTTATAAGTCCCAAGTTATATTATTAAGAGAATGATTATATGATAGTGATCTACAACAGCCATGAAACGGTAGCTTGCCGGTACTAACAGGATGCAAAGCTTATCAAGACAAACGATATTTGAACATAATGTTCATATTGTTCTGGAGCATGTATCGTAACGTGATTACCAAATGGCATATTCATGTCATAAGATTCGTAACGATTTTGAGTGGGGTGGTCTTGTGACCACACGGCAAAAGCTGGTTAGTGTTTCTTTGCTAAGTGAATGTGCGCCCGCGCTACAAAAAACAAGAGGAACGAAGGAATCGTAAGTTAATTTTTGTGATATTAACTTCACTCATTATTGACAAGCGATGCGAAATTATTGCGACTTCTTAGATTTTCCAATATGTGTAATAAACTAAAGCCCAGTTATATTTATTTACATGTTGTTAGCGCTTCAGTGGTATTTGTAAATTAAAAATTAATAACACAAAGCTGCGACGTATAAGATATGGTTTATACAATTTAATTAAAATATAATGTAAAGAAATGTCGACTAACGATTTCAGAATATCAATAAAATCTCATTGAATTTTGCTCCATTTATATCTCCAGTGAAATGGTTTCCAGAAAATGATAGTAATCAATTCCCTGTGCTTCTAAATTAATGGATGCTTTTTAATGGCTTTAATTTTGATTGAACAAGCTTTGACCGAGATTATATTGTAAAATTCTCTTTGCGTTGGTGTATTCCACAATGTTATGTATTTCAAGGCAAGTATTAATATTAATGATTTATAGTGTATACATTAAAATATTTATACTATTCCTTGTTTGGCTTCAAACATTTGCAAAGACTTAAAGGTAATAATCATCTGTCATGTGATGTGGAAATTAAGTGAGTTTTAATTTTATACAATTTAAACTTTACAATGCGGTAAACGGTATTTCGCGCAGTATAAGCGAAAAAGCTAAAAAAAAAGGAATACTTATATTGTAAATAATCAGTTATGACAAGATTAAATCAGGTCACCGAATTGCTTAGAAATCTATTTTACATATTCGAATAATATTACCTGCTTAAAATAACATTTATAAGATTGTTATTTATCACAAAGGAGACTCCGCATTATTTGGGAGAAGGGTGTGGAGAGAATTTATTCGTGACAAAAATTGTTATTCACCCGTTCACGGTATCAGTGTGTTGATATTACTCCTGACTGACTGACTTACTTTACTTTAAGCTTTAATTAATCCAAAATAAGTCTTTACATTATGACATCATTGATAATAGGCGACTATGAGTATAACTATTATTAAATAAATCAATAGACGGAGTAATAATATTCCACTTCTTTTAATTAAGTAAAAGTTTATTGTGTAGTGTGATGGTAAGTTTGTTAATTAATAACAAATACAGAAAAGATCGTAATTTGAATTGGACTTCAAACGAGTTTTTAATCGTTAATTAATTTATATATTGTTCCGCAGTGTTGTTATTAAAATAAAATCCCCACGAAAACCTTCATTCGGGATAAGCACAATTCTCTTTTGTGTAAATCAATTCGTTCACTTTTTAAATAAGAAACTTTCACATTAAATATCAAAATGTTATCTCGTACGCTTGTCCGATCTATTCTCATGTCATTATAGTTACGAAATGGTGTAAAAGAGTAAAAAAATGTTTAGTAATCGGGATGTTGAGTCGTAATAGAGTGAAATTAAACTGCTGTTGTACTTTACGTAACATTCCGGATATATTGGATGCTGCGTGCGAACACCTACTAGACCTTTCCGTCGCGTATACCTATTGACGACTGTCTGCGTTAATTTTGTACTGAGTATTCTAAGTTATATTTTAAATCATACCACTAGTATAAAACAATTTCATCAAAGTCCGTTCTAAACAGCATACACGGTGATGTGATCTTTTCTTTATACCATTAATCGACAGAACACGTTCCACTGTCTTATTTTAATGATCGCACGATATTTTCGATTCGCGTTTAACACTTTCTCCGAGAAGTGTTATGATGTTAACGTCATATATTACAGAAGCGCATACCAAAATTTATTGTGTCATATAAAAAACATCACCGTGATTATTAAAAATTTAACCTTACGAATTAACCTAGGTTTGTACGGTTTTCACTAACAAGTGTGACTTCTGATTAAATATTGACAATTATTGGTGAAGAGGCCGCAAAGATGTACAAAATATACGAAACGCACGAATCTTATTTACTTTTTTTGATTAACACTAACTAATTATTCCAATTTTGTAAATATAGATATAGTCCTTCAACAAAAACTGATTATTTATTCACACTATACGCAGATATTATTGCGAGTAAAATCGAGTAAATTAATTGCAGTTTCTAATATAATACTCCAAATTTACGAAATTAGATGAAAACCAAATTAATATCTTATTCACATTGACTTAATTGCTTGTCGGTGGTGGAGTACATGAAAGAGTTTCCTGTATGACTCAAAAGTCCTTCATATAACTTATCATATACGCAAATTTATTTATTAAAACCGATACAGATTATGTAGAAAGCGTAACATTATTGTAGACGACAATACCTGTTGGATAAACCGGAATTCCGCGAAAGAAATCACTGATTCTATATATCGTGATAAATTATTTCTTACGTAAACTCTGTTACGTGCAAATAACTTATTCTTTTGTTTTTATTAAATAAAAAAATTTAACCTATTAAATATACCTAAAGATATAATATCAAGAACTCTCTTTCACAATTTGGTGTAAGTTTTTTACGTTGTCAGCGTATATTTACACAAATAAGTAGAGCACAATAACTTGATTTTTTTAGGCTACCTACTAACAACACCTGTATCATGCAACTGTAGTGATGAAAAGCCAATTATAAGGTATTATGTTCTACTCAATTACTCTTATGTCCTTGAGGTTTTACGATTACATCACCACATATAAGATGCTGATCACTTTTAAATAGGTAGCAAAAATGACAGGCAAAAAGCAACGTAGTTAAAAGATTTCGGAGTTTCGTCATAGAAAAATAGTTTAGAATATACCGCTGAAGAAGGCCATCTGTAGCATTTATCTGTATTTAAGTTAATTGTTTATAATGTGTGAATAAATATTGTTTATATTCCTCAAAATCTCAAATATTTCAATGAACATCGAAAGATTATTAACAATTAAAACATTGACCAAATAAAACTTTACCAAGAAATCGAACCCAATTCCTAATAATACAGGTAAAGCGCCATGCGAGTTATCTATTAAGTTACGAAGACAATAAATAAGTATTGGTAAAATCAGAATATTAGATATTTTAATTAATTAAATAAATAATAATAATATTTAATTCTTCCAGATGCGGATTTTAATATCACTTGCGATATTGGTGGGAGTGGCATGGTGTTTCGAAGAGGATAATTGGCAACCCATTGTACCAGGACCACACGTTTACGCAAGCCTGACGCCAAATGACAGATCTATTGAGCCAAGGTAAATAAAAACAAAATGAATTGTTTTTTAATATCAATATTAATTCAATATAATTTGAATTGAGAGATAATTGCAGCACCAGCGCCTAAACTAATACCTAGCAGTATATTAATTTGTTCAACAATGGCTAAAACTAATAGTACGACGGCTTATCGATTTACTGGATGACACATAATAGGATCTTAGATCAAAGGAGTTATTATAATACATCATACGCTAGAGGCCTTTGTTAACCTGTTTCCTGTCTGAAGGTTTCCCAGCAAATAATTGAAAGCGTAATGAAACTTGTGTACATAACATATCTCCTATTATAGAATTCTGAACAAATGAGTTTGCAAAGAACCTTGTCTTTCGAAAACATAATTTAAATACATAAATTTTTTTTCGAATGAATTTTTTTCTAGCCCTCAGTTGAAAATTGTGAACAGAAGACCGATTTTCAGCAACGTGCAATCGTTCGAAACAAACAAAGTGTCGAGCCCTTACAACGTAGCTCCTACAAACGATGCCGATACCTGCAGCGTCTACAAGGTGTCCATGAATCAGGAACTGTTCTACCAGTACCTGGAATACGACACAGTGCTTCCTGATCTTAAGGAGTTCACACTGTGCATGTGGGCCAAGTTCCACAACCATTCATCCGACCATCCTTTATTTTCGTATGCAGGTAATGTACTAGCACTTCAATCATCATTAAAATAAATACTGCGTTACGTAAGACGCAAGTCCTACATAGGCAGTATTGAAGTACTAAGTACCTATACTTTCACTTTTTGTAGGCATAATAGGAACTGGTGTAAAGCTTCGATGAAACACGTTTAAATTATGGATCATGTCGTGTGTGTTTACATATTTCAAGCAGCAAACCACTTTATACCAGGATTTTTTTTATTTTTTATTTTCTAAGCTGTTGCTAAACTAAACAGATATATCAGTTAGAACAAAGCTAAGTATTTTAGGAAAGTTTACGAGCTACTAGTTAATTGAATTGTTTCTGTTTATCTAAATAATAAGAACGAAAGCTACATATCGCATATAAATTAATAAAGGTTTAAAATTTTGTTACCAACACAACGCAAATTCAACAATAGTGCGCGAACTTCTTAACACAATCACTTCATAACACGTAGTATCAACTCTTTGGCGAAATAATTTAATTTTCATAATGCATTCCTAGATGTGTCTTTGTATACTTTGCAGTATGGGAATGGCATAGATCACAAAAAGCTATAATAAGGTTCTAGGATTTTCCAGTAGATTGAATTAATTAAGAAATATTCACTTAAACTTGTACTATTTTTTTTATTAATACAAATTTACAGTCGAAGGTAATCCCAAAGAGATTTCTGCCTGGATCTCAAACACTGCAGAGGCAAGCTACTTTAGCATGGCTGTACATGGCCAAACATTTTTCCGGCTCAACTACCCCATAAAGTTAAACACGTAAGTAAATAAAGAAAACAATAGTTTGATTTATTTGGCTTTGACTTCGTTGTATAAATCAGTACAATAAATTATTAGAATAATTAAAAAAGGGGCGGTGCTTTCAAGCAATTTCATTTAGGCAACAACGTTAAAAAAAGCAAAAATTTAATACAAAACTATGAGAAGCGTAACTAAAATCGCGTACGTGAGATGAGAAGAGAGGTACGTTAGATTAGGCGCAGGGGACGGTTGTCTCTGCCTTTTCTAAAAAGGCCGTATATGAAACACTACGTCACCTCTTATGTAAATTTTAGTAAATTCGACTTGAAAGAGTTGTTGATTTATTCTTTTTAACATTCCAGATGGTACCATAGCTGTCAGTCATGGAACGGCAGAACTGGAGAGTGGCAAATATGGATTAACACAGAGAGAGTCGGTAGAGGATTCCATAACAGGGTATGATTATATATTTTGTATCCCAATTTGTTAAACGAAATATGATGCTAAAGATAAGTTAAATCCATGGATAAGAAAACCTGCTAGTTTTACTCACTAATCATGACAGAATCAATCAGGGGAAATGTTTATGTCTACTAAAAAAAATAACAATAAATTCATTATTATTTAGCCATCATCTTTTGCTTAGCACCTTAATACTTCTATGATACTAGTTTCTACTAGAAATAATGTGAATCTGTTGTATTTTAAGACAATACAAATGTGCGGTACCTATTGAAACAATCTTAACAAATGAATTCAGAATAGTCCAAATCATAAAATATAAAAAAGAATTATCAGATGATGCAGTTGTAATCAGTTTAAAAATAGCTCGTCTTTAATATGAAACTAGTTCACAGTAGTTATTCGGAGCATTTCGTTCAACTGGTGCGAGACACTAACTTTTGTATTCTCTTATTTAGGCCAAACCTGTTTTTTAGCTGTGCGTATTAACTTAAACACCGATTATTATTTTCCGGGAACAATTTTGTATTTGTTATTTGGATAGAAGAGTTAGCGTAATTATAATGTTAAAATTCCCCAATAAGCTTACGTATCAGAATATATTTTGCCGATTCTGTTGAGTTGAATTTGTAATAATTCGCATAAAATAATACGCTTCGTTATAAAGATTTTATTTGCTACCATTTATTGGACTGTAAAATTATTAAAACCAACAAGTCTTTGTTTGTAAAATAAAATATATAAATAATTCGAGGTATTATATTTTTCTGTTTTAAAGGTGCATTAGAAAATATTTTGAATTAGGTAATGTAAGTCTTTAGGTACGCTAGTCCATGACATGTGTGAAACTTTATAAACGTATGTTTTTAGCTTGTGGGACACATTATTAAAGGTGGAGGCAAAGTTATAAGTGGACAAGAACAATCACTGCTCTATAAAAATGATGGTTTGGAATCGGTAAAGAGTGAGTGCAAGATTTTGAAACAGTAGATTTTTGTTACTATATAACAATGTCTAATTTTGTTGATATATTGACACTTAAAATTTATAATATATTTTTTATTTTTAAGGTCAATCTGGCTTAGTCGGAGAAATAACGATGCTACAGCTATATCATGTTGCATTGACAGCTGGAAAAGCACACAGAGACCACAAGCACCATCACGCCCATCGCTTTACCCACGATGGGTCCATCATAGAAACATCTTCAGAGTTTGCCACTGAACCTCCACCACCAGAACCTACTCCAATAGGCAATGGCCATTTCTTAATTGGTGGACAGTTGCAGAAACCTTCCCACATCAATGTTGCAATGCCACCTCAATCAAATATGTTAACAGCACAGATTCCAAACCAGCTCCAAATTCAACAAGATTTAGTTAACAAATATCAGTTAGTAAATGGTGTAACCCAAATTCCTTTAAACTATATCGGAAACCGACCGCAGAATTTACCCCCCAGTGGTCTACATCTTAATATACAAAGATATCCTAATAGACCATTTGGTCAAGTTAAAGGAACGAGTGTTTCATTATCAGGTTCACTACTGAATCCCGCTAATGTTCAATATATTGACGATACAGCTTCCCGTAACTTATTTAAAAGAAATTCAAACAAACGTGATAAAAGAGATAATCCTGAAAAAGAACTAGCAGAGGAAATTAATTCAGGTTGTATTTTTATACATATTTGTATTTCACATGAAATATTACTAGTTCATATTACTTATTTAAGTTCTTGCAGGCAAAAAAGATAAACGCGGGCTAGTAGCACTATCCGATGGATCGATAATAGATGAAGCTTTGCTGAGCCCTGATCTCATCGACGATAATAAAGATGATGAACTTCTATTCCAACAGTCGCTCTTAAGCGGTTTAGCGGGTGTTGTTGGAAATTTGCCAGTGCAAAATCTCCAAAAGATGACCGTAAGTATAGAAACATTAATTTATTTATCAATTAAGAAAACCTAATTAACTTCCACCAATGTTGAAAAGGAGTTATATGTTTAAAGTTGACCGGACTTAAAAACAACAAATGCTCCTAATTGGTTGATTGAACTATCAACAAGAGCTAGAAATAAAGCAATTCAATAATCTTTTTCGTGAAAGTTTAGTAGAATATACAATATATTTATTCCCAATTAATATTGAATTATAGGTGGATGAGAGAGAGCCAGCTGAAGCAGAAGTCAAAGCAGTCATGAAAGTCTGTAGTGGGTGCACACCGGAACCATTCAAAAAGGTTCTCGTGCTTTCGTGGAGGTCGACACCCAAGAAATTATACAGCGGAGCGCATTATTACAAAGGACTACCTATATGTAGGGCGTTCTAAATTTTTATAAGGTTATAAACAATTCTATCGTAATTACAAAAAAGTTGAACAACACAATCCAGTTAAAATATTTTTATAGATATTCTGGGATGTAGATATTCTTGAGGTTTTAAATCACTACCGGCTTGCCATTTATAACCATTATTTATTTTAGGTTTAGACATTTTACGTTAAATTAATTAACCTGTTATTTTTCTTAAGAAGACGTTATTAACATTGTTTCTAAAATTTCTTAGTAATATAGATGAAAAATAAATACATCTAAAAATGTAATGTTTCAATTTCCTAAGATCGAGACATACGCAAATTATAGTTACACTTAAATCTCGACTCTGAATTTCAATCTAAGTACTCACAATGTAGATTAATTTACTTAATGATATATTAAATATTTTTTGTTAATTAATAAACCATATATCCACGAAATGAGTGATGATATCGTGTATCAACATAAATTAGATCCTTATCTTCGCTGTTTCCATTATTTTAAGATAGAACTCAATCAATTTGGTTAATTTTTAACAAGCATACTGAAACATGTGCTCAGTCCGTTGTGAAAAAGAAGTCCTAAAAAGACGACTATTTTATACTATAAATATATATAGTATAGAATAAATGATATGCTATTTAGTTCCTGCCCACTGATATCAGGACCACTATTTAAACGATTGATATGAAGAAAATGTTCTGCAATCGAAAAGAGATAGGGATCTTATAAACGAATGCGTGACTATTATAGTTTGGCTTACGGTCGTTTTAACCGACGTCAAAAAAACAAAGGAGGTAAACAATTCGACATTAACTTTTTTTATAACCGGTAAAAAAAAATTGTCCTTCTAAAGAACTTCCAAAAATCCTTGCGATCATAAGTATAAAGACTATCAGATAATTAAATTTCATTTAATTAACTGAAATCGAGCTTAGAACATTAATTTCCCTCGATGCCGTTTTTTTTGCAAAAGAGTTTATCTCGGACCCTCATGCGGGACTGTACGGGTTGAAAATACTTTTTATATTGTCTGTTTTTTTTTATTTTGAAGGGATAAACAGCACGTTACAAAGAAATAAGTTTTATACAATGCACAAATTTTTTTTTATTCTCACTTTCAAATTTTCGTAGTTTTGTTGGGACGTGAAAATTTAAGAAATAAACACTTTTTGTATGAAATATATTAAAGTACCTATGAATATTCATTATCCGTGGCTTACCTTTGCTTTGTGGATGTTGTGAATGTGGTCGGAATCGATTTCCGGCTCGCTGAAGTATGTACTTGAATCCTGAAAACAATACCAACGTTTAATTGTTTCTTTTAATTAAAATATGTTCACGTTCAATAAATAATATTAAAATATTTTACCTGCAAATACATAAAAATAGGAAAAACAATACTAAAATTGCATCTAATTTCGAATAACAATTTTTTATACCTTATTTAAAATAATAATATAAAATAACCAACTTTATACAATGTAATGTGTCGATGGATTGCTTTTTATTAATAATGATAATTTGGTCTAAATAAACAAGAATAAACAGCTTTATGTATCATCTTATGTGGTAGAATAAGTAAGTAATATAATTATTAATTACCTCCAAATTAGCGTTTGATGAATTGGTGGCGGCTAGCGCTGGAAGCCTGACTGAACCAACACCCAGAGTTCCAGGAAAGACGCCACCGTTTAAATCTTTAGACTCAAACAACCGAAGAACGGATCGGTCCCTGATGTCCCGAAGATGGGCCCTACACAAATATAAAATTCACTTGTTACACAATAGGTCTTGAACTTCGTTACACAGATTTCTATATTCTTCTTCCTCAAAAACCACTATTTCGCTAACCCAGGAACCCAAATAAACTTGTATTTTGACAATGCGAGCGTCGGGGCCGGCCAATATTTAAATTAATATATATTTTAAATAATAACATACAATTTAATTTATCAATGTGTAATGAAACAGAGTTTTAACTTTTTAACTCTACAAATAATGTCACGTCAGTAAAACTTACGGACAACGATAATCATGTTCATGTATAATATGTTTTTTCATTTTCGAAAAACCGACCGAAACTTTTACTATACTCTGAAAATCGTTTGATATGAACAGTAGTCGGAGATACACTGAAAAGTTATATGGGAGGCTGCATGTGTATCGCGCAAGGCAGGTAACGCCCTCTTACTATGTCATATATATATATATATAACAATTTACAAATTTCAACTAAAAACATCATATTCATTGTTTGAACGTAAACGATTTTCTAAGAAGACCCCCTATAATATAAAAAATAACAAGTAGTTCCTGAATGTTTTGTCCTTATCACTTCTGTACAAATAAACGAAACAAAGCATGCTATTGCGTCTTATAGTTAGTCAACATACCTATGGTCTTCTAGTTCATAGAACATGTCCTTTGAGCTGTCATGTATATAAACCTTGACTAATGGACTATCTAAGTAATCCATTGTGAGCTGCTTCGGAAAACTTCGTACAAATAAAGCTTTTACGGTGTCGAGCGATGTGATTTCATTCGGTAGAAGAGCCCTTTTAGTCTCGTTGCGGTATTGTAGAAACACAAGACCTAAAAATACCCTTAATTCTTTAAAATGTGTTCACTAAATGTTAGCTTACTATTTCAATATATTTAGAAAAAGGTTAAGAACACAAAGGGTCATTACTCCGCTATATAGGTCTGTGAAGACGATGTGCGTCACCATCAACAGGTACGTTGATGGTGACGACTATCAGGTACTAACTATTAGAATGTATTTAAACAGGTAAATAAATTAAAGTAAGTACTTAGTTTTTAACCTGTAAATATTTTTTTTTGGTATTTACACATTAGATTTATTAACAGACTACGAGGAATAGACAAAATTAAAAAAAAATAGTAATATAAAGAGTCTTTTATCTTTATTTCGATTTTATTATTTAAATGTATTTAAATAAAAGTGGAAATGCAAACCAGTGTAAAATTAAGGAATACAAGTTGACATTTTTGTGTAAAATTACAGAAAATATTGTTTACGTTTTTATAATTTTTTATGTAATGAATAAAGTTTATATTATTTAAATCTGGAAGAAACTGCACTTTAGCAGTAAGACATTGACATACTTTGTCTTCATTTATTTAATTTTTTCCTATTTTGTGTTATTGTGATGTAAATAAAGTGGTGTTATTATTATTATATAAGACGTTATTTCAGTCCATATGCAGGTATATTCTCATGACAGATTGCCAATCAACGGATAAAAAATGTTTAACTTGTCATTTAAAGCCGAACGCAGCCGAATGTTTGTTCTATCAAACATTGTTTCTTACCATTAAAATCGTATAGTGGAGTACTTAATAAACGAACATGAAATTGTTTTTCAGTGTCTACGAATAAATGGACGTATATTTTAAATCACGTTTAAAATGCAATTTTAATTAAGCAAATACTTAACAGCCTATAGACGTCCGCCATTTTTTCTGTCAATAGGTTCAATAGGTCGTGAAAATTCGACACTTGTTTAACCTCTCTTTACTCTGAATTTGGTTTAAGGTAGATAGTTTTTCGTTTTCATTCAAACTTCGTTAAATTGAAACACGTTCCCGCCGGAAAAACATAAACTTAATTATATATAACATACCTAAGGGTCTTTCGAGTGTCTTACTAGGTGTGCGAACCACTGGTAATGATGATCTTTGCTTTCCTCCGCGTCTAAACCCAGTAGAGGAAGTCTCAACCTCTGACATAACACCGGGATCGTCGTCGTAATACAACATTTGCGGAAGATAACCCCTTGGTAATGGTGGCTGCAAAAAAATACAATCTTAATTCTGATTGTAGTCAAAAGAATAAAGGGATAAAACGCTTTTGTTTTAGACTTTTACTAACAATAACACATTCTCGGAAGCTCTATTTATTTTTACTTTGCTTTCGTTTACACTAGAGTTGCGCCGATTACTCGGGTATTATTCGGTCCTCAGCGCTTTCGGCACTCTGCCGAGTAATTATTTTAAAATATTTGCACATTACACAGTGCTCGGTCAACCTAATCCTACCTATACTAGATATTTTTCTGTCAGGATGGTATTAGAAATAAGTATATATGCAATAACGTTTATTGTTTTAATTGTACTAAGAAGTAATAATTATAGAAAACGCATATTTACATGGAATTTAATAATGTAAAGAAGAGCGCTAGAGCCTCGTTACACTTTTTGTATATTGTAGGTAGTAGATCTATTTTGTCCGATCAACTCGACAGAGGACTCGGTTCGCTAAAGACAAACGGCTCCTTGGTAAAACTGCACCCGAGGCATCCCCCCCACACATCTTAACACCACATATAAATTATACTGTTTTACTGCACTTACTTCAAGCTCAGAATTATTAAGATCTCCGGGATGATGAGAATGGAAGTATAAATGATTTCCAGCGAGTGTATGACGTCTCGGATCATCGCGACGAGAAGACCGGCTTCGCGGGGCTGAACGGGTTGCTTCTCCATCAGATAACCCTCCTGTTAATACAAAAATTATATATTCGTATGTGAAGTGTAGACATTATTTTTAATCTTAAGTATCTTTATAAACAATTTCTTTGCTGTTTGGCCCTAGAACGAAACAATTAAGATATTTAATATATCTATGTATATCTGAAGCTGGGGGGGGGGAAGCTAAAACTATGGAAGGCCATCTAAAATGTGATCCGCAAGGAAAGTTTTGTTACAAATTTATTGAGGAACAAAAAAACAAATTAATTGAAAATTGTACTTCTTTAAAAATAACATACTTTTATAAACAAACAAAAAACGCTCAACTCGTTCTTTAACCGCTTGGCCACACCGTGTTTATTAAATGTATATAGTGGCTTATTAAATTAACTGTTTTACTACATTATAAAACAATGTCCTATTACTGTATGTTCGCAATAAACTCAAAAACTACTAAAATAAAATAAAAATAAAATATGTTTATTATGGAACATAAGATACATGTATCACTTATTCCACGTCATTAAATTTGAATTGGTAGGCATCCCTACTCATCGGCAAAGAAGACAGAGGGTGTAGGCCGAGAGAAAAAGCCAGCGTAAAAAACTCTCGGTACTCTTTTAAACTGTATAGAAGGTATAAGAAGTACCATATAACGGGTGTCTCAGTAAGAGTGCACTTTTTAATTTTTAAATAAAGACAAGTATTTTATGACAGAGTTGTGATATTTTTATTGTATTATAAAGAAGACATGTTCCGATTAAGTATGGAATAAAATATCCGGCAAATGATCTCCACGGCTCCGATAACAGGCATTACACTTTTCATGAAATTTTCCATGACTTTTGGATTTCCGATTTGAGCTCAGGAATGGTTTCGAGTTTATTCCCATAAACTCGAGATTTCACAAAACCCTAAAGAAAAAATCGCACGGCGTTAAATTGCACGATCTTGGTGGCCAGTTGACATCAGAATTTCGTGAGATAATCTGTTCTGTTCATCGGAGAAAATGACCTTTTTTCGAAAAATTGGCATCGACTTTACTTTGCTCCATTACTTATTGAACCAATTATCGATGCTTTTCTTTCCTTGGAGATCTTTAGTCAAAATTTGCTGCGTAGTGCTTTGTGAAATTTGAAGTTCATGAGAACGATGTCGAATTGATGTTTTCGGGTATTCGGCGACACTCTCGTTTACAGCAGCAATGTTTTCAAGATACTGACTGGTACGTTGACGCAAAGGATTCTTACTATCCATAATTGACCCAGTTTCTTCAAATTTTTTGACTACTCTTCGAATGGTTGACACATTAGGTGCACTTTCTCGGCTGAAAATTTGGTGAAGTTTGCGAGCGGTTTCAGGGTAACTTTCCCCATTTTTGTAATGAGTTTTCACAATTATAACGAGTTGTTCTTTCAAAAAGCGCTCCATTTTTAGTAATCGGAATAAACAGAGGTGACAGCTGTCAAATTTCAGAGTTGCCACTTGCATAAAAACAAAAATATTACAATTTTAAAAAGTGCACTCTTACTGAGACACCATATACATTTCGTAAATGCTACGTGTATGGAACACAGAAACAGTCGTTAAAACTAAGCGCTTTGAAATGCTAAGAAAACATTCTAGTAGTATAAAGTAGTCCTTATTAAATACTTTAATTGTTGATTGTTCAGGCAAGCCGAAGATAAAATCATTCGGAATTTCTGGGGTAAATGAACTTGCTGCGTAAGTTACATTAATTGCCTACATAAACAGGGACGAAATAAGCATTTTGTAAACAATCTTGACATGGGACATTGTTTCAAGCAAATACAAATAATCGTTTCTTATGAGCGAATCCTGTTTATTTTTGTTGGCCCACGGGATCCCTAAATAGAAGCAGTCTTGGATGGCGTTAGGGTAAAATTCAGAGCCGCGACTTGGTGCAAGAACAATTTCCGTATTGACAAAGTGGGTTAATATTGGATCTGACAAATTAATATGTACACACTACAATATGACAAGTTAATAGTGAATTCACTTGGCGATAATTTTCAACTCTCGAGTCTATGAAAGATGCACAAATACATTTCCACGCGGGGAAAAAATATGAACCTTAGTTCCTTTCAACTGAATTATTAAGTCCGTAAACTAACGAAAACAATTCTCACCATCAATTCTGCCATCTGCTTGCCAGTCTTCTTCTGGAACAAAGGTTATGAAATCAAAAATGTATCTAAGAAAAAAAAAGCTTTTTTAAATATAAATTTTAAAAATAAATTTAATGTAAAATGACTAATGAGATTTCTAATACTTCATACTCGAAAGTAAATATAGTATTTAAGTATATAAATACTGTTAATTTATATACATTAAAATTTTAGTATCGCCATTGCATATTATTATCTTAGATTAATAAATAGTAAGTTCTTTTTAAATTAAGACAAGTAAAGTGATAGGTTTTTTATTTAAATGTTTCTAATGTGGTATTTAAAAAAAATAGCAGGAAGCTTGATAGCCCCTACATTGCAATGAACTGCATGTGCCTACATAGTAAAAATACGGTGATGTGTTAGTAATATAATACATGACTGATAGATTAGAACTTAATATAACCTAACTAATATAATAGTTATGACGATTTTATAACTAACATAAATCTTTATAAATAGAAAAAAAATTGGAAAACATGCGCAAAACTTGAAGACTGCTGGAGCTCTGAGAAATATTATTGGAGAGGAATGTTACAAAAAAAAATAAAAAAAAATTACAAAGTTAGTTATATTTAGAACTAAGGTTTTAATCCGGAAACGTTTTAAATAACATAGGAAAATATTCCATATGTGGCTATGTATCTACTAAAAATGTAGGCTAAGTAAATAAACCGAAAACAAAACGAGGTTATTAAATAAGTAAATTACATACATAATAAAATAGAACACAACATCGCAAACAAACCACCGAAAAAACATGTTTCTACGAAATGTTTTCTTATACGGACAAACACATACCATTATCACGTCCTTTTCGTTTCTTCTTGCCACTAGATGTTTTGCCGGACTTCTCTGACTTGTCTTTACTTTTCCAACGACTCAACATCGTTGTTTTCTTCATATGCAATTCCACAGACTATTACGCATCTTCTCTATAAACTAAGCCGAATTTCTCACATTTTACGTTACAATTCAGCACAATTAAATAAATAATAGCACTATCATCAATCCTAAAGAGGCACCTTGTGTCGAAAACGAAATTTAATAAGTGTTATTATTTAAATTTCATCATCTTAATTTACTATTAATAAGAAAAGGAATATATGTTTCAGTATTTTTTGGTTAGATTTATCTCAATAGTCATGTTTCGCATAAATAATTTGTTGAATATTGGTCACAATTCTTTCTCAAAAAAACCAACGCTACAAAATCCTCAATAATATTGAATTGAAATTATTTAAAATACAGAAAAGTTCGAGGTGGAAATTCGTTGATATAAATCAAATGAAATATTATTTCTACAATCTCTTTGGAGACCGGCAACGCGAGGAGTGAAACAATAAATGTCATACAATTGTTTTAAACAGACTTAAAGCTGCGTTGGACAAGTTCATGAGTAATATAACAATGCTAGCATGGAGGTCAAGGTACAGTAGAATTTAAAGTAAATTACGACGAACTTTTTTTAGGCTTATACACAAAATTTAAGGTACCGATTTCACATGTCTCATCGCCAAAAAATCAATGTATTTTTTAAATAGATAATTATTTACCATTACAACTTCTGCTGTGTACAAATTAGAAATATTATTATTATACTTTATGCCAGAACTTGCCTATCTAGAACTGAATAACGTCAAATCTGATAAGGTTTAATTTAAAAATGTACGATTTTTAAAACTTTATTTGAACACTGCAAACTGTATGTGTATATATACAGTTATCTGTAGGACGCCCATTTATTGGGAACAAAAACTCAAAATAATTGTTAATTTGATCTGTAACGTCGTAGGTTATTTTCGAATAATTCATATAGAATTATTATAAATGTTATGAAATATGCAATAACAGGACTCGTTATTTTTCCTAAAAATAAAATACGAACGCTCTTACTGGATCTTATACACCCGAATTCGTTGAGGTTTTTCTAAGTGAAACTTATTTATTCTAGAAAGACAGGCGTTTGCCTGCACTTTACTTAGTGGAAAAAAGATACAGGCTAGGGTATATCTCCAGACTGCCTAAAATATAGCCATATGCCACCTTAAACAGCGCCACGTGATAATTTTTTTTTGATAAGGGACATTTATTCAGACAGTAGAAAGGCTGTTTGAACATCAATTTCTGCTAAACATGGATTCAATCGTGAAGAAATATTATTTCAGTGAGACAGGATATTTCAAAAGTAATGCATATTGTGAATACAATGTATAAATCAAATAATGAATGAAAATATTCGAGTAAAATACATTTAAGGAAATTTTTGTTAAATCCATACACTATGTATGAGAGAGTGGCAAAGCACTTATGAAAATTAAATATTAATCTATGTTATCAGAAAATTTTTGGGTCCTTAATGTTCTGTGGGACAAAACCTATTATAACATACGATTAAATCAAATAGTTAAGTTATATTGGCTAGTTAAATTATCTTTTGAATCATCAACATGGCGGCTCGTAGGCGTTTTTTGTTCTTTCTAGGTTCGGGTTCGCTTGATGCTTTGGTAAGGCGGCTAACAAACGTTAACAAAAGTTTTTAATTGAAAGCCAATCGACTGATTGGCACATTTTTGTGTAGTTACAGTGCAATCTAAAAAAGTATAGTTTTTGTATAGATCGTCGAACAAATTATATCGAAATATATATCTCATCAATATTTTAGGACAGAAATGCAAAGGAGAAATTTAAAATATCTACAAATTAGCAACTCATTCTTCTAGCACTCTTCACTATTTTTATGAACTTATCAATCTACTCAGTTTTTGAAATAAAATAATTTTCCTTCTGCCCTTCGAGTCCTATTAAGTTCATCGCATCGCTCTCACAGCTATTTAATGCATGCTATTATTAATTTCAATCTTTACAATTTCTGTGATCGCTATGCTGATACATCCATTAGTATTACTACCTTGTCTTGTTTCTTGGTAGAAATTAAGGATGTTAAATTATTAAGAGAGCATGCGCAAATTCAGACAATCGATAATAGAGAGTGTACTCAATCTCCCAATATGAACTTTGATCAGTCGCGGTCAAGGGTAATGTGTGTGGATGTTACAATATTACTTGTTTCTACAAAGATATATATTTTCAAATTATATTTATATTGATACTAAATCATCGCAAAAATAAATAAATAAGTATTAAAATTATAAATTGATTTATCTATTTTCTAAGCGTTTAATTTCATAATTAATTTTAAGAGTAAAGAAACGATAGCACTTAATTGTTTTTTTGTAGGTTACGACTTTTTTATAGTTTCAGACAATTATCTTTAAATTGAGGACACCAGGAATATGGGACGTGAAAATACCGTGGGACGCGTCACTATTAATTTTGGTGACTTTCCTCAATAAAAGTTATTACAATCATTAGAAAGTATTCAAATTAACCAAAAGTATCATATTTTGATGTAAAATAAAGGTCAAGGTATCCTATACATTATACATCCTAATATGGAAATGATAAACAAGCTTTTTCTTACATACTCCACACGCTATAGTTTATTTAGTAAGTATTGAATTTTATGTCCTAGTGCACATACATAACTTTTGATGCAACCTCGAGACAGACATGAGAAATATGTATAGTAAAATTTTTCTATACATGAAAGAAAAGTTAAAAGTCCTCGGGCCACGCCCACCTAATTGGACCATAAAGTAGTACATGCGGCTCCGACGTTCGAAGTACGAGTCATGCGCTACTTCACACTTTATTAACAATTAACAATCGAAATTATTAATGTTTATGAAAAAAAGTATTCAAAACAATTGAGTAATACTCAAAATACTCCGACCGCTGCACGAAGTACAGTAAACTTCGCAACAACTTAAGACTATTGACCCATCTGCATAATATTATGAAGGAGACCTATATAGCAAGTACAATTGATATTAAACATCAATCTACGAATTCTAAATTATTACATAACTAGTTTCTTTTTAAAAACTGCAGATCTAAGCTAGCTTTAATCCAAAAAGTAATTTAGCATCAGTTTGCAGTATACTTATTTTTCTTTTATTATTTAATCTCAACGCTACCAGACATAAGCGTAGAGGCAAGATAATCACATAACATTTATAAGTTACCAAGATTCATGTTTCAATTACCATGAATCATTCTTAAAAGTGAATCTGTGTATAAAACTATTTTCAATTACGATTCCAATATACTGTTAGCCCACGCCTTAATTTCAACTCGTATATAGAACCAAATGATGAAATATACATACTCACAAACAGTACGCGTTTATTGTAGGATTTTTAACAATTTTAAATCAATGCACATCCAGTAACGGTGACACATTAAAAAACGGCACACCATTTATCACTGCCCACTTTTAATTAAATGAATCAGAGATAAGCCTCCATTTTAATAAGAAAACGCGATCGATTTCAGGAATTTCATTTATCAAATCACGTCACTGATTTCGAACATATGAACTATTCTAGTACGTGGACTTCCAAGTTCCTAAATTATCTGAATCGTGAGATACTGCTATTTGTTTTCTCTATGCTCTCAAACTACTGTTTTGTCCAATCAAATAACTAATTTAAGCTGAAATGCAAAGCGCAGAATCCTATCTGCATGACTACTACCGCCGCCCATGGGAGGCGTCTTCCTACTGGAGTAATACTAATATATATCACGTGTTCGCCATCGTTATATCCGCAGACAACGCACGCTTATGCTTATCCTCATCGCATTATATCATTCTCATTAAAGCCAGCAAAATATTAAGAATAAATGCTAAGATATTATATACAAACATGAAATAACTTTTGCGCACTGCCCTACGATACGCGCCGCATAGGGCGCCGACTGCGCCCTTGGAAGCCCAGTTCCAAACTGATACTACGCATGTTTAAACTTATAAAGTGTTGAGGTTAGAATTTGCCCTATTTTACGTCGTGTGCAGTACCTACCGCACAGGCGCAACATTGGTTCTTATTGATCCACGAGTTCAATGACCTTGCGCAGTAAGCTTCCTACTTTATCGACGGTACAAGTATTTTTCAGTACAGCGCCTGCGTGGTACAGGTGCAGAGAACACAAATATTGCTGAAGTCGTAAAGAGCGCAAGTATTAAAGTAAACTTGTAAAATTAGAAAATCAACAAATAAAATAAGTTATTTTGTGCAGTCTATAATTACCTATAATTTAAAGTTAATAGATCGAAGAACTCAAACATTGATAGGATCTTTAAACCCCTTGTATTAAGTAAACTAATTAAGACTGTTTAATTTTGTTTCAAAGTCAAAGTCCAAAATCATTTAATCAGATAGGTAACACAATGTACACTTCTGAACGTCAAAAAAAGAAATTTATAAAATGCTTCTAACTTTACATTTAGTGCCAGTTCTCAAATCAAGGGCGTAGAACGGAAGAGAAGAACTGGAAATAAACTCTCCGCCACTCTTTTTAAACATGTTTTTTTTTTACACAACGTTTGTAAGGAGCTGCAACCATTACACCATGTTCCACATGACATCTTAAGTAATTAATAATAATAAATAACATATCAGCAGGAGGCATGGTGAAATAGGAGCACGCACTTACATTCTCGTAGGAACAACACATAGTCGAAATAACTAACATCACCGCATACACGAATTCATGTACGACCAGTCACCACAAGTAGCACCCGTTCACGAGTATGACGCATGGCCAGCCATCGGCCCCCTCGCCAGGTTTTAGGGAGAGAGACAACCTGACGCATGGACGCCGCCACAAGCAATGACATTTAAGCGAGCATGACGATCCTTGAAATGTGAACCTTCGTCATATTACTTAGGGACATACAAATCCAAGCAATATAAATCTATACTAATATAATAAAGTTGAAGTTGGTTTGTTTGGCAGTCCGCACTAATCTTAATCATTAAAGAAGTAGAGGAAGATAATAAACATGAATTATTACGATTGACACACGATAGGAAGAGGACTGAAGTGTTTTTTTTTTGTTACAAGAAGCAAACAAGCAGGAGCCTCCCTAATGTTAAGTGATACCGCCGCCCATGGACACTCACACTGCCTTGACGTCCGATGATGAAACTCAGCTACAGGTATTAGTCCGAACAACTCCTCTGAACACTCTCCATGGTAAATGCGGTAGAAGATGCAGAGAGATCCCACATCTCTACGCAAAGCCAAGGGATCAAGCGGCTCAGAAAGTGACTGGACGTCGACGATTCGAATTTCTCTTCGTTGAAATTAACATTACCAGCTCCTCCCGCTTGAACGTATTCAAGCGGAAGGAGCTGGTAATGGGAAGCTGCCGCCCAGAGGTGAGAACATTACTCCATGTGGGGCCTAATTTGCGCTTTATAGAGTTGCAAGCGGTGGCCCGGGGTTGAAGTACCGTCTCGCCTTGCTGAGCACACCAAGCTTCTCAGAGCTTACTTAGCCTTTCCTTCCAAATGACCGCGAAACTGTTATTCGATATGTCAAGGCCCAGTATCCCGAGGCTTTAAGGAGAGTCATCGAAGAGAGGAATAGAGACAAAATGTGATTTTTTGCGGAAAACAAAGGAAGTATCAAAAAAACGTTGACAAAACGGAAAAAAATTACTTCAATGCGTGCGCCTCGTTTATATCGCACTCGTTTCTCTTAAGAAGTTTTAAAAAGTTTCCGCGTATAGCTCATCTATCAATATGTCCATCATTTAAAGGTGAATGATTATATGGTAATAAATATGTTCATAAATAATGCATTAGTTTTTTTTATAAAGATAATATTAATGCTTATGCAGATAATGACGCTATTCATCACAAGTATTTATTTTGAAAAAAATTGTCCCTGACATCATTTGACTTCAATGAAACTTACCTTAGGAAATGTCATTCTTAATGTTAATGTTAGTTTTAAAATATAAAAGTGGTCGAACTTGAGCATTTGTAATGTCGGATTCGTCTCAAATTAACGTGGGTTAATTAATATTATAAGGCAGAAAAGAATGGAAACAGCTGGAAGAGGCCTACGTGTCACAGGACACGCTGACTACCTAAAACGGGTCAAGTGACGTATTAGATTAAGTTTTATTTATGTATTAGAATTAAGTGTTTTTTTTTTATATGTAACTTAAATAATTGTTATTACATTGTACTGGGTGTCAGCAATAAAGACTAATGAATGAATGAATTAATTAATTAATATTAAATTTAATTTATTAGGAACCTATTTTGGAGTGAGTCTACTACAACTTGCATCCTAGGAGAAATACTAGCAGTAGGTCAGTTCTGAAATCGCCTCTGCCTGCGATTTTGTAAATGGACTTTAATAAAGTGCGTGCGATCTGTTTTACTTTTTACGTATGTGACATGCATGTTCTTAGTATGAAAACTTCTTTACACCGTTCTTGAAATTAACTTTTATCAGAATTAAAAATAACAATTTGTATAGGTTCTACAGTCACCAATAAATAATCTTTGCCTTTAAAATGTCATCCCTATTATGATATCCTCTATGATATTATTTGAGTTTGTCATGTTTATTAAACTAACCAATAAGTCACCTAAACCTAGGGTAACGACTATTAGACCAGGGTCGATAATTTTTGAAACCTAAAAAAATAAAACTAGGATGAAACCCATTGGAAAAGGAGGAGAATATTATAAAAATTAAAGGAAAAATAATTTACGGGCGATCTGAAGTCGGGAAGGGGAGGGGGGGGGTGGGAGTTATAAGGGTAAAAAACGGTTTATCTCGATTTCCGGCAAAACTAAAAGTCCTAAGTAATTATTTTTCCAGCATATCATTATATAGTTTTCACATGGAGGCGAATTGCATAGTTTTGGTTTATTACTCACACATTCATAATTGAGTATTACTTTGTCTTAAATTTATTTTATCGAATGAAGCAATTAAAAAAATATATATACCTTTATAGATATCCTTCGGCAACAATTTTATTTCACCAGCGTCTGAACCGCTCTCCGACTCAAAATAAAGCGCTCTTCCACCAGTCCGTACCGATTCATTTTTTCTGTAAGTTGATGAAGAGCTTCTGACACTGGATGTACGAATGGGTGGTTGAGGGCATCCCGCACTAATGCTTTGATTACTAAATCTGCCAGCCATTATTGTTTGATGTGAAGTGTAATTTACACACTTCTGTACCCTTTGGGCATTGGGTGTAACTACATTTGTGTATAATTTATTTTCAAGAATTATTGGCGTCGATGTTCTTTTTTGATGGTAGTAGTCATCAAACTCTGCGTTGTTTGATTTTCTTACAAAACTATCAGTTCGCCGTTCCGAAATACCTCGAGTGAATGGTGGATTTAGATGTAAATAATTATTTGACATAATAAAATTATTCCGCCGCCTTACATCTTGAGGTAAGCTACAACTTTTGGAGTTCATCATAAACGAACTCGGAGAGCTGCAGTTTGAATATGTGTTAGCATTCGGAGAAGGTGACATATTGTTCAATGTTTGCTTCAATATATACTCATCTTCTTGAACTTTTAACTGCTTGATTTTTTGCCAATAGAACGCTTCCACTTTAAGTCGAGCCGTTTCTTTAACGTCCTTATTCATTTCGAATGGCGGGGCTGAAGATTTTGATTGAATACTCGTTCGACTAAACGACTTTCGGCCCTCTTCTGCTTCGAGCATATTTTTTTTTAAACTTTCGTAGGGCGAGTGAGTTAGTGGCATACTTGGTATTCGATGACCAACCGCGATAGGAGAGGTTGGCGCAGAATAGTGGTAGGGTTTACCTACATCACGATTTTCGTAGTATGTTCTTGGTTGCTGGGCAAGTCTATTTTTACTAAGGGACAAACTGCGCGCCCTGGTTGGTTGAATTGTACGAACCTCGGCTTCTTTTTTCGGAGAAATTAGGAACTTGGTGCTTACACGTTTTATTTCAGCCCCAACTGATTCTGGATTTGTTTGAAATTGCGATGCTTTGTATATTTCTATTTCATCTACAGGAAGTGTGTTACTTGGTAACTTATCTAGAGAGTGATAGTATTTGTCAGGATATCGCCTTAAATCAATACTTGACTCTGTATCATAGCTATTTTGTAATGATAGTTCTTGTGGGTAACTAGTACCTTGATGTTGATACCAATTATCATTATTGTGAAAACGCGTTTTAGAATCTTTCGTACTTTGTTTATCTTTATAGCTTTTCGCTACAGTACATGGTACAGAGAGATTTTCATATATCGCTTCAGTTTGCTCCAAAACATTTTCTTTATTATCTTTTATCACAGAATGTGGATTGTAATATTGATTGCAGACTTGATTGTGACTCGATCTCTTGGAAATATGAGGAATATCGTCATATTTCTGTTTACATTTTTTTGTGAAAAATGGAAATATTTTGCGGAAACTGCTGCTCTTCCTTTTTTTATTATCACCCATATTGAGACAAAAATCCTGGAACAATACAAAATAGATACATTTATTTGAATTTCAACAAATTTTATTAAGATATATACGTAACCTAAAATTATTTTTATCTGTATTTTTTTACTAATTTGTTTTATTAAATATATTAGTTACGTACAAACGAATTAAATGCCCAAATGAATGATTTTGAATATTTAAAGTTTTCCTGTTGTTTTATGTTAGCTGCGTTCAATCAACAGTAGATAATATTAATATATTATTTCTACATACCCATGATTTTCAAAAAAGTCCACGAAAAAATATGTGTTTCTTACAATGCAAACAAGACGCTTTATTTGACTACTTTTGAGTGTGTAATCTCTAAGTAAATGTTTTGAGGGAATATTTATTACATTAAAAGATCGTTTGTTAGCCACTGCTAGTCCGATATTGTATTGAGGAAGAGATATCAAGTGGAACACTATCTGAACAATTTTAAAGATGACTGTTAGTAAATGGTTCATACTTCTTATAGCATTCCTATAATTAATATAGGATATACTAATATAGTTTCAGTAGGTATTTTATAATCATTTTAGCAACGATATAATGACGACAGACGTTTGACGATGAAAAGTTTCGTATGACCATGAGTCACTGACAAACTACGTTAATAGTAAGTTTATTTATATTTTTACTAATTTGTGAAATAAAGTCTTAGCAAGAAGATACAACTGTGAAGTTTTAAAATAAATTATACATTTCTGTACTGTTTACAGTATTTACAACAAATTATTAATTTTAACCTTAGAATGAAGGCGCGTAATATGCTTCTTGATAGGAAGTAGATAATCTTATCAGATGATATAACACTATGAGTTTAACATATAAAAACTTTGGGTAATACAATAATAAAACAAGTATATACTGTAAAATTCTTAGCTTAAACTTAGTAGCATAAGAAAATTAAAGTTTTCAAGGCCAATTATTGAAAAGAGAAAACATAATATTTCTATATGTATAAAAGTTCATAAAGATAAAACTAACCAGATTTTTCGTTAATTTTACAGATCACATAAACAGGATACATTTACTACACTTCGATTAATAAAATAAAAACTTTAAAGTTTTGAATAAGTTCAACATCAAAACAAAAATATAACTAAATGAACTTATGTAAACACGCACAGCGCATAGCATGCAATCGTCTATACCATAGATGACAGATTTAAGATTCTCATATTATATCCTACAATACACACTCACAATCGATCCAATCCATTGTTACTTAGTACCCCAAACACAGAAAAACGGTCGAATGGTTGCTATGTTGAGTAAGATTCCAGTGATACGGAACTATGTGCAGTTTCCTATATTTGTACTGCACCGTCCAGCAAGCGCAGCAGGCACCTAACGTACGTGATAGGACCATAATATTCTATAATAATAAAGACCTTTCTGTATTTTTATAATACCTAATAATAATAATTTATTTGCAAGAATATGGTATAAAAATCTTATGGTTGTACTATCTAAACTCCGCATATTCTGCCACATATAATGGCGTGCAAATTTATCTTACATAATTATAAATTAAAATATACAATTCATTCTAAAACCAGGTAGAAAGGACTGTACCTAAGCAAAATCCTTTAGACCCATTAATTATCTTCACTTCGATCTTTCTGACGCTGAAGACACTGGGGAACCTGTAGATAAGAAACCAGACGACCTGATCTAAATTATTGAACGCAAATCAACAGAGTTATCACTGATAAATCGCCACAACGTGGTGTCTCGTATTTGTAACTCTCTGAAATCAAAGCATTTATTGACATAGAAGGTGCCTTTAACAGAACTAACTCCAAAGAGTTACTAGAGTACTAGGAACATGTGGAGTAGCATCAACACTTATGATGAACAACATGTTAAAACAACGAGTGATACAGTTTACCGTAATAAACAAGAGATGACTTACCATGCAGTTTAAGGTTAGATTAATTACGAAGAAATAATATTAGTACTCTTTGAACCAAAGTCGTTGAGAATAAAACAACCCGTCATATAATTATTGCATACAAAAATAGTCACGTTTTATTGTTAAACATAAAAAGTGAAAACCCCGCGAATAATATAAACAGGTTCACACTTCTTCAACATCACACGTAAGTGGTGAATCAAAGCATTTATTGCGTTATTAAGACTAGGCCGTGAAAGAGGTACGATTTTGTAGATACAATGACCCTAGGCGGGATGCGGTAACACAGCAGAACCTTATCTTATCCGCTGTAAAAAAAGTGGAGCTACAACCCTTAGTGTATTATAGTTACTACATTTTAAAAACTTCATTGCTGTACATTAGCATCGGTAACGGTAACGGAGCGGTGCGGCGCCGCACCGCAATTACTTCGAGCTATAGGGTGCCACACGGGCGTTGCGGTGTGGCAATATATTTTACCCCTCCCCGCCTCGTTTCGTAGGTCACAACTCCGGCGCGCTTGCGGTGCGACGCCACGCGGCGGCGCAACGCTTCGTGTGACATGGTATAGTAATTTGTATGTAGGATGACGTTGCGGCACAGCACCGTTACAATACAATATTTCACAGACAGTATTTCTTCTTAAAAGTCAATTGTCACACGTTAATGGGACTGTACTCTGTAATCTGTACCTGCGGTCAGAGTTTTTACCGACGTGTACTTATAACATTCGGTAGAAAAGTAATCCGTTTTTATAAGTTACTCTTACGTTTTTAAAAATTTTCATTAACAGTTGTAGCATACGTGTCCTTTAAAAAAATATCATTGTATCGGGGTGAACATTCATACAATTTTAGTGTAATCCTCTACATGAAGAGAAGTATCAATTAGAAAAGTTCAAATTTTAGTAAACAACTTTAAAATGAATAGAAACAAGAGTGAAATTCGTTTTATTTTTTATGCGAGTGGCATATTTATTTGTTATTTTATATTTGGTATGTTGCAAGAGAAAATAACTAGAGGAAAATATGGAAACAATGATAAATTTACGTGTACTCTTTCACTCGTACTCGTTCAATGTGTTGTGAATTATATTTTCGCTCAAATTTTAATGGTAAGATTCCTAAATGGATATTCAGAACTCTTTAAAAATTATAACTTGCATATGATTTTTACCTATGATTTGTTACATAAATTAAGATTTTGGTGTGTGTTAAATTCTTCCAGCTATCTTGGAAACATGAGAAAGATACAACAAGCAAGATATATTATTTTTCTTCAGCACTTACCTACTTGTTGGGTATGGTCAGCTCTAATATGGCTTTACAATGGATCAATTACCCAACACAGGTAAGATCTTTTTCTGACAAATATTGTTTTATAAAACATTATAAATCTTAAATGAATCTTAAATGTGTTTTTTCAGGTTGTCGGAAAAGCAGCAAAACCAATACCAGTGTTAATACTTGGTGTAATTTTGGGTAGAAAAGTGTATCCTATAAGAAAATACTTTTTTGTATTGCTTATTGTGATAGGAGTGGTTTTGTTTATGTACAAGGAACAAGCGAGAATGGTTGTGGAAGAATCTCAAGGTTTAGGAGTAGGGGAGCTTCTACTGTTTTGCTCATTGACTATGGATGGATTGACTGGTGCTGTGCAGGTTAAAAAAAATACATAATATTATATTAATGATATGGCTAAGTGAGGGAATTCTGCTAATAAATAATAATAATTACCTAGTGGTGCTATAAACCCATATTGACCTTATATTGCAAACCTTTTTTTTATAGGTATATTATTTTAGTGTGATCACCTTTCTGTGTTTTAATTTCTTAGGTATTACGGTTTTCTTGTCTTGTCTATTATTACAAAGTCTTAATTACACAGGTACAAACTACAAATTTGCTGACATGACCTAAACTTTAAGGTTTGCTTGTTTAAGCCAATAGGTTAACCCTCCTAATGAAATGTAGACAGAAATAAGACTGTAGCTTATTAGGCATTGACAACTATTGTTGACGCTAGTTTTGGTGTTAAATCCATAAATATATTTTTCATTACATTGACTCACTCCTCTCAGATATATAAAAAAATCTCTTTTGCTTAGAAATAGCTGAGCAAATAATATAATTGATATTACACTGAGATTAATTTATTTTTCTAATAATATAACAAATTCAAAGAAGTTAATTTAATTTCAGGAGAGGATAAAAAGTGAATCTTCTCCTACAGCCTATTCGATGATGTTAAATACAAATGCATGGTAAGTTTATAAATTTTAATATTATATATTTTCGCCTGTTAGTTTGTATATTTATTTATTTATTTATTAACACTTCGTTGCAAAAAACAATAAATCAAACACAATACAAAAAAAAATTATAAGGGATGCAACGGGCGGCCTTATCGCTAATAAGCGATCTCTTCCAGGCAACCCAAGTTAAAGAAAAAACTAAAAAAAGAAACATGAGTCGTGCGAGAAGTGCAGAAACAAATGTTATATAAAAAAATATATATATATATATATACACATAGTACCTTAATCTAAAGTAATACAAAAAAAAAAAAATATTAACAACAGACTAAAAACTTAAAAGCTAATCTTACAAATACATGGACAGCAAATAGTGATGTAAAAGGAAACATAAGATTTATTCAAGTCACGATTGATCAGGATAGGATAAGGTTAAGAAATGATTATACAGAAGGGTTTTGAAAGATGACAGAGAGGTAGCCAATCGTACGGAGTCGGGCAGCGTATTCCACAACTTAATGGCGGAGATCGTGAATGAATTGCCTAAGAAGGATGTAGTGTGAGATGGAATTTCCAATAAACATCTATTAGATGAGCGTAACATATAGTTAGAAGGACCTAAGAATTTAAAGTGATTTTTGAGATAAGAAGGGGTTTTCGGATTGAAAAGAATTGAGTACAGAAGTTGAAGAAGATGAGCGTGACGTCTGAATCGAATAGGTAGCCACCCCAGCTGCCTGCGGAATTTAGACACATGGTCATATTTCCTGAGACCAAATATGAACCGTATGCAGAAATTCTGCAGGCGTTCGATCTTGTCAAGTAGCTCTTCGTTCAAATCAGAGGAGCATGAGTCCGCATAATCGAGAATAGGAAGCAGAAGAGACTGCGCTAACATAGTTTTAGTGCGGATAGGAAGGAAATTAGAAAGACGTTTCAGAGTAAAAGAAGCGGCGTAAAGTTTACGGCTGATCTCCTTTACGTGATGACCCCAGGAAAACGTTTGGTCGAAGAAGACCCCAAGGTTTTTAACAGTCTTATTGAGGGCCAAGGCCACACCGTCAAGGTAAACACCAGGGAGCTGAGCCCATTTGACTCTTGAAATAAAGAAAGGGCTTCCGATGATGATGACTTGACTCTTGGCAGGATTAATTTGAAGACCAAAGTCTTTACTCCAGTTGGCTATGTTTTCAAGATCATCATTCATCGCCTGTATTGCAAGAGGAAGCTCATCCAGTGTAGACTGAACGTAGATTTGGAGGTCATCAGCATAAAGGTGATAACTAGCGGATAGATGTGCAGTTAGGGTGTTGATAAATATAGAAAAAAGAAGAGGTGAAAGAACGCCTCCCTGCGGAACACCAGCACTTATATTACTTTATCACTTGATCAGTTGTTGTTGTGAGTCCTGATCAATATGTTGTATATGTTTTACATATAAATATAGTAAGTTACTTGTAAGAAATGTAAACACCAAACTAAACTAAATAAAAACAAGTACTATACAAATTGTATTTGTATTGACATTGTATGTATAGCCTATGTTTCATTTGTCTTGCGATTTTGTCATGTACATCATTGGTAAAATTGCAGGCAACATGTAATTAAAAATATATTATAAAGTAATTTTAATTTTATTATGATGTGTTTTTTTATGGAACAGGGGAAACTGCCGTCCATGGACAGTCTCATTCAAGAGGGCTTGCAGTTACGTTGCCGGCCTTAATGTACTCTCATATACCAATGAGGTAAATTTACAGTGGACAATATGGGTTATGTGCCTTATAAACCATTTTTGACAATATTTCCAGAAATTATGCTCAATACTTCCAAGTTCCATACAATACACAAACCATAAACATATATATATATATATATAATAGGTCCTTAATATAAATTAAATTTTCTGTATTTTTGTTAATGGTAATACATCACTTTTATAGGTCATCAATAATCATAAGTGTAAGTGTTATTCTTACTGGGGAATGCTTCAAGTTCGTTGCTTTTGTCAACCTGTACCCTGAAGTGCTAATCTGGCTTACAGGGTTGTCTCTAATGGGTGCTTTGGGACAATTATTCATATTTTTCATGGTAAGTTATTCCTAAAATGTGTGATGATGATTATTATTACCTAGTATTTTGTTATAGTTACTTTATATTTACAATATAAATGGCACATTGCCAAAATAATGAAAATTACTGACAGTCCTAACTGCCCTGGCAACAAGGCCTAATAATAATTGCCTTTTAAGCTTTTAAATTACTAATAACTTTTGTTTTGCTAGAAATTGTTCCCTAAAGGATATACACATTAAATAAAATAAATAAATCTAAATGGGAATTGTTTTTAAAACATAACAATTTATGGTCCTTGTTATATTGACATAAAATATTTATGTCCTCTAAATAATTATACAGATTCTATTAAACCTTAAACCACTAGCAACCTACCCATCATGTAATTGTTGAATTTAGTTGTGCCGGATTTCAAAATAACTTTATACTGAAAAATAAAACAAAATATATTTTTTTAGGTGTCTGAATTTGGACCTTTGCCATGCTCCGTAGTAACCACAACCAGAAAGTTCTTCACCGTTCTGGCGTCTGTAATTATTTTTGGCAATGTTTTGATGTTAAGGCAATGGATTGGTGCTATTCTTGTCTTTTCTGGTAAGTTGTTTTGTATGTAATTATGGAGGAAATAATACATAAAGATCAATCTCTTGGAGATGTAAAGTCCTTCTCTTCTAAACATGGAATTAATCTCAAGAATACGAAAGCAATTATTTTCTTAATATTAATCAAAGAATATACAATTGATTATTAATTATTAACTCTCATTTATACATATTATTTTTTTCAGGTCTATTTTTAGACATAATCTGCAGAAACGGAAAGAGTCCTCAAACGAAGATAGCTAATAAATAAATTTGTTTAATGTGCTATGGAAACAACAATCATTTGAATATATGTGAAGTACAATGCACAAGTGACATTAAATTATTTCACAAATATATAAAAATGATATCTGCCGTTTTTATTTTCAGTATTCATTTTTGTGTATTTGGAAATTAGAATAAATGTAATTTTTAAGAAAATATTATTTTTAAAAGTTTTTATACAAGAATATGAACTAAACGGGTTTTCCCAAAGATTTTTGTCTGAATACTATTAATGTGCATATTCACATTTTGAATATAATACTGAAAGCCAGCTTTTTGGGGTATCATACAAAGTTTGAATATTTTAATAGTTATATATGTCTGCGCTTATTTATTGATAATTCTTAGCTACCAACCATGACATCGCGGGTACAATATAGTACTTCCGATTTATACGCCATTAAAGTAATCCAATAAGCGACAGAGGCAATACGATACTTATGTTTTGTATCAGATATTAAATTTTTTAGATTAAATTAGGAGTTGTTTACTTAATATAGCTAATTTATAGAAAGATATTTTAAATTGAATTTGAGAAAATTAATAAATATTTGACAATATTAGTGGTTTTAATACTTACGAAAATCTATGGATCAAATCCTTTTACTAGATGTGAATACAGCGCAAACGTCTGTCCTAATATTTCGTACCAAAAGGATACGTTCTATCGGTTACGTAAATTTCGTAATAAAAAGTATTACCCTACCTGTACCCAGTTCTGCATGTGTCTTATAAAAAAAGTTAAGAAACTAATTTCATCTTCTCTTAATAGGTTACCGGTAAGAAATTGGCGATTTTCAGGTTCGCAAGACTATAGTATGAAATTTAGTCCATGAGCCTTAGCTTATCTAGAGACATGAGTCCCTGTGTGAACTTTCGAAAACCCTACATCTCATGGTATGGACTATGGGCACTATGACCATACTGAAGTTGCCACGATCCTCCCGGCCTTCTGTGGGTATAAGATGTATATAACTTGGTAACTATTAAAAAAGTTCAAATTGCGTATGAATGAAAATGAATCTTAATAAATTTTAATGAACTTTTTTCGATTCGGTCATACGTAACCCACTTCAATAATAAAAAAAAAAAAGTAAGAAATAGATAATATACGTTATGTCTAAGTTGTCAAGGTAACGTTAATGTTCACTCTTGGTAACATAGGCGTATCAGAATGTCAAAACATCACTAAATTTCAAAGAAGTATTAATCATAGTAACCTAAATGGGTGATGAAGAAGCTGCTACTCTCGAAGGACAATTCTATGAATTTTCCAGAATGTTAGATAATAAACGCGACGGTACTACCATCACATTATATCGGTCTGATTTTTGGATGCGTCAAGCAAAGCTATTGGATGATAGAAAGCTTACGATGACTGATACTGGAATATTATTTAATAAATTTAGGTGAATATAAGCTCTGTGGCATAATTTTTCCTGTATTGAGTGTAAAAAGGGAATAAAATACGAAAAGTATATTGAATTGGAAGGCCCAGAATCCCAATTACGTATATGTAATAATAATAAAATATGTTATTTGCCTCTTTACAATATTTCATTTTTACGGGTTTGCATGCTGCAGGTATTGACACCTTTGTGAGAGGTTGGTGCCTATAGTTGGACATCAGAAATCCTGTGGCAACAGGTCTCCATCCTTTCATCACGGACAGAAAATATACAAAAACATGACTACATACTACTAAACAAAATAAAACCAAAGCATGCGTGGTTGTGGGTATGTGAATGTGTGTAAGAGTGTTTGAATGAAGCGTGTGTAAAGAATTTAATTTAGTGTTATACACACCACACCAATTAGATTAACAGCAACAAATTTATTTGCAGTAAGTCTGAATTAGACTGGGATGAGTGGAACCAGTTTTTAGATGAGGTTTGTGAATTAAAAGAATTTGACGAAGAAAAATGTCGTGAAACTCTGACCAATTGTGGGCTACCCGGTCAAACGCCAGTATTAGTGCCTCAATATAGAGATTTCTTTGCGACTTATAAACCCAAAGAAAAATTGCCGTTTTAATCCATATTATGCTATCTGCTTCTTTAAATAATTAAAGTGTTTTAAATTACACGGTTGTTTTCATCTTCAAATTAAATTTCTCTACTAGCGAATTGTATCGGCTATGCGTGGCTACTAATTTTAGAAATGATCATTTTATTGAATAAAATCGACCATCCCGACTACAATGGTTAATTTTACTTGTGAAATTTGAAAAAAAAAAAAATCTTTTCGAAAAAATTATTATTTTGCCTTCTTGTTAAAGACTTTCAAAATACTTGTATTTTGATAGCCTAATCTAATTTAAATCACCTTGTAAGTGAACGACGAAGACCTGGGCTTTACACAGCGCCGAAAATAAAATAATGACTCCAACAGTCGATAAAATGTAGTCATAAACAAACATACAAATATTTTGTTATGTTTACGACATTTTCTAGCCGCACATTCACAACCATTATTGAAGTGCTTTATCAGAAGAATTAGTTATAGAAATGAGACAGACTATAACACTACAGGTACGGTCTAAATTATTTAATTTAGTTTTTTTTATGTCTCTCTTATAAATATTATTGTTCGCTGTTAGTTATATTTGCCATTATTAAGACAATTGCTTAAGTAAAAAGGTGACTAACAGTAGGTATACTCTTTCAGGTTCTGTTAGTAAATATTCTTCTTTTAAAGTCAATTATATCACTGGAGATAGAGCGATTCGTGATAGAAGATAGGAGTGACCCGGCAGACCAGTTAAATGTTAAAAGAATTCTAGATATTATTTCTAGATCTAGGGAGAAGCCACAGACTTATCGAAGGATGGAGGAACGAGCTGAAAAAATTAAATTTTTGTACAATTTTCTCAGGACCAAACTTGGTCCTAGTAGAATAAAAAAAATTCTTCGTGACCAAGGTGAAACAGCAAGTGTCCCGAAGATGGACTTGGAAGGATTAATCGAGAATGAACTTAAAAACGCACTGGCATTAAAATCGTCGGCACTCAATGACCGGCCAGTTCTCCAAAAAAGGGGAAGAAATGATTTTCTTGTGATGAAACCTCAAGTTGTGGACCCATTTGTAACTGTGGTCCCAAACAATATTTATTATAATATTGAAAAGAAATGTGTCAATTGGTTAGATGATTGTAACCTTCAAGGTATAAGATCGAGACTGCTTCAAAAAGTTAAATCTCCATTTAAATAAAACTTTTTCCAAATATTGAGCCTATGTACACGATAGCATGTGCTATACAAGCTTCAACACTAAATATATATAATATTAAAAAGACACTGGTAAACCTTTAGGCCTCAAAACATATTGAATTTAATTAAATGTTTTATTAATTTAATTTATAGTACGATTATGAATAAGGATAAAATAAAACAATTTTCTACATATTCACAATATTTTTATTTATTGTTAGTTGCATTTATTCACTTACAATATAGGAAAAACATTTTTCATGCAAGTATCATTAAAATAGGTAATTCCACAAAATATTTGAAATCATTATCATTAATACAACGTATCCTTTTATATTGGTTGTGCAAATTATTCACTTCGATATAAGTAATATTTAAGGATTGCAAGTCGTTCCTTAATAAAGCACTTAAATGTACGCGGCCTAAAAATAAAGTAATCTATCAAATAAAAAAGCAAATTAAATGGCAGTGGTATAAAAGCTAATGACGTTACTTTTGGCACATTACCCAATTGATCGATACTTTCAGAAAAACATGATGAAATTATAACTATGTGTATAAAAAAAATAAAAAAAGCCTGCCACAACTTTTAAATTAGAGTACAATACTTCCTTAACTACAACAATTAATTCTTATGGCACCAAAGACCCCCGAGGGGTATATGTAACTTTAGATAACATACCTATAGATATAATATATACGCAATCACAAAGTCTACTTAAGAATATCTAGATTGATTTTTAACAAGGAAAAAAGCAATATTTTTTTTTCAATTGCATTTGTTTCTGAAAGTAACGAAACATATAATTATTAACGCTTATTTTATAATATTATCATCAATTGACATTTATAATGCTTGGAACTCGAATATTTATAGAGAGTTTTATTAAATAGTGTCCCATAAATAGATCTTATTAACTAAGCAGGTTTGTAATTCTGCTTTATCTGTAACAAAAACAATTATTTAACTTCACAATAGAAAATAAGTTTTGGTAAGTAAAGCTACCTATGAACCACGAACTTGAACTTGCGTGGGCTACTCGAATATATTGAGAATTGCCTTTTAAGTATTATAATACATGCTTCGAACAATATAAAATGTTGTGTTCTAAGGAAACAAATAAGATACTAAACATATTGTTATGTTATTATATGTATTCATCGTTTTCAAACCTCAGAAATATTATCGTATTATAAACTAAATAAAAATATATACTAACTAAATAATAATAAAAATATTAAAAACTCACATAATTATATTCGACTCGTATCTCGTATCGTAGACTCAGTAGTGAATCGCTTGGCTGAAAAAGAAATTCTCATGAAAATAGTAATTACTACTATGTACTAGAATGTTTAACCATAATTTTAGCATCACAGCGATTAATTAATGTAGTTATTTCTTCAGAGCGTTAACACAATTCAACAGAGTAGAAGTAGGAAGTGTTTTTTTTTAATTATGTTACGATTGGATAAATTTTCTTTTGAATAAAGCCGAATTCCACTCTAGATTAAAAAATATAACCCATATAGGTCTACAGTATTTTCAATTATACATTGTCAAACTATGTATATTTAAATTAATCGTAATAAATACGTACCTTTTTAATAATCATTTATAATAAACTTAATGAGGCATAGTAAGGACGGAAAGAGTAAGTGATGAAATTTGTAGCTAATTTGAGGAAGGGAGTTGAAATGGTATCCGCGTGGGGGGGATTCGAAAACATCAATTTCTTCAAAAAAGGGATAAACGTCTGGGAACATAGAACTAATTAATCCAGGGTAGCGTGAAAAGGGGAAAATAATTGGTTAGTACGAAGATATGTAAGGGTTAGTGGTTTTATTAATATACAATTCTAGACAAATATATAAAGGTATCTAATTGAGCAGTCAGTTAACAATTATATACGCAATAAGTGACCCAATACTTACAACTGTTTTTATTTTCGAGAAAATATATCAGCTAAAGCTCAGCATCGAATGTTACACACGTGTGTGTTTAGGCAACACTATTACAGGTAAGGTGTCCACAACACCCAAATAAATTTGTATGGGAATAACATTAGCTTACATTTGATCACGTGACCATCCTCGTACAAAGACTGGCTGTCTATAGTAATTTATTTTAAATCGACATTTTTAACAATTGTATTATATACCCGGGGGCCAGAGTCTAAAACTTAAACGTTGTCAGGCGTACTTGTCATACGGACTACATAGACCGATCATAAGCAGACGAAAGCCCCTAAGTTTTTATTTGTTTTACACTCTAAGCCCGCTATTCTCTTTTAAATATTAGGTCACTTAAAATCTGTGCTAGAAACTAATTCTTTTGCAATTTTTTTAAAATTATATATGTTACTGTAAAAGCTCGAACTGCAGTAAATCCTAAGATATTCCAGTAAAACCTAAGATCTACCAACTCCTAATGGTAAATGTCCCAAAAGGTTTGCGATTCGAACTCTTACCACCATTCCGTTGGTAAATCTTAGGATTTACATTAATGGCACGGTAAATGTTGAAAAACAAAAATAATTATTAAGTTAGACTGGCTTATGTAAGTATTATGTTTGTATTTCGTTGTTAAATTACAAATAGAGAACTATTGATTCAGTTAGATAGATATGATAGCGATTGAGATATTCAGAGATATACGTTATGTGTTTTTCAAAATAATTTAAATAAGTTGGTATTAGTTTGTACTTATTACTATCATATGATACCTTTATAATACTATGTACCTGTTTTGTCTAATAGTACATTAAAGTAAATAATTAAGAATTACTCATTGTTTTATTCCTAAAACCAACATCTACCAGCTGACGGTGGTAAAACCTAGCATATACTGAATTCGAATGGTAAAAGCTCGAAAAAATCGTCGTAATTTCAGAAATACTTACATTTACCAACTCATGTCGGTAAATCTTAAGATTAACCGTAGTTCGAACTTTTACAGTAACATATATAAGTTAAAATAGCTATAGCTTTAAATGAAACTTATTGGGAGGGTATACTGCAAATTACTATGAGGGTGTACAATTTCTTATTAGACCTTCAAAAATTCGTAACATTGTATTTAATAATTTAAAAGGGTTTGTAATGATACATTACTCCGAAAAGTAAAATAACAAAATTCAAACTCAGTCCGATGATGACGTGCGATTCGCAATGTAATATAATTAAGTTTTAATTTTAATTAATTGTCATTTTGTTAATGAGTATAAAGTTCTTTAAACTTTAAATTGGCTTGCTTACTCTTTGCATCGTTGTGTGTTTCTGCCAGCTACAGCGACCTTGCCCAACTGAAGCCCTCGCGTGATATCAGTGAATTCTACTTGCTCTATGCAGCCAGTTAGACCTTGGTAATAGTCATATTCCGCACTCCAACTCTCAGGAATACCACCTAAGAAAAATAATTTTGTTGGTATCGGCGTCAAACAAGCGTAAACTTAAAAATATACTCAAAACTGTTTCGCCAAGTAGAAATAATAGAGCCATAGAGAGAATTTATTGTATTACCATTTTCATTCCTCTTGCCTGATCTCAAAAATATGTTCATGGCATTGAAACGCTCGCAGATGTAGTTTTAGTAGGAAAAGGCCTATCATCTAACAACTTTTGCCAACGTATGTGGTGCAAAGTATAGTTCAAATAAAAATAGTGATTGGATCTCTGCGTTAGGCTACGAATTTAAAATAATACCACCATCAAACATTTGATGGAAACCATAGCAAGAATGTATGTTCCGCATATGCCAAGTCAATTCACAACAATTTATTATTGATTTTTATAATCGCTTTCTTGAATAAAAAACCAAAACTTAAGTACTTATGTTCAAGTACAAACATAGTTGAGTATTCTCAAAAATTAACACCCCCCCTATGTCAAATACGTTTTTGACATATTGAAGTCATAGTTGTAGATATTTAGATAGTTTAAATTTATTTTTATCATTCATTTCAAATCTACTTACCAATATAAATATTCGAATCAGCGTTCATGACATTGGAGATACCATTGGTCGTTTTGGATTTAGAGACACCGTCCACTGTCAATTCAACGTGGTTACCAGCGTAGAACTTGGCAATCACCTGAAACGTTATCATGATGCTACTATGGATTCTCTTCACATCTCATAGACAACATAGTTAAGACTTTCTAGTACCTATTCACCTTAGATAAAGACTTAGTCATTGTAAATACTAAAATTGTGAGAATTAAATAACATAAATAATAAGTAATATGATTATGTATTGGTTGTGACTGTTTTCTATATGTTTAACGGTTTAAAAAAAGTCATTAAATAGGTCTGCGACAACTTTTTGTCTTGGCTTTTGGCCTTAAACACTGATCAAATAATATTATTAATATAAAAAGCGTTATTATAAGATTTTTTAAAAATAATTAAACGTTAACGATTAATAATCCATCGTTTTACGTTTCATTCACTTACTCCGTGTCTCTCTCCATCAATTACGGTTACTCCATCAATAAGTATACTGTTCAGTCCACTGCCCGTATCCCATTCCATCTCCACAAGGCCTCTATTGACTAAAATAATTTTAAAATACAATTAATCGGGCTATTAATAAAAATACAAAAATAAAATCAATTGACGTACGGGCTTCATACAAGGTCTATTCGCACTAATCCCAATTAAAAGAAACGCACTATAGTTTCAACATTTTTTACCCGTGAACATTTAAGAGTCACCCACACCTTTGGGATATATCATTAGATTTAATTAATTTTTAAAACATATTTTAATTTCTGTTTGCATAACTACATATTATATATATTATAAGACAAATATTGCCAATTTTTAAATAAGTAATAATATTACTTTTTGTGGTTTCCTTTTAACTTACCCTTAATTAATATGTAGTCTCCTCCACTTCTAAGTTTAGCTTCCCGTTGGTACAGGAGGACTCCATCGTTCGTTGTGTGGATAGCAAGTGCGATTACTGCCGGTTCCAGTTCCAACTGATCGTATCTCAAATAACTGGCTGGTAGTTCTAAGTAACCGTTACCATTAAAGCCGACGCTTTGCAGTAGTTCTAATTCTGTAAACATTAATCGTTTGTTTAGGAAGTTTCTTCAGTAGCTTTGTATTTGTATAATTTTAGTAAATAGGAATTATTAAAATAAAAATTTGGTTGCATTTCCATGTTTCAGTGCATTAATTGTCATGTCATTGTCGTTTATAATAAAAAATCGCTTTTTTGCAAAGAAAGTGGTAAATTCAACTTGATTTATTATAAAAAAACCGCACAATCAGCCATAGAAAAATAGGCATGCAAATTTTATATTAATTATCATAGTGTCATAATAACGAGAACAGTTAATTTATTGATAATTGTTGTCAAAACTTATGGTCCAAATACTCTCCCATGCTAAAATGCACCTTGCCTTTAAAAATTAATTTAATTTATATTATATACTACTAATTTTATTTAATCAGTAATTTCTAGTGAAAAGTGGCGTCCAAAAATAATAATAGAGTGCTACAGCCTGCTGATCCAAGGCCTTAGATTGCATGTAAAAAAAATTTGCCTGTCTTCGAAATTTTTCGTAACCGATATTACACCATCAGCAAAAAAACACTTACGCATTTGGCAACCTTGACCCGCGTATCCCAAGGGGCAGTCACATGTATAATTCATTCGGGCTGAGAAATCGCTTTTACACGTCCCACCATTTCTGCACGGCAGAGCTGCGCAAGGGTTGTTCACGGGCTGTCTTTGAGAACTCAGAGGCACCCTGTACTCGCAGTATTGGCCGGAGAAGCCAGACGGACAAGTGCAGTACGTCGAGTCAGCGTTCAGACAATAGCCACCATTGCGACATTGAGAACATATGCTCTCAACCTGAAACAAGGTTAATAAAAATTTTGATCAGATTAACCGCGTCTAGTTGACTGGAGAGATGGAGAGAGATATGCAAATTGTAAAATAGTCCTGACTTTTAAGTGCACGTGCCGGTTTGACATGGTGTAAAGTGAGTGAAGAGAATGAAAATAAGAGAAGAAGTTTAAATAAATAATTGATAATTAAACGGTTTTTAATTCGGAATTATATGTGAAAAAAGTGCAGTAAAATATTATGAGCGGTTACATTTTAATACAGTATTTAAGGGCTTTAAGACCCTCTGAAAGCCCCTAAATAATGAATAGTTTTGACACGATAAGTCTCTTAGCGGTATCCGATTACTTTGTTAATATATAAATTAGTGAATGTATACTTATATTCAAGAAATATCTTATTTATTTCTCGAATAATAGTAATCTCGTAAGAATGGTTTTAAATGAAATAAAATATAGTTATTAATATAATAATAATTTAAATAATAAAAAAAGTAAAATATAGATTAAAAAAATATAATTCTCACATCTGGTATGTCTCCACGATCGTAGTTGACGCATTCCTGAACATTTGCTGATTGAATTGACGAATTTATTAAGTTCAAGTCATCTCCTTGCAGTTTGACCTTTAAAAAATATTATTCACAACATTTGTCTAAAAAATCTACAAAAGTAACAATTATGGTATCGTGAATGAACATTTAAACTAAATCAAAATTCGGATGCAGATGACATTATGAAACAACATCAAAACAGTGTTAAAAGATTTTTATAGTTACACTCACATCCTTGATGCATCCGCTAAAGCCCCCAACGACACCAGTATTGTTGTTGAGAACGACAGAGTCGTCAACGCCGCCCACGAACAATGGTGTTTCCAAGCTCAGATACTGTTGGAAAATGGAACATTTTATATAGGACCATCTTAGGTGCTATACTCAAGTTATCGTCTAGATGATTTCAATGATTTTTTATTGAAAAAGAAGGTATGTATACACTAAACTCGTATTCATAAAATCTTTAAATATAAAAAATGTGTGTTTTAGTAATTAAACTCTTTAACGGCTGGATTCTGATTAAATGTTTTGTTCAAGTGTATTCTAGAATGGTTTAGATTTAAAAATAGTTGTTTTTTTTTGTATTTAAGACGTGTGTACTGTGTACCACGTCCACTAGTTATTCTATAAAAAGGAAAGGAACCGGCCTCTCACTATGATCAGACCTGTTTTATGAAATCTAAACTGGTATCGTAAAAAATAAATCGAAAACTGGTGCTTCTTTTGGTTTTCTTTAACGAATATAAACACGTATTGAATACAACTGTTTTACGTGTAAATATACATCAAACCTCGTTCATCATTTGAAGAAAAACTACTAAGGTAGCAGATGTCACAGTAAAATTAATAAACTTAAGTGGAAATTGGCGGGGCACATGGGAAGAGTAACAGAGAAGTGGAGCAAGAGACAGATATTTAAGGATGTTTGCCAGCTCATGGCAGAGAGTGGCATATTGCAGACAGAAATGGCGGGATTTGATGGAGGCCTTTGCCAAAAAGGGCACATGAGATGATAAAATATAAACCTCTTTAACTGTAAAAGTATCTGAAATAAAAGGCTATTATTATATACAACCTATGAGTTATAGTATAGTATATAAGTTTTATGTAGTAGGTACCTAAATAAAACACAATATTATATTTACTTTAAAATAATAAAGAATACATACCCTAGGTGATGTCAGCTTATGATTGTAGCTATGGATCATATCTACTGTCAACGAGACTAAATCGCCGCTTCTAATAATTTGAACTGATGTCCATGAGTTAGCTTGAAGGGTCTTGTTACTTGTCAGTACCACAGGGTCGGTATCTGAAAGTAGTACATTTCCGGAATTTGATAAGGAGAAACTATTATTTTAAAAGATTAGTTTTTATTTATTTAGTATTGGATGCATCGTACAATTGTTTCACAGAAATATTATAATTATATACAAACATGACAGGAAATGGGAAAGTCAAGTGGATAATAATGAAATCTTTAGAAAATAACGGATAAAAAAGAACAATAAAACAAATAATTGTAACATTGAAAGCAGATACAAGACTTAAAAAAGATAACAAGTGTTTGGGTATAATATCAGCATACACAAGAAACCAGTGGCGTTTCGAGCCCAGTTCTCGGCATCTTTCTGTATCGTTATTGTTTTTAATAGGCAGGTCTAGGCCTTCTGAGTCCGACACACGCCTTCGACTTTTAGAGTCTAAGGTCAGCACACACGACGCGGCCGTACTAGGAGAACATTATATTACAAATAAATAATATCTTACTGTCGCCAAGGTCGTATCTGAACTCCAAGTGTCCATCACGAACTGTGAGTGATGTGAATCCACCATAGCCTCTAGGTGATTGTGCGCAGTACATTATAATACCATCAGTCACAGGTGGTTTTGGCTTGATCTTCATAGACATTTTGAGATAACGTGAAGTTTGAGGCGGTTTGATCGCTAAGAATGCGCTACCCGTAAATGCTGGATATTCGATATTTTGCCTAACGTCGCAACTGAAAATAAAAAATTATTATATTTTATTTATGAAAGGTTTTGAGAACCAAAATCAAATATAATTAAAGCAAGATATATAGCATTTTAGTATACTTTATACAGCACTTCAACGCTTTAAAATTCATAATGACGAAACAATTTTGCTAGAAATTGTGGCCTCATTTATATTGGAATCTCATTTATGAGTAAATTAAAATACCTTTTTAATGAGTTGAGAATGAGAATGAGAGAATGAGAATGGTCTAGGACAAATTCGAGTCTCATTAAAAAAACAGGACTCCTAAAAATGACGGCTTACTTTCTTCCAGCATAAGTGACAGGACATGCGCATCTGTAGCCATCGGCGGTGTCCGTACATTTGCCTGGTCCACACAACCCTGGGCGGCAGGCTTCGCCGGTCTTGTCACAGTTTTGACCAGCAAAACCGCCAGGACAAAGGCATCTGTAGCCGCGTTCATTGCGTGCTTCCTGTTACGAATAAAGTAATAATTTAAAAGTGTTTTCAGCATACAGTATTTTTAATATACAAATATGTTTTATATTTTTTCTGTATACATCTTCCTATATTTATAGCCGATATAATAAATCAATTTTTTAAATATATATATGTTTTCAACTCGTGGATAATGCCATCTAAGCGGGAGTAGCACATTATTAATTTCCATGTTCCATAACGATTTGGCGATATATAGCCCTAAGAGAGTAGGTATTAAACCGGATATTGGGATTTTTCACTTTCTTTGTTTTGAGTGTAAAGCTCACAACCTGTGCTAAAGAACAACCAAGTAAAATACTTTATGATTATTGACTCTTTCATCCAAAGTGATATTTCACTTAAAGCGCGAAAGAATGCTCAAAACTGATATCAAAAGAAATGGATCTAATAGCTACCTGACACACGCCGCTATTGAGGCATAGATTTGGTGTACAGGAGTCGCATTCGTAGACATTGTTTCTTTCTATGCTATCTGCCATTATATTCTTTTCTTCCTTGCCAAGTATTAACATGCTTACGCAACCTACGAATCTGAAAATTAAGTCAATTATTTATATCCTACAAAAATTGCATGCTTTCGATTTTAAGGCGCTATGGGAGCTACGGAGGAATATATTAATTGTTGACAAAAGTCAGTGCACCATTATTATGCTTGGGATAAACTACAATTTCTCTCAGTCGTGTAATTTTCTGTAGGAACATTAGGTTATAAATATTCGAATACCTTTATATCGTATAACTTAAAACATCGTAATTTATTTAGTCCGAGTGATTCTTACCCTGAAGTAGTTTCAAGTTCATATGGTCGTTGTTGTGGTGCATTACCAATGTATAATGGTGCATATAGATCCAAGGTCTGGTACTGAATTGATGATTCCGCTGAGAATGGTCCCGTGTTGTCCACATCCATGGTAACTATAAGATATAATATTATGTTGAAATAATCGAATAATAGATTAAAGCTATCAATGAATTATAGCTTTCATCGAGTAGTTATTCGTATTAAAATAAATTATAAATGCTGCTTTATTAGCGAATCCTTGAACATTTAATATAATTTTTTTTTAAGACACGTGTAAGATTGTATTCATACAAATACATTGTAATTTTTTTTTGGAACCTTGCTATAGAAGTAGAAACCACTATTATTGAGTTAATAAATAAATCTAGTTAAAGCGTTTCAAGCATAACGCTTAATTTAGCGTTTTTTTGTATGTGGCATAAGTGGGATAAATAAATTACCTTTAGATCCACTTCGTCTGAGGCGAATTGTATGCCAAGCGTTAAGGGTAAGTGGCCTATCGCCCCTAGTCACTAAGGCATCAGCTGCATCAAACTTGAGGGTAAATTGTGGTACACCATCGACTAATTGCAAGACCAAGTAGTGTCCTGTTCCGTCTTCTTTTTGACTGTTGTAGAGTATTATTCCGTTTGGATCTAAAATATATATTTTCATTAATAATTTGAAAATTCAGTGCGATCGAATTGTAGATTTGGGTAGATTTTTTTAAATATATTTTTACAACACGTCTGAATTTACTCCGCTAACATCACCGATTTATTCAATACCTTAATCTGATAAATGGTTGCTGTAAGGCACGCAAAACATCAAGTATTTTGATCTAAAATGTTTGTCAAATGATAAATACAACAAAAACTGTTTATTTACATTAAGTTTAAGTTTATATACATTAAAGGCATATAAATGCACGATAAAAATAAATTATATACCCAATCAATTATATATATTTTTTTAAATCGAAGCGCTAAAATACAGAAAAGGATAATTGTAGTAAAACTTAGAACTAGATAAAAGTTATGTAAAAGAAAAAGAACTGGAGAATAAATGAAAATTACGGTGGATGTGTACACTCCACCTATTTAAATGTGGAATGATGATTTGACGTCATCTATCACAATACTATTCACGTGTTAAGAAAATAAGAATTATGATTAATGACATACCAGCAGGTTTGAAGGAGACCTCAATTTCAAACTGCATGTATGCATCCTTCAAGGTAGGTAGAGCCAGCCATCCATCGCCATTTAATTTGGGTACAATGCCAATGACGCGTAGAGTAGCTCTTGTCTTAACACGACCTACGTTGTTCCTCACATGACACACATAGGTCCCAGCATCGGCTTCAGTCACACTGTCTATGTGAAGGCTCCGCTAAAAATAAATTAAATTTTAAGCATACAATTTTAAAAACCCATTGTAAAAGAGCGATAGTTTGACTAAAGCATTGTCTATTGTCGTCACAAACAATTGAATTACTTTTTAGTCGTAACATGTGCTTTTATATACATAGATTTTTGTGATGGCTGTAAAACGATTTCTTCAGTATTATCGAGGTAAATCACGTTAATTTAATCTCAAAAAATTATAACCAAATCTAAATCAGATTGTGTTGGGCATTTTAAATTGACAATTTTCAATTATATGTTGTACATTATATGTTTTTAACGCGTTAAAAAATATAAAAAATTGTTGTAAAAGTGTAGAATTGGTAAGTTAATATCAAATGCATGTTTATGATTTATTCATTATATAACAAGTTCAGCGATTACACTAACTGACCATATTTACTTAATATAATAGTTGAAAACTCTCATTTATTACTCTTTATAGTCGGTTAGACTAGACAAAACAATTAGACCTGTTTATATTACCTCATTTAGCCCAACACCGGCTGGTAGTGGTGAAAATTCACGTCCCCATGTAATAACTACGGGTTCTTGTAAATTGCTGGTGCATGGCAAGTCAATCGTATCACCCAAGCGTGCAGTGTACATGGTATCATCATCATTTATGGGGTATGGTTTTGTATCAGACACTGAAATATATTTAATACTATATTTTATGCTAGTTGAGCCGACGAACATTGGTTGCCATATAAACTATAAAAGACATGCTGTCTGAGCCTTTTTTTAGGGATTTATATTTCTCTATAACTCCATAAGACTTAATCTTTTCTCATTATTAAGCCAGGTTTCGTTATATACGTTTTCGTTCGACCGATTTTTAAAATCTTACTACCACTTAAATGTCGGATAATATACCTATTAAACTCGCAAATAATGTGGCTTTATATTGGTAAAAGAATTTTCTAAATTTGTTCAGTCAATCGAGTATTCCCTTTACTTCTTTATAATATTTGTATCAATTATTCATATTATATTAACAAGACATTTCAATGAAACTTTAACTTATAAATAATGGACTTCCTTCCAATTACATAATGTTAAAAATAGGTACAGTTGACAACTTATTATAAATTTTAAGGTATTATTATTATAGTATTTTTCAAATTCCCAAAAAACATTTGTATAAACACAGTTACAAAATTGAAATAATTCTAGATATATTAGAATAGAAATTGGGAAATAAAAGGACCTCTGCTGCATACACAATTGGCCAACGAACGGAAACGAAGAAGTTTTACCTGGCACAACTTCAAGTACGAAATCATCCGAAGATTGTCTTCCATAGGGGTCAATTCCAGTACATCTGTATACGTCAGCATCGGATTGCTCAACATTAGGTATCAGCAATAGCGATCCATCGCCATAGGTCTGTAAAGAATTATGTAATAGTTGTGTTTGTTGAAGTCTCGAAACCTGCTAAGGGGACATATTTCAGTCAGTGAAGAATCTGTGGTAATTACCAACCCGATCGAGAATTATAATTTCGATTGGAATCAAGTCTTAATAAAAATATACTTTTTATAATATGTCTATGAATTATCTTACCCTTGTTTCTACGTATTGGTTTGTATTATATCTCTCCCATGAAACTCTGATATTCCTAGATCTTGCTCTGCAAAGGACTTCCACTTTTTCTCTAACCCTAAAAGGTCTCCGTGGCTGATCGATTAAAACTAAGGCCGGTGTTTCGTCACGAGTTCCTGAAATATATTTACAATTACAAATTTCTATTTCTAACGTCTCGAAGGTTTTATCCAAATCACAGAGTATCTAATAACGTCCCCTAAAATATTTAAAAGAAAGACATTCAATAATAAAATTGTGTACATGTATGCCCCATAGCAATAAAACAATAGCCGTACTCGGACACTTTTAATTAATTATCTCAAAGGGTAGATATTTTGACTATAACAAACATATTATGCTCATAGTTTAATGATGTACAGTCAAAATAGTCTTATAAGCTTGGAAATTGGATCTACTATGAACTTTTGAACGTAATATTTTAACATCTTATAAACGACTCTGAGTACGGCTGATATAAAAAGTTAACAGCCACCTATACTTAGGTTATCAACAATTTAAAAATCGAAACATATCATGCAAATACTTACATCGTAATCATCTCTAACAAAACAATCGCAAACACATGCAAGAGGTTAGTAAAATAAAACTGTTATCACAAGTAAAGGATTCATCATAAAGATCAACAGTTATACAACAAATTGTGACACCGCTCCCAGCATAATTGGTTACCTTATTCATTTTAAAACGAACGACAGTAGTAGATACGTAGACTTATTTGAAAATTTCGTAGAATTTGATACGTTTGATTTGTAAAATGAATAAGAACCTTTATTCACAATTTTTAACAATGAGCTGACCATAAATTATTGCAATATGGAGTACATTTGTATTGACACATATCAAGGGAATAAGACACGCCCGGGAAAATACTGCACAAAGACCTTTACACATATCCCTTTAGCCCTCATAAGAATTACCAGTTCGACGTGGATCCGAATGCGGCTGCAATAGTCTTTTTTCTCTTAATATGCAGTTATTTTCATCGCTACCATCCAAACAATTATCATATCCATCGCAAATTAAGTCCTCGTGAATACAAGCACTGTCGTCATAACAATGAAACTCTGATGGTGAGCATTCAACACCTTTGGCGTAAAATAAAAATATTATTTATCAGCAACTATTCTATAGAATTACGTATACGTATACATAACTAAGAGACAACTTACAAAAACGATGATAGAAGAAAGAAGTTATACATGCTAGGGTTAAAATAGAACAGTTAAGCGGACTATTAGACCAAAAACCGACCACTACTTAATGGGCAAACACTGACCCTCTATGTGAAGGTTGATGTAATTGCTAGTTTGTCGTCCATAGCCGTCCCAAATGATACAAACATAGCGGCCACTGTCTGTTTTCTGAGCAAGTCTAATGAATAGAGATCCATCTGTCTTCTGAGTTACGGTGCGTGGTAGGGTTCTGCCATCTTTGTTCCATCTTATTTTCATTCCGGGCTGAGTGACATTGCAGCTCAGATGAACAGCGGCTCCAACGTGTGCGAATTGTTCGTTATCATGCGACTTCGACGGTGCACGATCGGCTTCTTCTATGATTTATCACATGCAATACCCTTAGCATTCAATGAAATTAAGCATTCAACTGAAAATCTTGTTATGGAATTTTATGATAAATATTCATTGCAAATAATTCGTTTACTTGATTAACGTTGGTGCTGTACAATGTGTAAAGCTCTAACATTGTTGTAATCGTGGACATTATATAATACACTTATTTTCTCTCATAGATTGAAAGGTTAGAGCATGGAATAGATGAATAATGGTGGTGTGCTGTGTGATTAAATAATTATTCTTCATCGATTTTGCACATGTTAATTGAACCTTGTACGAAATCTGACCCGAGACCCTTGTAACCTTATTAATCTGTTCCGTGGGTTAGAGATGTTTTTGAATGCATGGCTCCATTAAATCGTTTCAATCTAGGAGAATGATTGTGTTGCTACGTGCTTTTCGCTTTCAGGCAAACATCACAGAGTATAAAACTTACCGTTAACAATAACCTCAGCTATCGCAGTTGCATTAGCCAATCTGTTCATTGCAAAACATTCGTATTTTCCAGCATCCTCAACCTCAATTTGACGGAACAATAAGGTGGAATCACGGATCTCTACGCGGCTATAAAACACAAAAGATGTTTATTTTAATCATTTTTTTTATCCAAAACAAAGCGATTGAGAAATAAAGTATTAATAATAATAAGACGGTAAGAGAAGCAATCTAGCCATCCCTATATTGGTCCTAGCGTAATATTACTACTGTGTCTTTGCTCAGGATGTTCTTACACAAGAAGTACAAGCAAGTGTTAAAAAACGCGTATAATCTATGATTTAAAAGCATTTCCCTAAAGCCACCTTACCTTGAAGGTAACCGATCAACTGGTCTCCATGAAATGCTAATAATATCGTCTCCTTCAACGACACACTCGACTGTTGGTGATTGTCCTGGGTGTACTATTTGTGATGGAGGCCTCAAAGTGATCCTGGGAGCGGCCATCACTTGCAAACTTGTGTACACAGATTGCTGTACTTCGTTCGTACGTTGGTTTATCAATGTGCATTCGTATCTGCCAGAGTCTGCTTTTGATGTCTAAAAATTTAAATTTAATACGTTACTTATTTAGTTTTGATGTAAGGGTAAGACGTAGAATAGATCCTAGCACGTGTTATCAGTCGCGAATGTCAAAAAGCAAAACATTTTCGATACGGAATCTTACTTAGCCATAAGCATGAAATGGTGTTTTGATTGTTGCAAACGGGTTATATTAAATAAAGTATTTTCATAATTTATTGAAAATATAATAAGGTATATCATATGTTAATATTTTTTATCCATTATATAAAGTAATAGTGATAATCGATTTATGATTTCTGTCACAAATCCTTCTGTCATTAATAAAGTTTTTATTATTATTATATTATTATTATTATTATTTAATTTTAATATCTACAGCCCTGCGATTCTGTAACTCACTTTTATAATTTATATGATAAACAATAAACTCCCACCTTTTCAGAATTCCAAATCATAAAATGACTGCTTCACGACTGATTTCAGAGCGACCGCCGATGCGAAAACCGCTGTGTGAGTTCGAAAAGTGAGTTACAGAATCGCAGGGCAGTAATGTAGCATTAACATATTAATTAATTTATAACTTGAAATGTACTTTTTAAAAACTTTACGTGGTGCACAGATTCATCACATTAAACACTCTATTAAAACCCGTAGGACCTATTACTTAACGAAATCGACCATGATATTATACTTACGTTGTAAATGATAAGCTCGGAACCATATTGTCTAGCGTTGAATTGAAGTGGGCTTCTGTCAGCTCGTCCCCAAACAACTTGGAACTCCTTCGACGCATTGCACCTTCACAAAAATGTGTATTATGAGTTAGTTACGTGCATTTTTATTGCTATAAGAGTATATTTTGTCACCTTTATATTTTTATGAACTGATTTGGAAGTAAAAGTGAAACCATTCAAAGGAATTTTATTACGTAGAGGGTAGAAAGTATTACAATTTACAAGGAATATAAAATTTATTATCACGTACGCTGGATAAGGTGAACAATATGGAGATTATTTTAAAATAAAATATATAGATATTAATAAAAGTATTCTAGATCAATAAAACTTAAATCTAGTCTCTAGAACCGTCAAACCATTTTTCTCTATATGAAGTTTGACATTTTGGACAGCGTTCAAGAAGAGATGGTGACTAGATACGAATCAGAATATGGACCTAATAGTATTTTCAAATTTATATATTGAGTCATAAAACCTTCTTTAACTTGGCTTGACACAGAGCCGCCTGTTCATATGATAATTGGTATCTCAGAATAACTTTATAGCTAAAAAATCAACCATATGCCGTCACTACATGATGTTAGTTGTAAATCCAAACGGTCTTAGGGCTAGGTCACATAATCTAAGTATACTACTATTTTGTTACTTACCCAAGACGACTTTCTTGTCCTTCAATGGCTACCATATTACTCGGTGCGTTTTCATCAAAATCTGGTTGATACTCTGACCCAATGCTGTCTTCACCACTGCCTTCTACTAAAAAAAATATAACTTAAGTAAGAGGTCTACTAAAATAGTATGTTACATTACAATTAAACATAGCTCATAAACATAACTCTAAGAAGTTATAACAGTTTCGATATCGTTTATTACGGTATAGTCAATGAAAGAAAACAAAGACCTCTACTTTCGCTTGATATAAGTATGTATTAATCTTACATCATAAATAATAGTTATTCTATAGATTATTAGAAAATATTTTGTTATCACATCTGTCTATGTAAACACCTGATCATCAGTGGCGTAACTATACCATCTGGGGCCCGTGGCAATTTTTTTTGATGGGCCCTATCAGTAAAAATCGTCACGTTGTACTTAGTTTAATTTTAGTAAAATTTGAGATTTTCAGCGTACTCAATTACAAGTTGTATATGTCCCACTAATGGCCATAGGCCCCCTCTCTTAGGCGAGAGGATATGGTCTGTACGCTAGCCCAATGCCAAGACTTCACATTCATCCAGAGAACATAATATCTCTTGGGCGGGGGCCATCTTGGGTCGGGGGCCCGTGGCATTATGCCAGCCCTGCCACCCTATTGTTACGCCACTGCTGATCATGCAGTAACTCATTCTTGTCAAAACTCGATTAGGCAATTTAGGTATTGTGAACATAATTATTTTTATTTTTAATATGATATCTCCAATTAACTTTGACTTGTGTTAGAGTGTATGAATATTTAAAATTGGATCATTTTCTGCTCTCTCGAGTCATGCATGTATAAAAACGTAATTTTTCATTACTGAGATACTTACCATCATTCCCAAAGCCTCCGTCACCCCTTTCAACTCGAATAGCGAACTGTTCTTCGACAGTACCAGCAGCAGAGGTAGCAATACATGTGTAGTCACCCTCATGCCTTTCATTCACATAGGATATTGACAACACAGCGATTCTAGGTGATGGAGACACGAATTCACGATCAGCTGAAAAGTGTTTATTATTTAAAGTTACGTGATATCGTATATATGTAATTTTAAATATATTAAGAGTAGATAGTACTCCCCCTTCCTAGACAATGTTCCACATTCACATGACATCACACAATTATTCCGATGTGATTTTTAATTTTCAAGAAATTAGTGGACAGACATTACGAAGTAAGCTACATATCTAAGAGTTGAAGCTTAAATAAATCATCATATTCTAACAATATCAGATGCATACAAGTCAAACTATTAACCTTTTGTTGTCGGCAAAAAATAACAGCTTGTGGATTATTTTCTGAATTAGCTTTTCAGTCACAAAATCCAGAAATCATCCTTGCAAAAATTTAAATTATGTTACTTACATAATTTAATAGACACCATTGGCTCCGGGTATCCATCTGCCCTACATTCGACATCAACCTTGTCTCCCTTTATCACTTGAATAAAATTGCTTGGAGTGATAGTTATTTCCGGTGGAGACCTAACTTTTACAGTTGCGCTCGCGCTTGTTGATCCAGCTTCGTTGGTTGCTGTACATGTGTAGGTGCCTTCGTCATTGACTTCTACTGTTTGGAAACTGAAAAAAATACCGTCACATTTTTAATGATTATACTTTTAATATCGTTTGAACATCTCCCGCAAAAACTACAATAATTAATCGCTGAGGTCAAAACACTTGAAGCAAGTTTACAATTCGGCACGTATGAATATATTTATCTAAAATCCTCAAATTTAATTTAATACCTACTTGAAGGTATTTGTTCGTATTCGTCTACGTTTGATGAATGCTTATAATTTCTAACTTTTGTTGATGTTTAAAATTACCTTAGAACATTGTTATTCTGTTGAATTTCTACGTGCGGTGACAACTGTCCTCTATTCTTGTCCCAAGTTATAACTGGTGAAGGAATGCCACCGGTAACACGGCAGTGTATTTGAAATTGGTTGCCTAATGTAACGTAGTTTTCTCCTTGTGGATATATTTCTAAACGTGGAGCCTCGCGTTCTAGAAACGTTAGAATAGAGAAGTTAGTGTTACATTATAACATTACGTCCTAAATTATTATTCAAAATACAATTTGGGAATTAACATTGTAAGAGAAATAGAACAAAAAAGGCTGATAAGCTTCAAAGTGACTTTTTTAGAAACTAACTGACCAATATCAAAGATTTTTAACACGGGGTTTTAAAAATTGGTGGAACAATAAAACAAGACATACTTTCAATCTCCACATAGACATAAGTGCTGATAATAGGCACTCCCTCCACTGATCCCTCACAAAGGTAGTAACCCTGGTCGCTGTCTTGGGCGTTACTTATTATAAGAGTATTCTCGCGTTGGCTGGTACCAAGACCAAATGAATCTTGATGCTGTTGAGAAATTGTCTTATTTATTAATTTTGGCTAAGTAAATTATATGCAAAAAATATTACACTAGAGTATTTTCATCAAAAAGCAGGTTGAGTCAGTTTCGATTTTTGTAAAAGCATTAACCGTAATAAAGAAATTAAAATACATTTCATAAACTCGTGAAACTTTATGTATATGTGCAACCTATTTTCACACATGTCACGCACTTTTCTAACTAACCTTAGTCCATTTAATAAGTGGTACTGGATATCCTTGGGGAGTGCATTCTATTGTTCCGCTCCCACCAGTTGGAATTCTGAGATGGTCGACAGAGAGGGTGATATTTGATGTTTCTACGGGCGGACCTTGCGGTCTTACTTCAAGAGTAATTAAGGTTGGATTAACACCAAAGGCTGACGTTTGGCAGATGTAAACTCCAGAGTTTTCGAGTCGAGCATAATCAATGTACAAAACACCACTATCGGAGCGTACGTTTGGTAAGAAATCAGTACCGTCTTGTCTGAAAATGAAAAATTTGGAACGTTAATATTTAATAGGAATGAAGATAATTATATTTTTGACCGAGAGTACTAAATTATTAAGGAGGATTCTATAAAATTGTAAATAAGACAACAGCGAAAATGAATGACGCTGAGATGGTGATGAGATTAATAATTTAATTTTAAAGTAAATAAAACAGATGTAAAACACTATTCGGAAATACCATACCTGACCCAATTAATGGCTCCAGCTGGCACATTAGTAGTTCCAGTGCACACGACTGTAATGCTTCTACCCTCATCGACAGTCGGAGTTTGAGTAGACACAGTCAATTCTTGATAAGATGGCCGTGAAGGTCTTTGGCGGATTGTCACAACTGCTGTTCTGTCCCTGGTTCCAGCTGCGTTTGATGCGATACACCTGAAACACATTTTTTTGATTATTTGGTTTAGAACTTCATGGATAAATTTTGATTTCGCCTTTGCTGTAACGGGTAATGCGATAATGACGTATTTATACATATTAAACAACAAATTTTCAAAATCAATTCCGTAGTTTTTGAGTCTCTTCGTTACTATCATACTAATCTTTCCTGTTACTTGTAGTAGTCTAAAGCTCATAAACGCTCAGTAATCAGAATTTTATATTTCTTACAGATTTTACTTAATTTTTTACTAGTAATATTTGTTAGACTCGAGGACAACGAACGACCGAACTCTAAGTCTGAATCCCGGTCAGATCAATTCGGGAGGCATATTCATTCTAAGTCAAAAGTCAGTGAAAAAGTGAATACATCGGGTATTTAATTTGGTTTAAGACATAGTTAAATATAGTTACCGTAAAAATGAGTACGAAATTAAAATTATTACCTGTATTCGCCTGAATCGTCCTGTCTTGCATTTTCAATAACCAATAAAGCGTCATATCTTTGAGTTGTTCGAGGTAGTGGCCGGTTGTATGCTCTCTGCCATGTGATTCTTGGTGCAGGGTTGCCAGTTGTGGAACAAGTTAGTTCGATCCTGTCACCTTCGTAGTATTCCGCTATTGGCGGGCTGATAGATACAGTTGGTAGTCTCATATCATTGCCTGTAAATAATTATATATATATAATAAAATAAAACACGTTGTTTGTAGAAAAGCAAACTTTGGATAATCTATTTTAACTGCTGATTTTTGCTATGAAAAAAAACAATATAATTAACAGAACAGTCACGAAACACACAAATTAATTTTTCATTCGTTAAAAAGCTCCGACTGACCTCTCGCATAAAACACAAGTTCCGGTACAACTATTCCAAATGAGGCATGGCAAAAACGGTTATCAGAAATATTCAAACCCAAATACAACACATATTTAAACAAATAATGCTTATTTTACCTGGTACTTTGAGTGTCGCGAAAGCTTGGTTCGTGGAAACTCCATCGCTCGTTTGACATATATACTTTCCACTGTCGGAGACTTGCAGGTTGGTTATACGAAGCATTCCGGAGTCTTGATCGAATTGCGTCCTGTCCTGTGGTAGATCCCCGTCAGACTTATACCAGTTAACAATTAGTGGGCCTCGGACATTGATGCTTTGGGCCTGACATGTGAAATTAACTGTACTTCCCACTTCCTCTATTTTAATAGTTGGACTTGTAATGGTCACTGTTACAGTGCTTTGAGGTGGAACTGGTCTTGTTGTCTGATCAACGCTGGGCTCACCACCTGGAAGTATTAATACTAGTTAAGCGAAATTTGAGATAATATTTTTAAGAGTTGTTTTACAATAATTTACATCTATCAACGGAAAGAAAATATCATTGAACGTGTCGAATAAATATTAAAATACCTGAACTTGAGTAACAAAAGCACGAATAAACAATATAAGTGTAGACTACACTTGAAGTAGACATAAAAAGACATTTCAACATTAGTTATCATGATGATTATGAGTTATTATTCATCGATGAACAGAGTATAAGCGTGTGGAACAAAACAGACATGGCACTTTCTGTCTACCTTTCTCTGGTAGAGTAGTTGTTAAAACCCCAAGAGTGAAACCGCCTTTAGTAAAAGTTCGGCATTCGTATATGTCTCCTTCTAACATAGTATTCCACGTAGTGCGTACGCTATGCTCTCCCCGCCAACCATCGTTGTAAAGCTTTGATTCGTTATATAACTTTTCTGGTTTTATTTCTATTCCAGCTCGGAAGAATTTTATTGTTAGAGGCTCGGGAGCTCGGTATTTGCACGTTAATATTACTTCGACAAATATGGAGTTATGGTAGTCTTCATGTATTTTCGGATGAAGTTCCATGATAACGCCTATATTAAATGTATAAAATAAGGATATTGTAAACTTTGCGACAACACTTCACTTGAACTTATAGTAGAATGTCAAAATATCAAGCTTGACGAAAATTAAAATTGTAAATCGTGGAAACTTAGTTTCTTGATAATTTTGAGCTTAAAATTTTTGGACGCTTAAACTTCTCTCAACTTATAATTGGTCAAAAACTAAATTCTTCTTACTAAACCATAATTGGTATTTGGTAATTTTGAATATTCTAATAGACAAAAATTATCTTACCGACGGTCGAGCAATCTGGTCCTATGTAGGGCGGACGGCAGTTGCAGATGAGTTCGTCGTAGCTATTCAGCTGACAGTCGTGCCCATTGCAATTGCATTGCTTGCACTGGCCATTCTGATCCTTGTAATATCCAGCATTACATATTTCACAACTTGTTCCTGAGTACCCTTCCGGACAAATACAAATCTAAAAGAAAAAAAAAATCATAACATAACTATTTTATAGTCAAAAACCACCAACAAATACCTCGAGGTATCTGTAGATGAACTAATCTGAATTACCCTAGAAAGGGATTCTAAGACTGAAAACAGGAATACAATAGGTATCCAAAGTGTATGCTTCAAATGTGATGTTATGAAAATCCAATATAACTATCATTAAAGAAAGTGTCTTCTAAGATTCTTTAAGAACTGAATTGATGAAAATTCTATAAAACAAGCTCTCTACGATATCATTTTTTTAAATAATAATTGCGATTCCAAAACTTAGGTTTTTTTAACAGCTTGATTTACTGAATCTAATAAATTGAATTATTCAATAAAAAGGAGGTTTGAAACTTGCCTCAACACTCTTAGCAACAGGGGAAGATGAGTCGGAGAGCTCTGATGCGGTATCCATAGACACGTCAGCAATTGCCGTAGACAAGAGTTCATCAGATAGCGTCGCCCTGACCAGTACACGGCGAAGGTTTTTCAAGACACTCATGAAGTCCCGACGGCTCGCTGGTGTTGGTGTGTTCAGAATGAACCAGCCACTTTCCTGAAGAGGCACTTGGTAACTCTGAAGAAAGGTTGTATAAGATTAGTTTTTATTCAGCCTTATTGTAGTTGTGTTTAAATATACCAATAATGAAATTATACATTTAAGGTATATCAAATAACAATGATGTTATATTTTTTATAATAAAATTAAACCACTATTTCGAGTCCTTAAGAAAAACATTTAATTTATATGTTGTCTTGCGGAAACCAAAGATAATAGTAGGAATTGAACAATACATTCATAGTAAATATTTCAATGCGAGTGATGCTTACCAATGATTCACCAGATCTAATAGGTGTTGGGTTTGACCAGTATATAGAGATCTCATCACCAATGAAGATGACGTCATTTCCAGGTACAGATTCTTCAGCATATCCGCCAGTTTGGAACTTCTGCGTTAGTGACAATGTACCGCCGTATGAGAGAACTCGGTTACCTTCAACAAACAATAATTATTAATTTATACTTCAACAATTAAAACATTGCGTATATTTTAAGCAGAATACGGCATGTTTTGAAAAAATATATAAGGTAATCTATCGAAATATGTTAAATAAAATCTCAAATCTAGTTTTAAGACCTGACAGTTAGACTATCTTGAAAATAAAGCATTGTTTTTGATATATTATACAATATAAAATGCCTTATTTCTTAGAAGCATTTACTTTCAGACAACCTGTTATTACTACTGTTTTAACTACTGATTTTTTACACTTTGCACATATTATTGTTAATTAAAACTTTGCTCTAGAATCATTATTGATTTATGAGAACTAATTTAAAATTTATTGCGCAGGTTAAAAGTTATACGCATATAGATGGCGGAAAGAACAGTAAGATTCAACAAACTTTATAGTAAAGGATTAAGAAAAATAATATTACCCGGGAAGACCGGCAAAGACCAGTATAATTCTTCTTGAGGAGGAGATGAGAACATGTACATGAGTTCACTTTCATCGGGGGCAGGTACGAATTGATCGTTGATAACCAATTGTCCATTCAAGTCAGTAAGCGTGTAACCTCCGTAGTTCTCACCAAATATAGGAGCCGCGATTGGTATTCTTGCGTAGTGACTTGCCTGTAGGAAAAAAATTTAGTAAAAAGTAATAAATAGATTGAAGCAAAACTTACTATTATATTACTAACCCCTGAATTTTTAACCATAAGAAAAGCCCGGTTCAGTCATTTTAAGTAAATATGCATATATTTAAGATGTGAGAACACTTTTAAATCAAAATACTTGTATCAGGGTTCCCTGCCCCTCCATAACAAAGTTACTATATATATTTAGAATGTTTTTAAACAGCATACGCGACGCGTATCACGCGTGAGTATACGGGTGCATGTGAGTGAATGCGTGAGTATAATGTGTATGAAAGGAACGACACATTAAGTATCAGTAGGAGACCTAGCACCACCGATTATATTATACCGCCACTATGGCATCAAGAATACCGCACTGAATCTTCTGACTTCCTATTTACACGGAAGAACTCAGAAGGTTGAAGTGAATGGTAAGAGGTCCTCTGGGTCGGCAGTAGATATGGGGGTACCACAGGGCTCAATTCTTGGCCCTTTCCTCTTTCTTGTTTATATAAATGATCTACCTTTCATGGTAGAGAGAAAACATCAGATAGTTTTGTTTGATGATGACTCCTCCTTGATTTTTAAAATCAAACGACAAATAACAAATTTTGACGATGTGAACAATGCTCTGTCTTCGATTGTCCATTGGTTTAGTATGAATAACCTTCTACTTAATGCAAAAAAGACAAAATGCATTAAATTTTGTGCAAAAAATGCAAGGGTTATGGATACTAGACCAATTATAAACGGTGAGGAATTGAATCTGGATGAAACAACTGTATTTCTCGGAATCACCATGGATTCAAAACTTCAGTGGTCCCCTCATATTAACGGATTGGCGAAGAGACTTAGTTCTGCAGCCTACGCGGTTAAAAAAATTCGCTCACTAACTGATGTCGATACAGCTAGACTTGTTTATTTTAGTTACTTTCATAGCTTAATGACTTATGGCTTATTATTATGGGGTCATGCTGCTGATGTCGAAACTATTTTCATCCTGCAGAAGAGGGCTATTCGTGCAATCTATAATTTAAAATGTAGGGAATCTCTTAGAGATAAATTCAAGGAAATTAATATACTTACCTTTCCCTCGCAATATATTTATGAAAATATTATGTATGTATACAAAAATAGTGATAAGTTTACTAGAATAGAACATACGCACAATGTTAATACACGGAACAAACGCAGGCTGCAATTTCCCCGTACTAGACTATCTAAAGTTAGTAATTCTTTTTTGGGGAAAGGGATACTCTTCTTTAATAAAATCCCAGAGGCTCTTTTATCACTGCCTTTCAATAAATTTAAGAAATGTATTTAAGAAAAGCTGTGTAAAAAGGCTTACTATAAAGTCAACGATTATCTAGTTGATAAAAGGGCCTGGGACTAGTGCTAGACAGGCTACTTCTAATCAATTTGCGATATTTGTTTTAAATAAGTGTTGTTTGATGATTTGCTGTTTTAAAAGAGTACCGAGAGTTTTTTACGCCGGCTTTTTCTCTCGGCCTACACCCTCTGTCTTCTTTGCCGATGAGTAGGGATGCCTTCAAATTTAATGACGTGGAATAAGTGATACATGTATCTTATGTTCCATAATAAACATATTTTATTTTTTATTTTATTTTTTTATATTAAAGTGTCATTTCGATCTTGTTTTATCTTAGTTTAGCCTTTTTCATTTTCTTTTCAAAAAATCATATGACATATTTATAATATCAATACATACCTCGTGACAGTTGTTGGTGACTCCAGAGCAATAACATGACAAGCAACCGAGTGGATTAGCAGCATCGAGTCCAAACGTGCCCACCCTGCAACGACCGCATGTATCGCCCTCTACATTTTGCTTGCACGTACAATATCCAGACCCATCACAGGGAATTTCTTCTCCGCGGGGATCGCAACTAGAGAAAAAATTATATTATACAAAGTTTTGTACCCAATAATGCGATGAATTCAATGTTTGAATTTTGTTGTTGAAATAAAACACAAATTTAGAAAAACAATATCAGGTAATACTTATTTTATAATTAAATTAATAGATACCTCTATAGCCTTATAAGAGACAAAACATTAAAATGATATTAGGCTCTTAACTTCTGTGAAAATGTAGTCAATAACTGACTGTTTTTAAAAACCCTTTGCTCAATACTTACTTGCATGGAGCTGGCGTGTTAGAACTACGGAGAACACAGTTATTGTAAATATCCCTTTCATATCCTTCCTTACAGTCCTCACAGTTGGCTCCAGCGGTGTTATCGGCACAATCCTATAGGTATACCATCATTTAAATCTTGCAAACATTGAACTGAGACTATACGTATTGCACGTCAAATATTTGTTAAATTAATTTCATCACTTGCTTTAAATAGTTTATAACAATTAAAAAACTTGTATTGTAACGATTTAAAATTAAGAGCAACCACGACGCAAGGAACGAAGAATCATATAGCCACTTCTTCCTTGCGTCTTTATTTAACTTTGAAAAAAAAAAACATAAACCCTCGCAAACATTCAAAATTAAAACCGTATATGTACTAATGTTTACTATATATATCGATTTATGTTCATAATTACGGTTGTTGTTGTTCATAAGAATTTGAGAGTTAAAGTTCATCAGAATATTAATAAAACTAAAATTAAAAAAATAAATTCTTATCAAATAAAAACAAAATTTAAAAAAAGTCCTAAATAATACTTACGTAACAAACGCCCGATTCCGGGTGGCACATGCTTGAGTGTCCATTGCATTCACACGGTCCACAATGCTCCAAATATAAGCCACTTGATATTCTGTAATTCAGGAATTTTATATAAAAATAAATACAAGATGAATATTTTTTTATGTTTTTTAAAGAGATTTATGCATAAAAGAATTGGTACAAATTGTGGTCTACATTCCAGTAGCAATACTGGAATGTATTCTGACGATGGAATGATAAAGTTATTTTCATTAGGACATATGCCTGCTCTATTCTTATACTTAATCAAAATCTCCGCACTAATACGTTTTTAAACCCCAATTGGCATACTACGTATAATTCCTAACATGTTAATTATATAACTTTAATACCTCAGATACTTTAGCCTTACGGTTATTTCTATATTAATCATGTCTTCATAATCAAACCACAAGTATAATAACTTAGCCAACAGGGGTCGAGGATTTAGTACTAACCTAGTGTATCCAGGAGCACAGTCTTCACAAGATGTTCCCATGTAGCCTCCAGGACAAACACATTGTTCGACATGTTGGGCCAATGGCCCATCTCCACCAGACTCCGCTGTTTCAATGCTCGCACTAACAACGGATGCTACCTCAGTATTGGTTGTGTATGTGGCTTTGATCAAAATCGTCTTAACGTCTGCTAAAGCTAAAAGGAAGTGCTCCCGCGATACTTCTTTACCATCAGGCCTGAAAATGTGTAATTGAAAAAAATAAAAAAAATATTGATTGCTAGTTCTTTACATATGCAAATAGTTATTTTTATCCTTGAAAATACTACGTGTAGATTTTTTCATATATATTTTTTTTCTATTCCCACGCTGCTAAATAATCAAACTGAAACTATATAGCACTATTTTCAGTATTTAAAAGAGATTTATACAAATTTAATCAGTCTATCATAATCATCATCATCAGAATGTAAACAATTTAAAAAAAAGCGACGAATGCGTAACAGTTAAATTCAGTAAATAGTATACACTGGGAGTGAGAATGTAAAACGGAATACGAAACCATTGTGCACTCCGTTTGATTATGATTGCTCAGAACATGAACATGTTCGTTTGTTCAATCAGAAAACGATCGCAAATTTGCGTCCTAGGTTTTACATTCTTACCCTCTTGATTTACAAGGATGAACAAGGATTGTTTATTTAAGAAGTAACTTAAACTAAAACTAATTAACAGAAGTTTATAAAAGTTCTCTAGCATTATCTATTTTACATGAGCCTCGCATACCTTTGCCATCCTTTTTCCAGGAGTTGTAGACTGGCGTTCAAGTATCCGTCACCATTCGGCGCAAAGCTTCCAAAGTAGTTGAAAGTCAGACTATTGTCCTGCAATTTGTAGAAAATCGGACGTTAATTTCTATTAAAAATAATTTATATTGTAAAGAAAATTGTTTGAGAAAAGGGCCAAGGGGATATTATATTATCTTTTTATTGAAATATGGGCAATCGAAAGAGCACAATATCGACATAGTAGAAGTTTATCTTTAGATTTAATTATGTTTCATATTGAATTACAAATATTTGAAAAGGAACAAACAAACGAGATTGTCGACGAGACTGATGCAATTTAATCCATAAAACATTTTTGTTTTAGCAATAGATTTAAAAAAAAACATATTTACCTTACTAAAATAGGTAAAAAGTATAAAATAAAAGATATAGTATTGTCTTTGATTAACATAACTTTTACACATTTAAAGAAAAACGCTTTTTACCGGATTAAAGTTATGTTTATTATTATAAATTTACAACTATTTGACATAATTTTAAATTTCACGGTGTCACCGTGACCACGCACGCTGTAAAGCACGCGAAACGTCGAATAAATTTAAAATATGTCAAATAGTTGTAAATTTATAATAATAAACATAACTTTAATCCGGTAAAAAGCGTTTTTCTTTAAATAAGAGATAGTTTTGACAAAAGAGCAGAGTTGGCTTAGTGGCTTCAGCGTGCGACTCTCGTCCCTGTGTTCGATCCCCGGCACTGCACCAATATACCTTCTTTCTATGTGCGCATTAAACATTCGCTCGAATGGTGAATGAAAACACCGGAAGAAACAGGCACAGGGGGGCTGATCACCTACTTGACTATTAGATTGAGAAATGATCAAAAAACAGATACAGAAATCAAAGACCTAAAGAGGTTGTAGCGCCACTCATTTAATTTATGACCAATGACTTACACTTATAAGCTGAACATCAGCAGCGTTGTTTCTCGATCCTTGGCCTCCAGGAGTAGGCACGTGCCGCAGTTCGTAATTCAAAAATCCACCGTAGGAAGTAACTTTATCTCCCGCAAAACTGAAATACACAAGTAGTGTTCAATTTAAGATAGGTGCATGCCATTATCTATGTGTGACAGTTTAAATCTATTTTTAAAAAGACAGTCAAATGAATGTCAGTAAAAAATTGTTTTACCTCGGCGGTAGACTCCAATAGTAAATAGATGGCTGCGTTCTATCAAAGCTGCTTAGACTCATTTCGCCTCTGAACAACTCCGGTTGGGCATCGGTCTCAATTGGTGCATTGTACCTAACTGTACCTCCGGTACCGAAGGGAGCACTCTTGTACAATTTTACTTGTCCTACTATTTGTGGTACGTTGAAACGAACAATAGTGGTTTTCCTGCGTAAATTGCTGCTCATACACTGTTGGGATACACCCGAACAGAAACATGAGGCGCATCCATCTCTGCAAGAAATGATAAACAATATCAAAAATAGTCAGATATAAGACACATGTAGGTGTTCAGCCTACCAGCCAGATTTAAAAGCCTTAAATTATTTTTTTCTTGGACGAAATAAACGAGGGTCAACGTGTGTGTTATAAACACTTATTATTATAAGAATTAGTGCTATATTTTAACAAAGATCTATTAAAATAATTGTATTCTTTGCACATAAAAACAATCCGATAAAATAATTGATGGGGTATGGTACGTACCTGAAATCGTGAGAAAGGAAGAATGTTCCAGCTTTACATTGATCACAGTATCTTCCTTGAACGTTGTCTTTGCAAACACATTCATCTGGTAAGCGAACTTGAGCAGTACCCAGACCATTGCAGTTATCTGACGGTCTTGGTTTGCAAGAGTCACCAGGGATCAGAGGATTTCCGAAATAGTTAGGAGCACAGCGGCTGCAGTCATTTCCTTCGTAGCTAAAAGGATAATTGCAAATTTAAAAAATCACTTTTTTGGGAAGTTATGCAAAAACATACATATTTTTATTTATAGCCAAGATCTTGAACAGATCTTTGCGTATCGTAAATTAATAAAGCTAGAAATACCAACACTGTACATACATTGTAAATATATGTGTTCCTTGGGTAATTCTCAGAGCCAAAAGATATTGAAAAGGCATGTTGTTTAATGTTCTTCTAAATCATAACGCAAGAGTCGTTAAAATTATTTGGTTTATTTTTCCTTGAGATTATATTTTCATTTCACTTAACTGAATGACTCATTTTTGGTTCAGTTCCAGACATCAAGTTAGTTCTATATAACATATATTTAAATACTATTGGCTTACCCTGGATTGCAGTCGCAAATAACAATTCCACTGGGTCCGAGTGAACATGTTCTAGCGAACTGGTTATCTCTATTAGTAAGAGGGCAGGGGCAAGGTCTGCAGTCTCCACCACTGTTAGGGTCTCCATAAGTTCCAGGAGGACAAGCGCGCTTGGGGACACACGATCCCAACCACGGACCATTTCTCTCTCGCGCGAAGCCTGATGCACATTTCTAGGGAAAAATAAATATATATGATATAAAACATATGGTACGCTAAACCTTTTAAGTGATTGTTAAAGTGTAAGAAATAAATTAATATTTCACATTAATTAGATGTGTATGTACTACGCGTAGAATATAGATTTTTTTTAAATTTTGTACCTGACAGGAGAGGCCTTCATATCCTGGAGGACAGCTACATTCTTCGACCAAACTTGCAGAGCCGAGACCAACATTGATGTGCTGAGCAGATTCCATAGTAAAATCAGTTATGTTTACGCCAGCGTTGTTTAAGTCAGCGCGGACTAAGATCATTTCTATGTCATCCAACCTTCAAGAAAAAATATTACTAACTAACTTGTCAGGTCATTTAAACTTTTTTTTGCCTGGTACCTATTTTAAATCTTTTAATTTTTGTATATCATTAATTGGAATACTTTATATTCAAGAAATTTTATCAGACATAATACCGATGTAAAGTGGTTTAAGCAGTATCAGTTTTGCAGTGAAATTAATACTGAAAAAGGTCATCAGCTAATTATAATGATGTATATATGAAGAACGATTGTAAAATACGTACGCCATCATAATGTCCTCTCTAGTGACTGCAATCAAACCGCGAGGGCTTGGTTTCATCCAGTTATCCGGAGTCAGGCGGGCGTCAACCACCAAGTCCCTTCCACGATCTCCCCGAAATTGATGTACAAGGCTTTGATATTTTCCCTGTTATAAGAATCCTCAGTTTTAGTTTATAAGCATTAGACATATTCTAAGACAGACAAAAAAAATATTAAGAAATATTTTGATTACTCAACGTCAAATTTGCATATATTCTATTGTAATTCAAGTGTATTAATTAAGTTTTTATGAACCGATTTAATTTAAACAAAGGTTTATAATTAATATTTTCGATCGATTGAGCAAAATTTTTTATTTAGCAAAACTAGCGCTTTCCATCCCAAATTCAATTCAAAGATAGATTAAAGATATCACGAATATAAGAATGTATATGAAATGTTACTCGCTGTCCCGAGCACATATTGCCATATTTATGCCAATTGAATTGGAAAAATCAAACCAATAAAAAATGCATTGAAATTTTTTGTGGATTCTGCTTTCTATTTACTATGTTGAAAATAGGTGAAAATCATGTACGTACTATTATAACGACGTCAGGTACAATGTCATTATAGCCATAAGGTTGAGGGTTGTGTGGCGACAATCTATATTTGATATGGCCACCGTAGGAAGTGAGTTGGTTCCCATTGTAGCTTTCTGGTAGGGTCAAGTAGGGATGGGACCCCGAAGTTCTTGACCCGGCAGGGCTGTAGTCTGCTAATTTGGTTACCTACAAAAATAATCGTTAGTTGCATCTCGAAGGTCAAGTGGTTTATTTTAGAAATTTCATGCTACTTTAATATAAACATTTTCATCAGCGTTATTTAAAACACAGTGAAATAATTTTAGAATAACCTATAAAACTAACCGTTGCTCCATTCCTTAGTGGTTGGTAGTAATACTGATTGTTGATCGTCTGTTGTTTGTCAATCTGTACATCACCGTTGTAGGACTGTCTCACGCCAATAAGCCTAGTACCACCTTCACCGAGCGGAGTTGGCATATTGTATGTGAAGAGATCTGCGCTCTTGCAAGTTGTTGATTCTCCGAAACAGAAGCATCGGATGCATTCGTTTTGAGAGCGAGCCTCGCTGCAAGTTATATTATGTAATTAATTTAAAATAAGCTTTCACAATAATATTTACAGTTATTTTCAGGATTAACTGGATTTAACATAACCTATTATATTTACTAAAATATTATAACACTATACAATAAAAGTAGTCTAATTATACACGAAATCTCATACCTATTGAAATATCCGGCTGGACATAGAGCTTCAGTTCTATTAACGTACACAATAGCATCTGGTATAGCAAATACCGTCCCACTATTGTTGATAGCTTCACAAGAGTATGCGCCACTGTCTTCGGGCTATAAAATTAACAATCATTTAGTGCTAATATTTTTACGGCAACACCTCGATTTTTTTTAACGTTTACAATCAAGAGAGCGTGAGTCTATTGTGCAGTGTTGGCCTAGTGGCTTCAGCGTGCGACTCTCATCACATTGTGAGGTCGTAGGTGCGATCCCCGGCTGTGCACCAATAGACTTTCTTTCTATGTATCGCATTAACATTTAAAAGAAAACATCGTGAGCAATTTTGCTTTAGATCCAAAAAGTCGCCGTCGTTTGACAAATCATCATGATACAGATACAGAAATCTGAGGCACCTAAAAAGGTTGGTTCTTTTTTATACAATAAAGAGGAGCGTATAGATTTGTACGTACGGGATTTTGATTTTCAACGAAACAGTTATGGTTCCTGGCTGTTATGCACAGTAAACTGATTGCCTTCTTGCCTATGTTCTTTGGGATTTCACGTGACTTACTACTACTATAGTTTATCATAAAAAACTCCACTGTAATGGTGTTTATCAAAGTTTACCTGCATGTTTGAACATGTGAGTCTACCAATTCCTTTTTCACTGGTGGATGTACACTTTTGTGGCACATGGCCCCAGTTCAACCTCCAGGATATAAGAGGCGTAGGCACGCCAACGGCTTCGCAAACAAGCGTTAAGGTGTCACCGGGATTCAGTCTTACATTTGATGGTGCAGGTGGTCGAGTGACGTGAACGGGAGCTGAATTAAAAAAAAGTTAAGTATGGAACACTTTCCGGCTACGCATCATTGTAGGTATGTTAGAAAATACATTACAACTTATAAAATAAGGTGATTGTTATCTTAAAATGTAGTACATAATACATTTTTGCATCTTTTTTTATTCAATGGCTACTGAATAAATTGAAAATAAATACGTACCGCATCCTGTCTCATCGGATTTATCAATACAATCACTCTGTCCATCACAATGAAAGCTTCTCGGAATACATTGGTCATTGCTAGTACACGCGAATTCTACTCGACTACAGTTTTGGTGAGGATCGACAGTGGGACAGTTGATTTCATCCGAACCATCACCACAGTCATCGTCAGAGTCGCAGAACCAAGTTTTTAACACACACTTGTGATTCGCGCACTGGTACTCGTTTGGTTGACATAGTCCGTTTTGACCACAAGTGTCTTCATCTGATCCGTCATCGCAGTCGATTTTACGGTCACAGACAGCTGTCTTTGGTATACACTGTCCATTACCACACGTTGCTTCGTCAAACTGACATGTAATGAATGGAGGTCGGATAGTAGCAGCTAAAACAATAAATCAATTATACACTAGGCACTGTAATAGATTTTTTTATTTATTTACACTTCGTTAGCTTATACAAAAACATAGATATAAAAAAGCAGATTACATCAGTTATTAGGCAACAGGCCGCCTTATAGCTAACAAACGATTTCTTCCAGGCAACCCTAATAAGGAACAATAAAAAAAGAAACACCTACAGAGGGTAAAGTACAAGAAGTGCATAAATAATTAACGAAAGCCCAAACTCAAAATGACATATAACACTACCTATAACTAAAATAAAGTAAAATCTAAACAAATAAATAAACAATAATATGTAAAAACAAAATGTAAAATCTAATCCAATATTGATATAATTAGAAGAAAACCACATAATACTTACAAGGTCTTTCGACGACAAGAGTAACCCTCACTTCGGAACCAGGAGAGCCCAAATATCTAGGCGCTTGACACATGTAGATACCGCTATCGCCCATCTGTAAATTTTCATTACGTTTGTAAATATTTCTAATGAAGAAAATCCTCTTCGAAAAACCTATGTTTAAGATGTAATCGCCGTAAAAAATAATAACTATTATTTTCCAGGTTTCTGCAGGTTCTGCTTATAAGAACTCTTCGAGTATTTTCAATCAGTGCCATTATCTCTAATAGTAGATTAAGTATTAGTGTACATATTATTACACAGGTGTTAGGGACGTTGTTATCAAAGATGTCACCAATTAATTCATAACTCAACTACTACGTACTAAGCTCCTCATTAGTTACCGTACTTTTTGTCACATAATAAAAACCAGTCATCATACACCAACAACGGGGCAATGAAAGGCATATGACTTAAATAATCATTAACTTTTAATTACGATTCTGAGTATGACACACACTCTCTGTGTATCGGCTATCCCATTCTAAATAAATTATTAAATAATAATTAATTAATAATTATAATGTTTCAAGAACTATTACTTACCGTCACGTGGTTCATTTCAAGACGACCGTTTCTGTCCACCGAACCGGGTTTGAGGGATCTGCCTCCTTCCCTAACCCATCTCACTGGAGCTCTGATGGGACCTTCGTCTCGGCAAGAGAAAACCACATCACCACCTAGAATGAGCTAATAAGTTAAATAGAGAACTACATCTTGCGTGCTCCCAGACCCGATGCATCATTCAATGAATATGTAGTATGCACTTTATACAATTCCTAAAATTTCTGAATCATAAGTTTCGTATTAAGGTTATTTTTATCAAAACGTGTAAATGTAGATATTATTTTTTGTTGTTATGTTTGTAATGTGTTTGTGTAAATATGTAACCAGAATCATGCTCATATTAGAATAAGTGATATTAAAAACCCAAATAAATCTGTAAAACTAGCATCCGTGTTAAATATGTCATTGTTCTTGTCTTGTCCAATAAATGCGTAGAAATCACAACATATATCTATTCCAAGACGTAATTCAAACTTACATCAAGTCTCATGTATTTCGGTTTTCTGTAATGATTTTGAACAATGCTCAAGTTTGATTGTGTCTTGAGATACACATTGGAATGCAGGTCTTAAATGTTGTAATTTTGAAACCATAATACCATTTATTTGCGAGTTATGAAGTGGTGAATTAGGTATAACTTGCCTTCCAGCCATAATGTTAGACTGAAGAGTCTGTGTGGAAAGAGAACCTCTACCTCAAATCCTACGTTGAGATTTGAAGTCGCAGCAATAATACGGTAACTTATTTTTATCTTGACAACACTTACATTGTCATAGTTCGAAATTAATCATCTCGTTGCTTACGCCTTTAGTACACCTACGCAATCGCATGCGGCAGCGAAACGACGAAAAAACTGTAAGTTGTATGGCAACGTTTCGCATGTGTTTTGTCTCGCTCTAATATATAGCTAGATGAAATAGTTGCGTCCTTGTCGGTATTGTTTCGCAAGTAACTGCGAAATGGCTGTTACACAGACGCAGACGTTTCGCTACTGGAGTTTCGCATCGCAAGGCGTCACCACGAGTTCTGTCAGTGAGGACAGAATTTCGCACAATGGAAGCCGAAAATATTGAATTATTATTGAATTTGATTCGAAATTATCCCGAATTATATTTAGTTGGGCATGTTGATTACAAAATCCTCTTCAGAATCTGAAAGCGACGACTGGGACGACTCAGATGACATTCTGAAACGACGTCTGCACCTACAGCACACGAAAGCTACAATGACATATCCTTGCGAAAAACCTGCAGTGTACTAACGTTCCGCAGATATTTCGCTACCGCAATTATTTCGCAAAGATTCGCAGCCGCATACGAACGCGTAGGTGTACTAAAGGCGTTAATATGAAGAATTAAAAGTACATAATTTTTGTGAATAAATGACAATAAATGAATAAATGACGCGTAGCAAATAAGACGCTTGTTTCTTTCCCTACAGACTCTATACGCTTTTAAAATTGTATACATCAGCTTCTGTAGGCTTTATTAGTAATAAAATATCCATTTGGTACTTGCAACACTTGGTCACAAATTTCTTCGATCTTTTTTTACAATTTTCCATTGTAAGAACAATAACACATCATACAACCCATTATTAAAAACCACACCATTATGATATTATAAATAAATATAGAGTTAAATAAACATAATGATTTCTAGTATAACTATGTGAAATATACTATAGTGTGCACCCATAATATATTTATCCTGGACTCACCGTAGTGTACTGTTCCACCACCATGAAAGAAATAAAGTTCATTAAAATTTATTGACAAATATTTGTTGCAAAGTAGTTAATTTATGTACCTATTACTCCTCTGATTTAGCCGCCACCAAAATGTTAGGTTGGGAAAAGTATTATAAAATTTATACATTAATTTATTAAATCGTTCATATTGTTTTACTATTTATTTTTAGATCTTAATATTTGGGTTCAAAGTCTCAGCTCTGATTAAAATATGATTTAATTATACATATATGAAATAATACTAACACGTTTTACTAAAAAAACACAAAATAGGTCTAAAAACAAATCCTGATCCTTTGCTTCCTATTTATAACACCACAATATCATTTTTGAATGAATACAATGAACATTTAAAGATATCGGACAGAGTAAACAACAGTGCACTACCTACTGCTAAAAGGCTGAAATGTTTATTTGTTTGCTTGTGCGATCTTAGGTTCAAAGCAAAAGTTCCGAATCGACGTGGTAGAAATCACAGATTGAAGACAAAAAAGATCATAGAAAAAATATAAAAGTACCTCTCGGTATACTAAAACCATTATATAGTTACATAAAAATATATCTTATTACATCATATTGTTTCATCAGGTAACCTTTCTATATTAAATTTTTACTCCATATAATATAATTTATAAAACTTAGAGAAAGCAATTGATATCTTATAAAACAACCACCAACAGACTAGGTTTGCCAAATAATGTATTATTTATTTAATTGCCTTAATAGACAGAATATGAATATTAAACTTGTCCAAACTTTTTTTAAACGAAAGCAACTCAAAGGCTCGACGAATGTTTAATGCTTCCTCGGGTACTACACTCTCAATGCCATAAAATTTCTAGCCCGTTGCTGTTCAATACAGATCAACAATAAAAATCTTACAATAACTAATAAATGCTTACCGTTTCGCACTGTTTGTTCCACGGGATAAGTCTTCAAATTGAGTGCTATGGGGCCTGAAATAATTAAATATTCTTAATTAATTGTTGTATGTGTAGTAGTTTTATTATGTAAAGCATACGAAAATATTTTTTATGTACAGAATAGAATAAAACGTTAATGATTTTAACGTGTCACTATATAACTAATTAATAAAAATAAACCTCAATATTTTTTTAATTCCGCTATTTTGTATTAAACATTATTTTAACTAGAAAACATATGTTAATAGTTATATACAGTATTGTTATTTTTAACCACACTATTAAGAATACGGTTAGTAATCCATCTCCCGTTTGTATTAAAAGAAAAAATATTAATTCCGTTAATTTAAATAAAACTATATATTATATTAATACATTTAAAGACCATGCTATAGAATCAATTTATTAATATAATTAATTTATTAAGGTAGAGATATAAAGATACCTTGTTTAAATTTGGTAAACCAAATCATTTAAATATTTTATAGAAGCTTTGATGAGTATACGAGTTGCATGTCGGATCTTGTCAAAACAATTTATTACCTAAGTTTTAATTCAAACGTGATTCTAAATTCCTTTGTTTCATTTATATAAGGTCGTTTGTACAAAGTGTGAAATTTGAAACAAAAATTTAAAACCTTATTTATAAAACAGGCTTTCTTTAGAATAAATTCATATCATGGTCAGTAAAGTTCAATTTTACAGGGCTTCTTTCCAAAGAACAATAGAATGCTGCACGAGTTTAAAATCATTTCAATCCACAAGCATTTTTGGTCGTCATGACTTTGTAAATAAAAAAAAAATCATCGGTAAATCGACCTACAGACAGACAGTAATTAAACAATTAACACGTTAGAAGTATTTACATCCATATTAGTTAAAGTAATAGTTACTCGTATTTACAGAAGAAAGTAAGTACTTTATGAGAGAAGAAAAGATAAACGTTGGTCGTGCTTTTAACACAACCATTTACTTTAGGTAGGTAAAAACAAAAGGTAGCTGTGATTATTCGATGAGCAATTTCTATTTTTGTTCTGTATTCATTACATATTTGTAGCGCTTATATTTTTGTACAATTCATGACCCCATTCTCAAGCTTATTAAAACTACTGTATCGAATGATCTTTTCTTCTCCGTTATAAATTAGTAACAATTCATTTGTAATATCCTCCTTACTGCCTGCTGGACAGTCGAATTCATCACTGCCATCTTTCGGACAATCCACATGCCCATCACATCGTTGGTTCTTGTTTATACACGGTCCGTTTTCGCAACGCCATTGATGTCTTTTACATTCCCCTACTGTTAACGAAGCTTATCTTAGTGCGAGAACTAGAGTGGATGTAATGGATATAGCGCGACTAGCTCTGGTACTCTAGCAAAGTGACTGCTATGAAGATGTAAGTCAACCAAATCGTAAAATATTATTTAATATATTTTTCTGTTATGCGTTGAATAGTAGCTTAACTTAATAATACTAATCATGGTATGTTGAAATATATAATGATTATATATTTGATATTCTTTATTAAAAATAGGAAAAAGCATTACCTCGATTGTCAGGCACATATGGGTTTAAGAACGGTGCAGAAGTAGTTGTGAAGTAGCGCGGAGGCTGTGTCGGTGGCGGTTGAGTATAGGGATAAGCAGTGGTAAAGGGTCCGTATGTAGTGGGACAATTGTTTTCATCGGAACCATCACTGCAATGATAGGTTCCGTCGCAGTGTTCTGAGTCTCGGATGCACTGCCCAGTTCGGCATTGCCAGTAACCGTCATCACATGCTAAAATAAAATGAAAAGTTAAACGTGTAAAATTTTTTTACACATATAAATTTCTACGATAACGAGAAAATGTCAATTATAAACCATTAATGACAGATTAAGTAAAGTAATGTTACACATACTCGTAAATACTGCATGATATTCACTTCCGGAGATTGGCACTACTCGCTACTTTAACTTTAAGTCATTCAAAAGCATTTCATGCTGGTATCATTAGTTGAGTTTGCAAGGGTAATATGCAAAGAAGAAACAGAATCAAAAATAGCGAATATTGATATCAAAAAACATGCGACAAAATTTTAGAAAATAATGTACATAGCTTCAAACGTTTATTTCTCTCGTCTAAAGGCGCCTAAAAATAATACGGAGCATAACAGTAACTGGGGCTCTACAATTTGACAATCGTATACCAGAGTTGTAACAGTTTTGTTCATCAGAGAAGTCCATACAATCGTAAAAATTGTCGCATCTTCGGATGTGTGGTATGCACTTGCCATCGTAACACGTAAATTCAGATTCTTGGCACGTTGTCGTCTGTATCGGTGATCGGGACGGCCTCATCATGAACCATGCTGTATAGTAGTCCCATTTAGCTTATACATTAATTATCAACTTCTAAACTACCTATATATACTTTGTTTGGCGCGATTAGACGTTCACGTCAATATTAATTATTAAGACAGATTGAAGAAATACCTAAAACAATCCTCTAATTGCGTGCTGTGTATAAACAGAGTTGTAGCGTGACAGTGCTTCAATTGAAGTGAGCTTAAGCAGTATTATTATTTTCAGTGCTTCGTCGCTTTAATACATTGCGACGCATTTGTGCTTATTAAACTCTAGTTAGTTATGCAATGTCGTAATACTTAAGTTGAGTACTTACGGCAGTTTTCTTCATCGGAGTTGTCGGTACAGTCTGGATTTCTGTCGCAAAAGAATTGCATGTCTATGCAAAAACCGTTTCGGCACTGGTATTGGTCTTCATTGCAAGTGACTGTTGAAACAAATATTATATCAATTGAATATTAATGTCTTAAATGCATTTATATTTTTAGGTCCTTTCTCCACTGCTCCGGTCCGGCGTCGGATACCGGAATGAGTCATGAGAAAAATATCGACAGGCTGGATTGCGCTTCTCCACTATATCCGATCCGACAATAATCGATACTTATATATTTATCATGCAACACTTATATTAACTAAAACCCATATACCTTATTATATTAATAAAACGTTCTAAATTCTGAATATTTTATTGCCCTGGCAAGTTTATTACTTTTTTTATATTGTCTATCTTAAAATATTATAATCTACTTAATAAATAGTTCACTAATACTATGGTATAAAAATATAAATAAATAGCAACATAATTTGGTTTGGTCCAGGTTATCCAGATTCTTTCAAATTAAAGAAACTATAAATAAACCTGTGAATAATAATTTATAACCTCTTGGATACTTGGATATACTTGGACCGATAAAACACCGCGTTCCGATCTAGCAAGTTATCGGATCGTTAAAAACCGGATGCCGGAGTAGTGGAGAAGTACGTAAGTACTGTTGTGAGTTTCTAAATCGGATCGGCAATTAACGTTTGCCGGACCGGAGCAGTGGAGAAACGGCCTTATAGTTTACTAGCTGTACCAGCAAACATCGTTTTGCCATGCATATTTATAATAAAAAATAGGGGTTTATCGTTGAGGGGTGAAAATTAGGGGTTGTATGTATTTTTTAATGCTGTATCATAAAAAAAAATTAAAATATATCTATAAATTAAAAAAAAAAAATTTTGGGGGATGAAAAATAGATGTTGTCCGATTCTCAGACATACCCAATATGCACACAAAATTTCATAAGAATCGGTCAAGCCGTTTCGGAGGAGTTTAACTACAAACACCGCGACACGAGAATTTTATATATTAGATATTAATAACAGTGGAGACTTACTTGGTCCAGTTGTCATCGTATCGTTACATTGTAACTCGTCACTTGCATCGGAGCATTCCTCGACTGAGTTACAGCGCTGAGAAGCTTTAATGCATTCACCATTTCTACATCTAAGGACAAAATATTTTAAAATTTAATGAGATAATAATTTAAGACTTTTTACACATACATAGCAATATGTTATCAATAACAATTTGCAATTGCTACACAGTATATTTAATTAAAATCGCATAAATCGCAAGCCATCATCGCGCGCTACTTACCGATACAATAAATTTATTATAGCATCATATTAACACAATTACCTGAAGTCGTTCGGTCCATCGCAAGTGTTACAGTCGATCTCATCCGAAGAATCAGAGCAGTCGGAGACGCCGTCGCATATTAGAGTTTCATCTATGCACCTGCCGTCGCATTTGTGAGCGCAATCTTTAAAACAAATACGATTTATTTGTAGAATATTACTATGAGATACCAGAATATATCATAAACATAAACTTAAATACAATCGCGTTGCGTTAATAATTTGCAGAGCATAACATTAATTAAAATTCGCAATATGAATGACAGACATATATAGATACAATATAGTATTACCGCCGAGTATTTAAAATTAACCTTAAACTAATCACGCTAGGGCGTGCATAATATTGAAAAAAATCTACTTATCAATTACATTTTAGGCAAATTAATTGTAACCTTTAATTTAATTTAAAAATGGTCTGGAGTCGAATTTTATTTTATATACCAGTAGGTCTTAACGTCTTCATTAATAAATACTCAAGGGTTCTATGTTAACCCCTATTCCAGTATCAAAAAAATTTTGGACCTGATAAAATACATTATTTATAAGACCCAACGACTGTTTTGTTCTCTAAAGTATTTATTCAGTTATACATGGTAGAAGGTATTTACCAGGACAACCATCTTCATCTTCACCATTGTCGCATTCGGGATTATTGTCACAACGAGTGGCACAGGGAACACTGGAACCACGGTCGCAAGTAAAACTCTCTGAAGAGCAACGTTCGACATCTGCAAATTGAAAATCAATTTTAATTTTACGTAAATTTCATACTATGTTGTACAACAAATGAACCAGATTTTGAGCCATCAATCGAAGAACACCCAACTAAAACATATGATAAATCAATATATAAAGTATCTACACGAATATCGATGCATTCTACAAATGAACAGTTACTTAGGTTATGTAATACGTCTACATATAAATAGTTATATACTTACGTTGTAGTCACTTGGTGGATAGTCTACCATGCGGAACTGACATACAGTCATGAAAGCATACAAACATGCACGTGCTTAACTTACACAAAAAATCAGTAATAAATGAAACACGTTATTTACAATCGGGCAATCTAGCCCGATAACTTACCGCAGTTGTTTTCATCTTCACCACTAGGTCGACAGTCTCTGAGACCATTACATCGTTGAGCAATATTAATACAAGAGCCGTCTCGGCATTGGAATTGACCTCTTTTACAAGGGCAATTCTTTTCGTCAGAACCATCATCACACTCCACAGTCCCATTGCACCTAGCTTCAGCCTTAATACATTGTCCGCTCGAACACTTATACTGATAAGCCATGCATATGGAGCCTGTCATAATATAAGGCATACACCATAACCAAAATAATATCATATAAATTTAAATTGTTATATATTTGATTATATTCATAAGTGGTGTATACCAATAATGCTGTAGTCACAATCCTTGATTGCGACTTAAAATATTATATTCATAGAAATATTAGAATTATTTTTTGTATTAATTTAACTATAAACTGCATTATTAGTATGTACGACACTGTGCTATAGGATTTGTAACCATATTTTATGTGCTGCAAGACAAATAATAAAGCATAGGCAATTACTTATAACATAGGGTAACTTCATGCTAAACGTACAAGTAAATATAAATATTTTTTGCATCTCATCAATTTTGACATCAATCAGCTTAAAAGTACAAGATCTGTTTGATTATTAAATTTTGAAAAGAGCCAAACCATAAGTGCAATGTCGTTCATCAGAACCATCCTGACAGTCATGCGTTCTGTCACATTGTTTAGATCTGGGAATGCAGTAGCCATTGTCACATTTGAAGTCGTCGTCACCACATGCTGACCGGTAAAAGAAAAACTAAACTAATTTCTGGCTCTCATAAAAGTAGTCATTAATACTGAAGATATTACACAAATAGTTTAAAGAAACGAAAGAAATGATGATGAAACATCGATAGACACAAAACGTTCAACTAAAACAATCCAAAGAAATTATAGAAGGAGAAACGAAGATAAACAATAGAAAGAGACAATCAATATGAAAGTAGAAATAATGGAACGAAGAAGAACGAACATAGGGGCCAAATTATCGAAACTTACGACAATTTTGTTCATCGCTATAATCTCCAGGATCACAATCGTATCGACGATTGCATCTCGCATTTTCGGGTATTAACTTGCCACCTCTGCATCTAAAGTATCCCTTTGCTGTAAATACATGCAAAGCTTATCAATTGTGTTTTAATTATCAATACGTGCAAAAGCCATTTATAAAATTTAGATGTATAATATAAAATATATTTTGTGTCACATAATTTTTTTGTATTGTTGAAAAAGGCATCACACTGTGTACCTGAATAATCCAACGATGTTGTTTTATATACAAGACAAGGAATTAAATGATAAAGTACCCATAATACATACAATTTTATTTTAAGGACCTTACCCGTGGTGATAATAATGAAGTGCTGTTCACATGGTAAAAAACATATTCGTGTATTTGAGTGCTATAGTGACAGATAAAAGAGAATTGCTTAGATCTTACCTACACAATTCCTTTCATCCGATTTATCGGTTGGGCAGTCGACACGACCATCACAACGTTGGCTGCGCTTGATGCAGTTGCCATGATCGCATTGCCATTGATTAGAGCGGCATGCTTCGTAAACGAGTAATTTATAAATAGTTTTATATAATAAATGGTGTGATATATTATATTTTTATCGAGATACTTACGACATGCAGACTCATCGCTACCATCGCGACAGTCTCTGAAACCGTCACAACGGAGGAGCACAGATATACAAGATCCATCTCGACAATGAAATTTCCCTCTATCCTTACAGATATGATGCCCAGACCAACTAAGTAACTGCGAGACTTACCGTTCCAAATGAAGTTAACGAAGCATGTGGAAAGTAATGGAATGGCTTGTTAGATATTCATTAAGGTTTATATATTAGAATACTAGTGGAGACATTATCGACTTGCTTCTTACCTGTGCACTGGTTTTCATCCGACCCATCTCTACAATGATTGATACCATCACAACGCTTTCTGCTTTCTATACAGGACCCATCATCTTGACACTGGAATTCATCAGGCCGGCAGTCTACAATTGTATGAGATATTTACCAAAATGATTCAAAGAAAATACAATTTAATCAGCGCATACCGCGTTTGCCTATACTATTACTCTCTATAATCTTCCCAAGGTATTGCTTTACAGTTTGCATGGTCACAGGTTACTTTGAAGTATTTAATATCACTGGATTGATATTTCTCTGAATATAGCAATTATTGTGTTTTCTTGTAAATGTTAACAAAATAATAATAACTAGCATAAAAATTTAAATTAGATCATTGTAGGGGTGTAAATCGGAAGTGTTAATAGTTTAGAAACAATAAAGAATTTTACCACAGGCAACTTCATCTTCTCCATCTGGACAATCTACCACGCGATCACAGCGTCGATAACCTTCTACGCATTTTCCATTATTGCAGCGGAAATAGTCGACACCACAAGATTCTAAAAAGAAATAATATTTGTTATTGTGGTAAAAATTATTATACTCTGAAAAAAAAACAGAACGTGAAGTCCAATTTTGCTTTTCTACTTTGTTAATTTTGGCATAGATATATTTGTGATATTAAAATTGGCTTCAATTTCGCATTTATGTTCGTAATGGGATATAGTACTACAAGGTATGTGTTTAACAAAACGACACTAGATGGCGTTTCATATCGGATTAACTCAGCTTTGACTAAGAAAGTTTGCGTAGTAATTAATACGAACATTTAAACCGCTGTGAATCTTGAACAACTTCAAGCATATCTGCTGTTAATTGGTTTGTCTTTTAATAACTTAAATTTTATAAATGAACATTTTGCTTAAGTTTAATATGAAGGGACGTATTTTCACAAAATTAGCATAATACACTTTTTTATTAAACTTTTTTAATATGACATGATTGTAGTATATTTTACGTAAATTAACAAATACTAAAACACGCTGAATTTAACTAAATATAATGTTTTATAGTTAATATGTGTCATAGTAATATGAACCTAGTGGCTAGACTTGGCGCGACACTTAACCCAAAGGTTGTTCGAGCGAAGCCTGGCTGCACCAAACCATTGTTATACCTATGTCCACAACAGCTAATACTGTGTATGAGAACATAGTACGGAAACCAGCAAATGAAATCTGAGACCAATACTCCTTGGCGTATACTCAGTTATATATAAAGCAGTTTCATGTCACAATTGTCCAAAACAAAATAAATTTATTGAAATGTAAACCCCACAAATACGCATATTGTCAACGCAACGGAATCACGTAATAGTCGTACAAACATGTTTTCATAAATCTGTCGTAAAATGTAAGAAAAAGAGATTCCCCTCGCAGATTTTTCTCGGTAAAATATTTTCAGGATCACCTTTGTATCGTTAAAATTCTGAGGACGCAGTCGGCCTACGTGATATACTTATCGCTGTATTCTAAATACGTCCAAGTTTCCAGTTAAAAGAGCTGTAAAACGGTTAAAACTTACTTCGCGTACTAATAATGTGGATCTTGTATCTTGAAGATATATTGTAGCAGTAAAAATTACACACTATTTAATCCATAACCAATACTGCGTTAAGTTAATATGATCAAATATTCTTTAGTAATTCTCTTTAAATATCTCTATCGTAGATCGGTGGCTTATCTTTTTTTTCAGACGTCGAATTTCAGCGAATACTAATTAAGTAAGTATTTTTGTGAGCTTTCAAAAAACTCCTATTATGTGTACTACGTATTTATTTTAAATTATATTCATAAATGTATTTTAGAGCTAAAATTAAATATTAATGATAGGTCAACCAGACTATTTGGTATCTATAGTTCAGGTTATTAGTACATTTGACTTTAAGTAATAATAACCTTGGATTGAAATACATGACGTAAACACAGTGTAATTTAGGACAGATTGGTACTAGGGGCAAGTTAGGAATGCAATTTATGAATAATATTTGAATATACTAAATCTCTTGCTTTATTGCTATTGAAACTTTATATCTACACTTTAACACACTGAACGCGAAACGGCCTTGATCGAGTCTTGCCTAAGGAACAGCTTTGAAAAACGTAATCTAAGTTAATATAGGTTTTCCTAAACTTAAAAAGGAGTTAGTATAAAGTTTTATTACAATGCGAACAAAATTAGCCTTTAAATTGTTTTAGAATTGACTAGGTCTCCTTCCGCCGTGTAATAGTGTAAGAATAATATATAGAACACAATGTGGGAATTAAAAATTAATGTACTGTCAGGTAGTTCAGTTTTTTTCTAAAGTTTCTTAGGGCACACTGAATCCAGAGTTCGTGAATTCAGTGTGCTGACAGTAGGGGCAGTAGGGGTTCTGACTCATCAGAGTCCAATTTTAGCTTAAAATAATACGGTATGATAAAATCCAATACTTTTTTCCGTAGTCTCTACTCAGAATGTTATCGTAAGTTCATTATTTAATATACGAGCTTACGTATAGGTGTTTTTTTGAATTAACGCAAAGCATGAAGGCTTTTAAATAACAATAATTATATTACGTAGCATGTTAGAAATATTAAATTCTTTGAACATCGACCTCAATCGTTCTACTTTTAGATTTAACGCTGACATTTCACTAAAGCTATTGTCAAATTATCTTTAAGCAATATACGTCACACATCGATACGATACAGTAAATTAATTAAATTTTCATGTTATATTTTTTTATAATTTCATTAATTTTACATTGTGTATGCACTTCTATCGTAAAATATGTAAAAAATACGATATTTATAATAACAGGATACCCACAACTTTGACCGTTGCATTTTATATGATTTTAGAACTATTAGCATCCGAATGAATATCATGTACACAATAACCCCAATAAAAACTTAGTATATATAAGACTTAAAAGTTCGCTCCAGTTCTTAACGGAACAAATATTTCAAAACGCTAAATATTAAATTCATATCCAACTGTTTTTCGACGATGACACTAACATAATGGGTTCCAAACAAGCCGGAATCCACAAATAAATTAAACTGTGTTATAATACGGGCTGCACCAGGCACAGCCTTCCCCTTATTACGAAATTGTCCCCGCGAGGTTTTACTTGAGGCCCACTTCTTTACATACTTTGCCCTAACTGGGACATATCAACGAAGTTGGGATTGATTATTATTGGACGAAAGTTATTACAAGTTAGCATGCGCTTCAAACATTATTTAATGTCTAGGTAACCCCCGTTCCTGCAAGAAACGATAATCAATAATACGTTATGTCTAGTAGAAGTGATTAGACACTATTTTGGCTATGGTCTCAAAATTTAATACACGAAATATGTATTTTTGTCGCTACTATGAATCGGTTCGAGTTTCAATGATAATTTACACTTGAATGCGGTGTTTCTCTATGTAATCGAACAGTGGATGTCGTTTTAAAAAACCTAACATTTTTTTTTATGAAAAATTTGATCGGAGCAATTCTAACCTTATGAAATCTTCAATTAGATAAGCAATACTTTATTGTAATAAACGTAGCAACATTAATTTTATAGTTTTAGTAAATAAGATCGATAAATACCTATAGATTTTTTTGTATTTCATTTCAGTTGGACATATGACATTTAGAGTTTATGTTTGGTCGATACGATTCCTTGAATCACACCAAGCTTATTTTTATCAGAAATTTTTAATATGTTTTCAACGCAGTAAACAATCAAGCAATTAATGTAAACTGATCCCTTAAAGGATGGTGAATGCAAACTGAAGAATATACTACTGTGATACAATTTTTAAGTAAAGCAGTCTCTTTTTTTAGTATTTTAATACAAGTAATAATAAATTGACTTTCATTTTAAAAGTGTACGTACCGCGTATAGCAGTTCTTTTTTATAAGGATGTCGCGGAATTACTAACTGTTAATCAAAGTCATACAAGAAAACATATTATCTTATCTTTCGTGTCTTATATTTTTATCTTTGTCTAACATTCGTAAGTTTTTCTTAGTGTCTGTTGGTAAAGTTACAATTATAGCTACCATACTAATATAGAAGTTCTGTACGCTATTTAAATAAAGGGCTATTTAAATAATACTCCCTTTTCGAAAAAAACATACAAACGATAGATATTATTGCTACTTAAAAAAGCCAAATTTGTTGTTGTCTTATATTAAATTCAGTGGTTATTAAAACCATCCTATTTGTACGTCGTTAGTACGGGGCACAATAGTAATTGATAAAATATGCAAAACAACCATATTAGGGTCTGCTATTTAAAAGAGCTTTGTCCCGTTTGTTATCCTTTCATTCAATGTACCTTTCTTAAATATTTATAAAAAAATACTGAATTAAATACATCTTAAATAGATCATCTTAACAATTGTATTTGAGAATGTTAATTGAGTTCTAGTTTTAACTGAGATTTTTGTGCTTGTCAGAATAATTCTCGAACTGCCTATAATGCCTATATATATGTCCAAATATATAATTTTATATCTATATGAGTTTTGGAAGTTTCATGACTTACTAAAATATTGATCACTTAAATAAAGCAATCTTAAATATTAAAGTTTCCTCTGTCAATGTGTCACACGATTATGCCGTCTCAATGCAAAAATTAGCATTAATTAAAATTTTCAATTATTTCTACGAAAACCTTCATGAAGTTCACCCATTATTACTTTTCTTGTTTCATTTATATGAAGTCTCTGAAGACAAACTTTACTATATAAACATTAAATATAAAAGTATACGCATTTATAAAACATCCCTGGCTCCAAATAGGGTACGGCAATATAACATCGTCAAATTCTTGTATCATGCTAAAATCTGTGGTTAATCTTTCGTGAAGCGCGGAGGGTCGTTTCACAAAAAATAGTATAACTAAAATGCATCTATTAACATCATAATATGTTCAGGATCAGGTCTTCGCATATTTACGTTAAAAAAGGTTTTATTGAAGAAAATCTTTTGTCTAATGTTTATTAAAAATATAATAATATTTTGTTTTCCCATCTGTGGGAAATCTAGTAAGGTCTCTTAGTTGTTCTTTACATTATACCTTTATGTATTACTTCAACCATTGTGGTTGAATGGGGTTAGACTAGTGATATTACGTTATGTCCGATATAATCTTGATATAAGTATATTAATCGATAGTCTTATTGAAAAACCTACTTCTTTGTGGCAAACATCGAGTGTGACACAAAGGGGACATGAATATTAAACACCTCCGTCTCATCAGATCAATTACCTCGTGACCAAGTCTTAAATATCCAATAAAAGGCAAGACTTTTTGTAAATTGTCCTCCCTATGAATACAATTGGAAAAAGCTTTAGTTAATCGCATTCAGGACATTATTAGGTGTAATAAGTGTGAATACAATTCTCATTACGATAATATTTCCAAACAACGATATACTTGTTCGATTGGAAGGCACAACTTCTATAGAGATTCAGAAGAACTTGAGTGGCTGCAGCACCATATTAAAATATATATAACCTTCAGATATATTTTATATGACGCTGTCTAATGAATTTTGACTTCCTTTTCACTAAAAGACACAAGACAATAACAAGCTAAACAATATTGACATTTAATTATCTAATTTACAAAATTATTTATTTATTATTATCATTATAACTGGCTGGATAAAATAAAAAGGCCAATATCGTCTTCGTAAGCTAAATGAGCAGTACTACTAAAATTTACGTTGCCACTAAATAGATCTTTAGTTACAATATTGGTTTTGGATTAAAAAGTACCTATATGCAACAGTCTTTTGTTTATGGTAATTGATAAACAAAAGACTGTTGTATATAACTAACACTCATATAACACCTGAATACAACGTGAGCGGATAGCTGGCACACATTGTTCGACAGGTTACGAGGTAATTCATAGAAACTGTCACATTCATACAACAGCACTCTTTAGGGAAAGATGATTTATTTAGATATTGATCGGTATATTTCATGACACCTCTAAAAGAGCAAAAAATATTAGAGGCCTATATATAGGGATTGTATGCAACTACAGCCTATGTTTTTGGTAGATAATTATCCAATATGGTTTAAAGTTTAAGCTTTCGGTTTTATGTAGTCTGATACACGTTCAGTCTACAGGCAAGACCTATCAAATTCTCTAAACAG